TAAACAAACTTTCTCGTTTGTACGTACCTAAGCGATAAATCGCGAATCGAAATGTTAATTTATTTTATGTAAATTCAAATTAACTTGCAATACCAAACTTGTTGTTAGCTCCAAGCAGATGTTTTCAAAACATCGTTACTGCATTTCGGTGCAGCGGTTTACCACAGCGTTCGTTTCTTGAATTAAATAAACTTGTTCTCATTAATCGCGTGGCGTATTCTGAAGCTGATAGCCCTAACCACAAAGTGTCTGCATTATTGCAGTGGACGGTTATGATCATACTACGACTTGCAATTTGTTAGTCGAACGTGTGGGCGTCATGATTCAATTCAACACCACCAGTGGGTTGCTCAAGGACTTCCCTTTTACTGCACCTATAATACAGAACAGAGGAATCGAAGCTGCACGTGGCTTTAAATGAAGCCATTTTATGTTGATAAAAGCGTCAACATAATTGAGAGTTGGTGGCATCAGTGCAGGTAGCCATTTACAAAACAGTTTACAGAACTGCTGATTCTAAAGCTAATCTGGAATATCTTTGTGTTGAAATGCATTGTCCTCCTGATTGATTTTCCGATCGTCTTTATCAAACGTTCATTAGATTTTCAGTGGATGTTTTGAATAGGCGGATGTAACTTATTTAAGTGCTTGTTGCACCGAATAATAAACAATTGTTCCGTTCGTTTCATAAACTGTATGTATCAGTACACAAACTCCTGTATGGAATACATTCTTCGCGTTTACTTTCAAAATAATACCGTGTCCGGTGGGTTGAAAAATAATCATTTCACCCTTGAATATCTGACGTCACGTCTGAAAAGGTTTTAATCGATTTAGCGTTGTAGAAGCGTTCAGCCACCGCGGTTATAACAAAATGTAAAACTTGAATGCTAAACGATGGAAATTGATAAGAATAAGAAGCTTGATAAGATAATGAGATTGATGCGCGAGATAATTGTTGCATTGGCTTGGCACACATAAGTGCTAATTAAGATTTGTCAACAAACGAAAAGATAGTTCACTACAGACGCGTCAGGTCAGGCACGTCCGCTCTTGATCTTCGTCTCGTCAGAGAAGCCGGTGACGCAAGTAATATAATTTGTGTAGTGTTATTCCAAAAGTTCTATTTCGGATTCGCGCACCCACCCACAACACAGTGAATCGACTCGCGGTGCACGAGTGGACGTCCCTGAAGAAATTTTGACAAAATCAGTGAATTTATGAAAAATTTAAATTAATATCAGTGTCAAGTTTGAATTGGCAGAACATGACAGTCTAAAATGAAGCGAAACGTGAGTAAACGTCGCGATATGCGATGCAGATTGGAATATGAATAGTGATTGTTGGTAACATTGATTACATCGTGTTGCCAACAATCTAAATGTTATGTTTACGCTCAACTAAATTCGCATTTAATGCTCTTCGTGGAATCTGGCTTTCAGTTTAAATTGCGGCCCAGTTAATATTACTTATTATTCAAGCAGCTGTGGCCAGCGGCTTCGTACGTGTCAGTATTCTCAATTCCAACTCTTAGTTCAGTTAACCGAGACTCATTTCTTTAGATCTGCGTGATAAGGGTTAAGCTTAGAGATGGGTAAGTGCTAATAATCCGATTAATAGCAATTGGCTAATAACGGATTAAAAGCAGTTATTAGCCATAAATAGCCAATAATAGCCGATTTCAGATAGTAACCCTGCTATTAATGTTATACTAATGATTAAACATATCCCTTCATAGTTTACAAATTTAACACTTGAAATTTGGAAGGGACGTAGCTTAGGTACCGTAGAGGTGCATTAAGAAAGGAATACCCGAAATTCCCACGGGCACGGGAATTAGCCGGAAAATCCTTTTGTATGAAAAATCTAAACCATGTAAGATAGACGCTTGAAATTTGGCATGCAGGTACCTTAGTAAACTCAAAGCTTAGTTACAAGAGAATATTGCAAACTTCCCACGGGAACGGGAGTTAGCGGGAAAAAACATTTGTATGAAAAAATCTAAACCACGTAAGATAGACGCTTGGAATTTGGCATGCAGGTACCTTAGTAAACTCAAAGCTTAATTATAAGAGGATATTGAAAAATTCCCACGAGAACAGGAGTTAGCGGGAAAAAACAGTTGTATAAAAAAATCTAAACCACGTAAGATAGACGCTTGAAATTTGGCATGCAGGTACCTTAGTAAACTCAAAGCTTAGTTACAAGAGGATATTGCAAAATTCCCACGAGAACGGGAGTTAGCGGGAAAAAACATTTGTATGAAAAAATCTAAACCACGTTAAAAGGAGAAACTGACTGACTTAGTGACATATCAACGCACAGCCTAAACGGCTAAACGTATGCACTTGAAATTTGGAAGGGACGTAGCTTAGGTACCGTAAAGGTGCACTAAGAAAGGAATTCCCTAAATTCCCACGGGAACGGGAATTAGCGGGAAATCCTTTGGTATGAAAAATCTAAACCGCTTAAGTTAGACGCCTGAAATTTGGCATGTAGGTACCTTAGTAAATTGAAAGCTTAGGTACAACAAGGAATTCCCGAAATTCCCACGGCAACGGGAATTATTGGGAAAATCCTTTTGTATGAAAAATCTAAACCGCTTAAGTTAGACGCTTGAAATTTGGCATGCAGGTACCTTAGTAAACTTAAAGCTTAGTTACAACAGGATATTGCAAAATTCCCACGGGAACGGGAGTTAGCGGTAAAAAACATTTGTATGAAAAAATCTAAACCGCGTAAGATAGATGAAGGGGGTAAAACGGGATCCTCGCGTACGAAGTCGCGGGAACGTGAAGGAACGTAAGGAACCTACATGCCAAATTTCAAGCGACTGACTTAAGCGGTTTAGATTTTTCATACAAAAGGATTTTCCCGCTAATTCCCGTTCCCTTGGGAATTTCGGTAATTCCTTTCTTAGTGCACCTCTACGGTAATTAAGCTACCTACGTCCCTTCCTTTCGAGTGCCTACGTTTAGCCGTTTAGGCTGTGCGTTGATCTGTCACTAAGCCAGTCAGTTTCTCCTTTTATATATTTAGATTCTTTTTTAACTACAATGTCGTTTATATAAATTACATTGATGTTTTTTTAGTTCTTTTTTGTTTCTTTGAGTAATATTTGATTTTAATATTGATTTGATTTTAAAGGTGGAAGAAAAAACGTAAGAAACTATTAATAGCAGGGTTACTAGCCAATGGATGGCTATTAATGGCTATTAATAGATAATAATCAGTTATTATCCAAACTAGCTGGCTACAAACCCATCTCTAGTTAAGCTACAACAACTACCAAACATTATAAAAATACAAGAACGTTCATATCCATAGGATAAATCTAATTAGGTAGTAAAATGATTAGTCTACATTATTCCTAAGTAGATCCAGAAACTTAATTGTATTTCTTTCTAATAGTCATTATACAACATCACACTGCCTTTAAAGATGACATAATGCCATAATAATGAGTGCAGTAGTCAATAATGGGTAAAATTTAATATGAATTTAGTATAAAACTCGCTCCGATTGAAACTGTGGTTAACTTTCCTCCTACGTTTGCCCCCAATTCCATTCTACCACTTTATTTCGATCGGCCTTGGAAGTATTTCCAGCGTTAGATTTTCACATAATTTATATTTTTGCGTATAATACTTTTGTTTGAATATGTAATATTTTTATGCTACTATGCGAACTCATTATCATTAACAAACGTTTAACATCTTCCGTTGAAGATACAGCACTAGTTATCTGTTTTTCTTAAGTTAGAAGATAAAATTCTCAAACTTTACTTTTAATGTTCCGCAGTAACCGCCGTTTATAGCTTTAAGAGCTCACATCACAAGTCACAAGCTAACTTTGGTATTTAAATAGTAAATACATTAAAAGTTATGGAAAGAATCATTAATAACTCTTTTTTTTTGACATCTTGAAAGATTTATCGCTTCTGCTAAATTGCCTTTTTGTTTTGAACCTCTCCGTGTATGGCAGAGTGCGTCGTCTGTAGACAAACGAACTGCTTACAATCAAAGGCGCGTCAGGAAACGTCGTCAACGTTCTTATAACGGACAATGAACTTGCCTGACAAAGCAAGACTCTTGTCTGGTCCATGATGGACTGGTATTTTCCAATATTCTGTAATTTTCGGAGACAGTTCTTTGCTCTAAAAATTTTCATTTGAAGTTGAATGTCATTTGTTTTATCACTGATCTCTAAAGTTTAAAACATAAATAAAAAGTGAAGAACCACAGGTTTCGTTCTTTAAAAATAGGCTCTAAATTACAGAACCTGACGAAATGAAGGAAATATTTTAATCAGGATTTCACGTGCGGATGATATTGCCGGAACTCCATAAATACGATAAATATAAAAACATTCTGAGCAGAAGTAATTTTTATTCACGTGTAAGCCAGAAAGTAAATAAATTAAATCCCATTATGAGCAAAAGTGTTGTCGCGTATAATGGACTCGGGTAATTCTCCATAATATGGCGATTTCATTAATCATACTTGTAAGGACCGCTGAAGAAAAGTTTATTTTGTAAAAAAAAAAATTGCTATTGTATGTCACTGTACACATTTTATTGTTTTGACTTGGTAATTTAGTTTTAGATAACGTCCAAAATGTTAAGTGATTCTGCACAAAATGTTAATTTTACTTAAATATTTAAAAAAAAGTTGGCATTCAGCTTTGTAACTTTTAGTTAAATCTACATTGTTTCCAAATTTTACTAAGGGTTGAATGCCTTGTCGGCTCCCGAAGCTTCTAGTGGAGTTCAAAGCGCAGGCGCGTTTGGAAGTTTCTGGAATCTAAAATGAGCCTTATTGATTCGCTGTTCTATTGCCGCTTTTCTTTCTAACAAAACTTGTAGGGGCGGCGTGTATTCCGCAATGGAGCATGTCCATAGAAAAGGTCCGCGACCGAAACTCCCCGAGAGAGATCTCGAACGTTCGCGTGCTTTCGAGAAGCATCGGGTCGGCGCGCAACCCACCGGCTGTATAAATACAGTTGGCGGCCGCCGACCGCCGCAGTATAAATCCAGAAACGATACCGAGCGATTGTTCGACGAGACAGTTATCAGTATTATCGTGTGCATACACGCTACTTAGTGAGTGGACTGTTGTAATCTGTGATATATTCAGTGAATTAGGATTAAGTTATGGAATCTCCAGTTGTAGTTGACAAACCACCTGAATACCACGGGAACGCGAGGGAACATGAGGTAGGTAACATTGGAGTGTTATTGAAACAATATAAACTTAAAGTTAACTAGAAAATGCAGAAAACTTTTTATTGAAGAAAAATTTATAAAAGAGCTTTTCAAAATTTTTAATAACTTACCTATAGATTTTATATTTACTTCGGTTTAGTTTTAAAACAACAATTTGCAATGTAATTTTAATTTTGAAAACTTTCTTACCACCTCTTTATTGAAAAAGAAAAAATGATTGATTTTCCATTTTCTTTTTTTCCTTACAAGTTGATTCATTGAAAATTGAAACAGTTTTGTGCATTTTCCGCTATAATAAAAGTAGAAATACTCAATATATTTTACTATGTGAAGCGTTGAGGCTAATGATAGCTATTTAGAGGTAATGAGGTGTCTGTCAAATTATGGCCATTAGAATATTTCCCTTGTTAAACTCTGGAAACCAGCCAGGTGGAAGCATGGTCATTGCGAGGCCGTGCCTTATTGTTTATATTTACCACTTGATAAACGCGACTCATTTCTACTTCTGATTCATCCAAACTATTTCAAATCTCTTCTGAGTTTGACAGATTTACTATTATAATAATTTTATCGGTGTGGTGAAACGTTTTGGAGCTGATGGAAGCGCTCTTTTCCTTTTTTTTTCTCTCAGGACTCAATTCTTCTGACTACTCCCCATGTTCTTGAGTCTTAAAAATTGATTAAATTGATCATCAGTTTTTTGATTGTTTAGATTCTTAGCCAATTTGAGATCTGCCCAACTCTGATCTTGACTACTTGGAGTTTTGAAGTAAAGCAATCCCAATAAGGACGATCAAACTCCTAGTTTACACAATCAATAAATCATTCCAAATGTGTAAGCATTTGTGTAGGTCTGCAAACTGTATAGCATGTAAACAGTTTTGACGTCACGTGCGCAAGAGTCGCGTTGAGTCACCCCAGACGCTGAACGCGGCGCAACGGCCGAAATGCCATTTATAGACGTTAGTAGACCTTAAAATAATATAAATTAAAAGGTGCAGTTAACGTCCGTTACATAAAGTTTTATGAGAGTAAAAAAATAAACCTTGAAGATTTATTATTTTAACAGTATGAGTGATTTTGAAAAGAGAATAACAAAATTGTTGAATACTTCAGAACACAACAATTAAGATAACAATGAGGAAATAGGTACAATGAAAAGGAATTTATGAAAACAATTAACAAAAGCATCCAGTAGCTACATTTGTTAGAATGACTAATCCCAATAAACAATTGCTTTACGATATCACTTTGAAAGAGCAAAATTGCTGCAAATCAATTAGAAAAATAAAGCAGAGTCATGATCCCTAAATGAAAAATATGATAATAGAATAGAAGCAACCCATCTTATAATAAATTGCCTATGATTTACCTACTTCAAAACATCTTTCAGACGCTGGCGCCCGTGAGTTTTCGCTAATGATAACAACTCCCATCTGCTTTCACTCCCAAGTGCATTCCAGCCTAAATTCTGTTCCTTTGCGGAACTTATCCATACACTTCGGGTTCGATAGCGCTCTTTGAAATACTGCACACCGAATTTGCTACCTGCTTCTAATAATAACTTTCAACCTTTTGGGAGATTCTTCAGACACTTGGCTGTTTGCTTCTTCATAAACAATAATGCCACATTTTTCCACCTTTGCCAAGTTCAGGGCCGTTTGGCCGGTTTGCTAAAATCCGTCCTCTCGTAAATCCGCGACTTGTAAACATTGGCCATAATATTAGCCGGTGATGTCACCCCAGTATTTATCTTAGATGGCAAAATACATACCGCGTACATAAACGAACATATTATTATAGGTGATTCTAAAGGTGTGTGTCATATGACACCTACACCAGCTGGCTCTGATGCAAATATGGTTTTCAGTTTAGTCTTTCGGATGACGGTGACTACTTTGTCTTTATTAGTAAATCCGAGATTACTGGACTTCTCGACATTCTTAAAAAGGATCGATATGTCTAACTTCCTGTGAATTAATTAATAGGTCAGTTTCAAAATAGGTAAAAACGTGTTTTCCTACGCAAATGTTTCTTCACAGAGGCTTTGTTCTTGAATATAGATGGGTGCATTAGTCTCGGCTGCGTCTTTCCAAGGATAAAAAAAATTATCAATTTGAAATCTTCCAACTTCGGACCGTTTTTGTTGATTTTTTGTGCACTCACGCGATTCTGCGTAAGGGTTTCATATTGAAGCAGCTAATCAAACCACATATAGTTATTGTTATAGTAATAGAACACGGGTCGTTGACACCAGTTGCGTCAGATGAATCAACGGTGGTACGTGCGGTTAATATTAATCGTTTGTTTTTAGCTTCGCCTGAACTTTTACATGCCTATTCAGCACATCAATCATTTGAAATTATTTCGAGGGTTTTATTCCTTTCAACGATATTTAGTTCATATAAATTCCAGTGAATGAAATCCATAACGATGTTATCCGTTTCATGAATGGTCAGAGTTCCTGAAATGTTGTGACTTCGTTCCAAAGAGTCACGATACGGTGCACGTGCCTCTTGTATTATTGTTATTGCACGTTTTTCCGACGAAACGTCCTCTTCGTTCGCGATTGTATGACGCAACGCGATCGGTTTTTGTTCACCTCTGCCCACCTCGGTGATGATGATGTCATCTTGTAAATACATCGGTCTGCCTAAAGTTTATGTAACTCGTATGTGACTTTTTCTATGTTAATTTAATTCGCGTGGATTCGATTGGTCTCGTAATTCTTATTCGCATTTGGATTCCTATTTGCATTTGGATTTGGGTGTTTGCACTTTCTGCCGGATTTGTCTATTTTTATAGGCATGCTAGAACTGGGTTAGTGGCAGTATAAATATGCAAAGTTCTGTAATTCATGTGGGAATCACTTTTTTTATTGGAAGTCTTTCATTGAGTATACATTTTTGATAGGAATTGTTTTTAGTTTCATTTTATATACTCGACTCTTCTTATTAACTCAACGACCAACTTGCTTTAAAATGTTACATTTATTTTCTAGTAGTCTGAAGCTTAAATCGATTTGCGCAGTTGTAAGGTGAACGTACTCTGCAAAGTTACCATGTTTGCCTGAGACGGCAAAAACTGGCAAAAACTTACGCCTACACAACACAATGTCAAAACACAACTGCGATGGATGCATATTAAAGTATTTCTTCTCGAATAATTTGTTTGATGTATCAGGTTTAAAAAAATAAACACCAGTTAGCGATCAGAGCATTAACGATGCAACTGTCAATCGTGCTGCGCGCACGCTATATTTGCGTGATCACGAATTCCTGATTGTTTGAATACCTATTTAAATTTTTATCGGACCTTGCGCTTTACCTTTAAAATTGTCTTATCTATCTGGCACCCGAAACGTTTTACTACAATTTCGTGAATAATTATAACGAGTTTATTCGTCGTCAACACACGAAAGTCGCGACAGTGAGGTCGCCGGGGCGTCCTTGCCGTATATGGCGAACTCTTCGCGTAAGTACTTTGTATGAGCGCCACTTGCGCGGCTACATCCGCGTCTGGATATCGAAGAAATCGATGCATTTTTACTTTTCATTTCCTGTTTTGTGAATGACACTTTTTTGCTAAGATTACGAACTGTCTTCTTTGTTTGAGGCTATTACTGACCACGTCACATGCATAAAGGTACAATTCCAATTCCGCAGATTTCATAGAGTTTTGCAGTTTGCGGTCTGCGGCCCGTCTTGGAATTGTACCTTAATGTGTTACCTAATAACGGTCACAGACATAAGCGTACCCAGGGTTGGGCAACTGCCCCCCTGGAATTCGCTTTGAAGAAGCTAAGTCAAACTATCTGAACTAAATCTGACCCCCCCTAAGCCAGAAGCTGGTTACGCCCATGGTCACAGACATGTTTGAAAATTTGAAATGCACAAAACTGTCGTTAGCTTCTAAGAAACAATTTCAAAAATATTTGCGAAACCCGTAAATGGGAAATCTTAATCGCAAAGAGCGAGAAAAACTCACTTAAAACGCATCCTTACACTTATCCCCAACATAATTCTTCTTCTTCCTGATGAGGATCGCGACCACAGATAGTGTTCCTCCACAGACTGCGGTCATAAGCTGTGTGGACTGTGGACCGCACGATGCAAACCCCAGCATAATACTTATCTTTTTACCTTCCAATGCTGACGTCGACTCGTCCTGTCCACAGCGCGGCTTCCCGTTTGATGAGGAGGAGGGCTCGGGCGCGTGGAGCGAGCTCGCGGCGCGGCACCCAGACATAGCGGCGCGCCTGCGCCAGCGGCCCGCCACCTGGGCGCGCAAGCGGCGGCCCTCCAGCCAGGACGCCACAGAAGGTAACATAACACTTCTTTAAAACATTCGCCTCTTACTAGGTGGACCGACGATCTGGTAATGGTCGCGGGAAGAGCCTGGATGCGGGCAGCGCAGGACTGTCATCATCATCATCATCATTTCAGCCACAGGACGTCCACTGCTGAACATAGGCCTCCCCCAATGCTTTCCATGTTGATCGATTGGTAGCGGCCTGCGTCCAGCGCTTCCCTGCTACCTTTACGATGTCGTCGGTCCACCTTGTAGGTGGACGTCCCACGCAGGACCGTGCATTGTGGAAAACCTTGGAGGAGGCCTTTGTCCAGCAGTGGACGTCATTTGGCTGTAACGAACGAAACGCTCGCGACCAAACATATGGAATCACTCTAGTTGTTCCGAGCGATCGCAAGAATAGACACATACATAGTCAATCTGTTCTAAAAATTACTCGGAACCAAACACAACGGGGTGATTCCATATTTTTGCCCATAAGTATAATAAGTAATATAAGCAGCAGCAATATAACAAGCAATGTCATTACCATTCAAGGTTGCGTTATCAGGATATAATTAATCGAAACCTCTCACTTTTAACACGAGCAAACTAGGTTTAGTTTGCTAATTGAATCGTTGACAGATTGACCATTAATAGCTAAATTACATTCATCTGTTATTGTAATACTTAAAACGTTAACTAAAGTCTTAGAAATCACATCAGTGCCAACAGACTCACTGATCGGGGCGTTTCACCTTCGCAGGTTGTGTAACCAAACGTTCCCTCGTTGCAGATTTCGGCGAGAGCTTCGGCGGCTTCGACAGATTCCCCTTCGACGACATCCCGCCAGAGTTCAGGGAGCACTTCCCTACACACTGGAACCGCAGGTACAGCGCGCGCGACGAGCCCCCGCCGCCCGCGGCCCCGCCCGCACCCCCCTCCCCGCAACACAGCAGCGCCGCCACACAGACCGAGCCCGCCCCCTCCCCAGCCCCCGCCGCCCCCTCGTCCCACCTGCCGCAGTACGGGCTCCGCAACACCGTCGACCTCGGCCAGAGGAGCGCCGCCGACCCCAGCCTGGTTGATGCGGACGACCGGGGCCAACGGTCCATGTCCGCACCTCCCGACGGCTACGCGCACGACCAGAACAACCCCAGCATGAGCTCGCCCAACCACCCGGAGCACGCGGAGCCGCAGCCCTCCAACGTGCGCCACATCCCCATCTTCGTGGAGGGCCGCGACGAGCCCGTCATCAACAAGTCGGCGCACTTCGGCGAGCCCAAGCCGGCCTACGCGCCGCCGCCGCAGCCGACAGCGCACAACTACGCCGACTTCGACGACGGCCCCGCCTTCCACGCGCCGCCGAACTTCTCGCGGGCGTTCGGCACCCCCTTCAACAAAGGCTTCCGGCAGGGCCCGCAGCCTTTCGTCCAGCAGAAGGTGTACCCGCAGACCGCTTTCGCGCGCGGCGCCTCCCCGCAGCGTTCGCAGTCGCCGAAGCCGCAGCCGCAACCAGATGAACACTATGTGAAGGTGCCCGTGCACCACGAGCACGCGCCGCCCAGACCGGAGCCCCAGCCGCGGCCGCAACCGCAACCGCAACAACAGCAGCAGCAGCAGAAGCCCGCGCCGCAGCAGCAGGCGCCGCCGAAGCAACCCACGCCGCCGCCGCAGCCCAAACCGCAGCCTCCCTCCGCGAACGACCCCATAACCCAGATCCTTAGCATTCAAACTGACGTCCTCAACCTGATGTCCGAAGTGGAAAACTTCACCGGTACCAAAAAAGACAAGAGATATTTATTCCTAGATGAGATGCTGACGAGGAATCTCATTAAGTTAGACAATATTGAAACGGAGGGCAAGGAGAACATCAGGCAGGCCCGGAAGGAGGCGATCAAATGTATTCAAAAGTGTATAGCGGTTTTAGAGGCGAAAGCGGAAAAGGGGAGCAACGCGGCGGCAAGCCAGGACGTAGTTATGAATGAAAACGCCGAGCTGGCCGACCCGGTCGCGGTGAACGGCGCGGAGGTCGAGATGAAGGACGCGCCGGCCGAGCAGGTAACGACCGAGCAGAAGGAGGAGGCGCACAGTACACAGTCACAACAAGAGATTAAAGATACCAAACCCCAGGAGGAGAAAGTGGAGGCGGCTGAGGTCCCCGCCGCGCAGGTCGCCGCGGAGCCCCAGGCCGCCGACACGCGGCCCGAGGACAAGGCCCCCGAACAAAACGCGGAGCAGAAGGACCAGGAGACGACAGATAAAAAAACTAGCCCCAAAAAGGGTGGCAAAAACGTAAAAAAGAGAGATAAGAGTAAGGATAATAAAGAAAAGGATAGCAATAAGGAACAGACGGAGAAGAAAGAGACGGAAGCCACGATGCAAGTGGACGCGACGGGCGACGCGGCCGTGGCGATGGAGCTGGACGGTGCTGCTAGTCAATAGTTTAGCTTTGCCTTAGTGAATGAATTACTCGATGTAGATACGCGTATATCCGCCGCACGGGGCCACTCTGCCTTCTTTCCTCTTCGTGTTGATTCTCTGTGCGTAAATAACACAAGTGTTGACATATTATAGTGTTTATGTTTGTACAATTTACGTTTTTAATATTAAAACAAGATATGTAAAGGAATTTGTTGTCCTTCAGGATTTGGAATGGTCTCCTCTTATTTAAATCCTAATATTTAATTAATTTATTGTTTATCATACTTGATAACAACATTTTCGTAATAAATATTGAGTCCACAAAAAAGGTTCTGTTATTTTCTTCATTTCCCTCTGTTACTAGGGCTACTGAAATGAAAAATAATACTGGAATAATATTGAATTTAATCAGTTCAGCTTACGAATTAAAAATACAAAAATCATACAACTAAAAAGATGGCGATTACTAAGATAGCTTACATTGATAATATAATAATAATTTCATTAAAATATTCGCTATAGAACATTAAAAAAAACCTCTACATGAAAATAAACTCTGATAACATAATCATATCACAGAAGCACTATTTGGTTGAAATGTTGACCATACATACTCTTTAGGGAGTTATTTTTAGTTACAAAAGTGATAAAATATTTACTATTCACTTATATCCAGCAATCATTGCTGTCAACATTTCATTTTTTCCCACTTGCAAACTCAGTACAGTCACGCGCATAAACATGGTCTCTCACAGCAATAATACTATATCATTTGAAACTTTAGCAAGGACCAGATTAACTGTTACAATAATTGATCGCTCTTCAATTAGGTAGGTACTCGACACAATAAATCAATCTGTAAATAGTAAGACAACTGAAATTAATCAGTGATGTCATAGATTGACTTACAAAATTGGAAAAAAGCCGCGTTTTGACAGCTCAAAGAAGTGTGTCAATTGGAAAAAAACCGTATTGTCTGTGGTCAGTTCACTCCCACTCGCGCATCAGGCGGTCCCAGTCTGCGGCCGCTATGAACGGTTTGTCAATGCAGTTGATCATGTACTCTCCACAGAACACGCACTCGCTTGCCACTATGTCGTCGATCTCGTTGCGCAGGACCTCGCGAAGCGGCAGCCCTGATGACGTCACCGTTGACAGCTCGATGTTTGACAGCACTGACAGTTGGCGTTGTAAGTCCGTCAGCTTGTTGCGGCGGGCGGGGCCTGAGTAACAAATAGGCGATTAGAATTCAGCCGGGCTTGGATGCGCGTCGTGATAAAATCTTATCAACGATTTTAGACGACAAATGTATGGGCGTGTATGCACAATAGATCAAACCTGGTCGAGCTGGCGCAAATGAAGGCCCAAAAACCAATAATAATGGGCGTATCGCGTATCGTAAAATCGATAAAATGCGAGATAAAAGTTTATCGCGGCGCGCATCCTAGGCGTACAGGAGATCATTGCTGACCACATTTTTTTAATACAGTCACTGTGGAACTCGTTACCGAGCGGGAACAATAATAGTATCTATAGTATTGTGCATTACCTCACCTAGTATCTATCGGCGATATTTTTCTGAATATGCAGACACTGCAACTTGTGCGCGCATGGGAACTGAGTTATGCTTCAGTACCTTACGCCTGTACACAGAATAATAATAAGTACTACGTACAGAAGTTTTACTTCGCGAAGGTATTTAAAAAAATGTATGCTCAATGTCATTAACAATATGGTGTAATTTAGCTTGTCTCAAGAGTCAAGCAAGTTTGTCAGAAGTTTTGTTGACAAACGTCAGTGATCGGTACTGCGCCGAAGCTATAGGGCTGACTTCGGTAAAATGATGTGACGTGAGGTGCCAATCTGCAGAAAATGGCGGAGGAAATACATGATTTAGCATGAATTATCATGAATAATATTAACTACTTATTTACCTCTCAGTGTCTTGAGGCAACTTAAAAAAGTACATTCTGTGTTTTTATTATTATTTAGGCAGTTAAATACTGCACAGTATTTAGTACACCATTTTCTTTATTTTTTTCCATCATACACAAGAATACGCGTGCGTGAGTCAATGTTCGCTCGTATGTGAGGCCTTGTCGAATAGTACTCTTGTAGGGGGCAATCGTGCGTGTTTTGTTTTCGATGTAAACTCGCGGAGATGAACAGGCCCCTTTCAACACTTCGATGTATCTATAGTCAATTTGGCACCGTTGGAGAGACTGTAGCACTGCTCAGATCTCGATCGATTCCAAGGCATTTTCATTTCTTTATAGTTACTTTTGTGAAGCCTCAATGTAACCTTGTTAGTGATCGAATAAATAAATAAATAGTCCACAAACGCTAGATAATGTAGTAATTACCTTTATAATTTCTTTGATTTTACTAGTGTTTGGATTGACTTAATCATTTAAAAATCTTTCTTGCTGTTTTAATATTACACAATTTGGATAAACACAATATTCTACGAAGTGATGGAACAATTTTCTTAAAAATGTAAGAGAAATATTGTCACTTTTTGTTTTAAGGCGTTTTTCGTATTACTTTATTGTGACTTATCTTAATGATTTGGAGTAAAAGCGTCTTTATGCTAAAAATGACGTTTTTCAACACAGAGTCCACATAACTATCACGGCGTCCCGTCCAGTTCCCGTCACTACTAAAAACGTGTCACTGTTACTCACAACATATGCCGGTTTCCCCATTAAACTTCATAACGACACTAGTGATATCTGCCGAACTATTTGAGTTTTAAGCGTGGGATTTTTACAGCATGCACTTTTCGCGGAGCTCTGATTGATGGCGTTGTTAACTCAATTTCTGCCAATTTCGTATAGTGACGGTTTGATTATGAACGTGCGTATATCCTCTCAACTCCGCCTTGGTGGAAACCGGGCCTAAGACTAGGTGATACAAGTTTGCAAAACTCAGCGATGTTGAGAAACATCTGACGCTGCATCTCAGTCTCCTCGGGCATGTGTTGGCGACGGCCTTGGTCTTTCCCAGATCCAACGCGTCCTAATATTCTTTTGTTTTTTGGAATATTGTGCTTTTAGACCAGGTAATAAGGTTCAGTTCACTCACCGATATTGAGCCACATCTGGCGCTGCATCTCGGTCTCCTCAGGCATGTTGGCGACGGACTTGGTCTTTCCCAGATCCAACGCGTCCAAATGTTCTTTTGTTTTTTGGAATATTGTGCTTTTAGACCAGGTAATAAGGTTCAGTTCACTCACCGATATTGAGCCACATCTGGCGCTGCATCTCGGTCTCCTCAGGCATGTTGGCGACGGACTTGGCAAGCGTTAGGTCCACCTGCAGCGCCAACTCTACCGCGGCCTGCCACAGCCCTAGCAGGGCTGAGAGCTTCACGCATGCTTCGGAGAGGTTCTTCTCGCGACATAGCCTAGGTAATTAATAAATACTTTAACTATCAGCTAGTTCAGCTACCATTATTTGTTTTTGTTTAAGAGGTTGTGTTTTGCTGGCACGATATCTTTTTTTTTTTTTTTTTATATCTAGCTAAATTAGCATGAATTTCTTTCAAAATAGTGGAATTACGAGTAAACTAATAAATAATAAATAAATAGATATCCTTAGACATTTTACACTGCGCTTCTAGTCCCAAACTAAGCAAAGCTTGTACTATGGGTACTAGACAACGGATATAAACATACTTAAATACTTTTTTTTTTTAAATACATACTTATTATACATAGAAAACACCCAGTCCAATACAAACAAATATGTTCATGCACACAACTGTTTGTACTGTGCGGGAATCGAACCCGCTACCTCCGGAATAGTAGTCCGTTTCGAACCACTACACCAAACGGCCGACAATAAGTGAAGTAGCCATTCTTTTATTGTATAAAAAATTCGGTCATGGTGGGCGGAATGTTTAATACCATAAAGTAATAAAAAGAAGAAAATGTCATGTCATCAACAGTGTCACGGGAGAATTGTTTTTTGTGAAACTAAATCAAAATAAAGGATATTTTATCATCAAATACATTGTTGGACTTTATTCACGTAGATTTTCCCGATTACAATATTTGGGTAGATTTCAGTAAAAGTATTGTGTTTCTCTTACCTTAATGCGTAATGGACGTCATAGTTCACGAGGGTAGCATCCTGCCCCTGGCGCTCCAAATACCTCATCAGCGCCGTATGATCGTGCTCCGCGTATAGCGTCAGCAAGTAGTTGTGGATCGCGCGGTCTTTCACGTTGAAGTTCTGCTGCATGAACTCCAAGTATCTGATTATCTCATCCACGTGCGCCTTGTCGTTTTGACAAGACAAAAACGCTGGCAGCAACTTCACCGGGCTCAATTTCGGCCCTTGCGCGATCAACGCATTCACCGTATGCTTCGGAGTCTCTTCTATCAAAACTGGCGCAAACTGGTAAAACAACTCCGGCTTCCTCCAAGTCTGCAACATACTCAATGCCTCCAAGTACCCTTTCCTGTAAATATGCTGAGCTATAACATTTTCGTAGTCTTCGTTTATAAGCGTAAGCTTGATCAAATTCTGTTTATCACCGTGGGACGACATCAAATCGTATACGACAGATTTGATGTGCTGCATACATTTGGCTACTTTAGGATGGAGCAGAAACACTTCGAAATCACTTTGGATCTGGTGGTACTGCTCGTCATCTTCTTTCCCGGAACGCCGTAAAAGACCCAATTGGGCTAGATAGAGCTCTGTCATCCAAATGACAATCATGGATATTAGGGTCTTGTCGTCTTCTTCCAAGGCTTCCAATCGCTGATGCAAATACACTTTGAGTGCATTTGTCTCTTCTTTCTCCAAAAACTTTAGGCACACAGTTTCAAAACTGCTTTTGGTTTCGGCGTAAATTCTCGCGCTATCCTCGTATTTGCCTTTGGAGAACAATAGCTCGGCATGTTTAACATTGATGACGTCGACGAACGCCGGGTTGTGGTGGCAGTACTCTTTAGCTAACTCAAACTGTTCCCTATCTGTGTAAATTCTCCAGACATTCCTCTCTTCTCTGACAACTTTGTACCTGAACACAGCTTTATCTGTTACCGCCCAGATTGTTCTTCTATTGGGGTCTTTTATAATGTTTTTTAATTGTCCGTGAGCAACGGAATAAGTATCTTCATAAACTAATTCATGATTGAGTAGAGAAATGGCTTTAACTTTGTCAGAGTACATGAGAAGTACGTGAAATTCCGTGAGTACAAACGAAAGTGGAGCTTCATCTTTTGGTTGTGTTTCTGCAGGGTAGTTGATTAGCTCTCCTTGGGTGAATAGTGTATTTGAATTTTGTTGTGATGTTGGGTCTAACTGGAAGGTCAATGAAAAATACAATATAAATACTATTACAGACAGGGATGTTACATACATACTTTTGAAGTGATACTAACCTGTCCATAGAAGACACCAGGCTCAGTCAACCAAGCAAACGTTTTTGGGACATTGTTTCTGTCAAAAAAGAATTGCAGTCTCGAATATTTTAACGTAGAAGGTATTTCTTGGAACCCGGTTTCTGGGGTAGTTAAGTATGGGTAGAATATAGACTGGAGCGATAACTTGCCATCTGTAGCTACCGCATGTCCAATGAACTGGTATAACCTGGTCGGAGTAGTGATGAAAACAAAGAACTTGCTGGAATTCCCTACTCGGTGAAATTGTATACCAGTTATGGGCATCTCTGTTCCATGGCCTATATCAAATATCTGTTGAAGAGTAATAAAACATTTACATTTATGAAAAGAATAAAACATTTACATCATAGAGATATGCAAAACTAAACTCTTATCACAATTTTATTGATAACAGCCTATATGGTTTCACATTAACTTAACAATAAATTGTATCTCATTTATGTATAATTAGTAAAACTGGCACTATAAAATACAGGAAAATGGTAGCACTGTTTCAATAAATTTTGAATAATGTTCAGCATGTTGTTTACATTACCAGTCCGTCAATTTCCCTGCTTCCGTAAAGAGGCAAATAATTAGGCAGCTTGTAAAGAAAATACAATAAATTAAATATTAATAAATACATAAAAATACTATGTATGTTAATTTTTGTTTTATTTTATTAAGCATATACTACAGTTCATAATTGATTGTTAGTAGTTACACATGGTTAGTAAATAAAAATTAATAACAAAATAACTATTAATAAATTGTTTTTGGAGCATTAATTTGAAAACTAATTTTAATACGAACAATAAAGTTTTAAATTAATATTCAGAAAGTAGAAATTAGTGGTTGAATTACCTGTCTCCAATATTGCTGGTTGGCTGTAAACATCCTGTCACTGTCTGCCTCCAGTTCTGTTTCTAAGATATGGCCTTGGGAGGTCCCCAGCAAGATGGGGCCAGTGCTATTCTCCGACGTATTCTCATAGTTCCAGCCCACTTCAGTGACTTCATAGTTCTTGGATTTGCTCACAGGTTTCAGCTTGGAGCTCTTTCGATGCAAGTACACCAGCTCCGGGTAACCTTCTTTGTTCCTTGCAGTGAACGCTAGGAGCAAGTGGTACCCAAGAGGGTCAAGGAATATGCCTGACAGCTTAGAATTGGGATGAAACTTTGAGTATTCAATTTCTGAAAGGAAAACTTATTTATTAATTTTATTTAATACAGCAGTAGCTTATTCTCTCTAGCGGTCTTTTTAGTCAGTCATAATTAAATACTGTTGTCAGTTAAAGAAACTTAGAACAACCAACCTTCATGCTGATCAGGTTTCTTCAGATCCAGCCTAAATAGCTTTCCATTGGCCATGGCAAGCACCAGGTAGTCACTGGACACGGCTACGTGCGTGATTAGGTCTGAAGGATTAAAATTCATCTTCTGCTTCGAGAACATGGGTGTATTGTCATCAAATTGCATATTGATGTACCCCGAAGAAGTCATGGGCTCCGACGCCTTGCTTCGCTGAGAAACCTGCGACGCCTGCTCGTACTGGTCGAATATCGACGTCATCTTGATTGTTTAGGCCTGAGGGCCTTCTTGAGCAAACAAAAACACTAATCGCCACAAAAATAGTCACTCAACTGTTGTGGTAATGTGGTAATAGCGATAATTTTGTTTGATTTCTCTATGGTATTACATTGCTAATTTTCAATATGTATTTTTAGAACAAATTGTACTTTAATTATATAGTCCATGAATTAAGTCGACAATACTTTTTCCAGGGATTTTTCTACGATTTAACAATTGAAGCATTGGGAGCAACAAGGGCGTTCGGCACCGAAAGACCGTTTTGATGTTATTACATCAAAACATGCACTGTACCATAGAGAAAAGTAATACATAGCACTGTACCATCTAGTTTAACATCCCAAAAACTCGTTTCGATCAGCCGCTCCCTGATGGCGTGAGAATAATTTATGTCACAAGTGGCGCTACGCCCTTGTTGCACACAGTAACAAAAGTGCGTTTAAATTTGACCTGTATGCAGTTTTTAAAAACTTATTAATGTAAAAAATTACTGAAGACTAATTTTGAGTCTTCCAGTGACTTGGCCCCCTTTAAGATTGGTACACGGACCAAGTCGCCAGACTGAATTTTCAATTATTTATTCCTCCGGCAAATGGACTCACTCTAAGATTCTAGAGTAGATTTGTGTTGATTTGGTGTTTAATTTATTAACAAAAACATTGAAGGTTCACCTTTTTAGCTCCGGAAATTGCGGCAACTAGTTTAAAAAAGAAGAAAATATTTAAAAATCCAATCCGGCGACTTGGTCCGTGGACCTAGCTAAAAGTGAGTCTAATGAGGGGTTGAAACTGGTCCTGACCTTCCAGGCAGGCCTGGAGGATCAGCCTGGACCTTCCAGGCCAGTTGCAGCTGATTCGGAAGATTCCCTTCAGTCTAGTGAATATTTTGATAAATCTGATCAAAACACGAAAGATGGAAAAAATATTGAGAAAGTTGAATATTTTAATGGTGATTGTAATAAATACACACGATTAACTTACATTTTAACTAAAATTAATAAAATAAGTATTCAAATTGTATTTATTTTCCATAAAAAAATAATAATTAAATTAACGTCCTATCTGTTTACCAGTTTGGTGCAACAAGGGCGGATAACACAAGTAAAAAAAATCGCATTTTAAGATGTTTCCGATTGCTTCAAAATAGTTATAATACCTTAATGTTATTGTTAAATCATGGGACTAACAAATAATAAAGTAAGTGTAAGTCAAATTATAAACATTGAAAAAATATAAGACATTAAAACTTTCATCGTCAATTTTCTCGAAACTCAATTTTTCGAGATACGCCCTTGTTGCACCCAATGCTTCAATTTTTCCTCAGTTCCTCACAAAACAGCACACAACAAAAAAACTGGATAACCAAATGTCAATGTCACTTTGACAGACAATAGTATAATCTGTGTTGCGTTTAGAAATTGTACGTCCTAAAATATATGTTACACCCCTTTCCGTCTCGCGAGTGTCAGTGGCTACACGTGTGTCAGGAAAAATATCGTTTATTTTGAAAATCTATTGCACTTTTTCACAAGAAACCAACTCTAAGCTCATTTATTAATCTAACTAAGGTGGTGGTAAACACATTTTGTTGTATTTTTGGTAAGTAAAACAGCATGGAGGTTATTCCTCCCGACCCGCCTGATCCTCCAGACCAGGCCGCCCCGATGGAGTTATCACAACCCCTTTTTTCACAAGTGCCAACCAAACGTCGTCTAGATACGGCGGTTGACTCAGAGCCGGCCAAAAGAACCATCACGGATGGTTCAATAACCCAACCAAACNACTTACCTACAAGAACTGTCTCCGTCATATGTCGCCTGCGTCTTGGTCATGCGTGCACCCCTGTCCACCTTGCGAAAATGCGCATTAAAGATAGCTCCATCTGCGAGTGCGGCCTGGATGAAGGAACAACCAACCACATCTTTTTTAACTGTCCCAAAATTGGATCCTCACTGTACGATTTTCTCCCTAAAGCTTTCCCCCGTCCCTCTAACATTAAATGCATACTTAACTCCATTAACTCCCCTATTTTAAATTCCCTTGTTAAATTCATCAATGTTAACAAAATTAATTTGTAGGTAGGTAGCTTTTAATTTGGCCTTGCGAGATTCAATCCAAATCTCCCGTGACTTTTTTTTTTTTTTTGTGTCACAAAAAGCTTTTCCCAATCCTTTCCCTTATCCCAATCCATGCTGTACAAAATTTTTGTGTATTGTTTGTTTTGTGATGTCTTTTTGTGATTGTGTGTGATGTCTTTTTTGTTTTAGGTACGATAAGTCCGCTTAGTTTTGCAGTTGAATTATTATTTTTTATATTTATTTTTAACATTGTGTAAAAGCTGCGCACGTGACATTGGCGGAACAGTGTGCCCCCAGTGGCGAAAAAACACAAGTCCATCGCCATCAATAAATGAAGAAGAAGTATGTTACACCTACAAAGGGGAAAAAAAAGGATGGCATAGGCGCATGGCCATAATCGTATCGGTATTTAAGCTCTGTCGCGCATTTGGTGACGATGATAAGAACACTCAAACCTCAAACTGATTTTTATGCAGTTTCCCTTTCCACACACAAAAGCACAAGTTTCTGTTTCTGAACGAACTACTGCACGTCACGTTGACATTTATAACTTGACAGTTGATTGACACCAACTTCTTTTTATTACGGCTAAGCTATTTTAGACTTTATCATATTTTAACAAGGTGTATTTGATAACAATCTTTGGTCTACCAGTAGTCTTCGTTTCTTCGTTATCAGAAACCGAAATTCCTTTGGAAACACCTATTGTATTTATGTTCAAAGTCAAAGTTATGTTTAAAAGGGCAGATACTAAAAACATATTGAAATCAAGGTTATAAGGTTCATAATAGTCAGTAATACGTGCACTACAAATCATTAGAATTTTGTGAAGTTATCGTATGCACGCCGCCGCCATCCAAAACAACGAAATACACGCTGAAATCCAGTTTTCGGATGACCTTGTTCACTATCATTATCGCCCATTGACATACTATCTTATTTGTTATATGTGACTTGTCCCATTCGAGGCGTATTTTTTCAATAAGCACAGTTGTTATCGGCAGCAATGGCATCTGGTGCGCTCTTGAAATCCACCAGATTAGGCCGTAAGTGTTCTTGTGACTACATAATATAAACTATTCTAACCAAATTTTGTAATGCCTACCAGGTAAAGATACCAATTTAATATGTTTTTCCATAGTATCATGGCCAGGCGCCAAGGCAGTGGCTTCTCAGTGCCGCACCTTCACCAGCCAGCTGACAGAGCAGCAGAAATCTATCCAGGAGCTGGCCCGTACCTTCACCAATGAACACTTGAAGCCAAACGCTTCTCGCCTGGATCTCCAGGGCCGGTACCCATTTGAACAGGTATGTACCAGATTTAAATTTACTGTATTAAAAATTATTGTAACCAGTTTTTCGTTAAATAAAAGACAATTAGTTAATTAGAGATGTTCAAACTAAAAGTTTATCAGATAATGTTTACTTGTTTCATTCATAATCTTTGTTGATTACTGCATGAGCTTGCAATGAATGCAAATAAAATAAAATAAATTATTAACAATCATTCTACTTATTAAACCTTAAAAAAGTAATCCTAGGTGCTTGTTGATTTGTTTTCATTTCTATGTATGCTATTATGTAACATTTGTGTATGTAAATATTTAAAATGATCTGAGAACTAGGTATTAACTTAAGTCCTATTGATTCTATTAATTAATATTCATTAGCAACTATTTTTTAATATTAATAGCAATTTTGGTTTAACTGAAAAAATATCTTGTTGTTGAATACTGGAAAATACAAATTTAAGTCTTATGTGGCCTTGAAAGTGCTGCTATCAGTGGAAAATTTGCATGAAAAAATGTTTATTTAAACTCATGGCTCTGAATCCAAATGTGAGTCAAATATCTGTATGAAAATGCTGCAGGTGTAAAGATATTTAATAATTGTTATCTGGGTCACCATAATACAAGCTTAGCTCAGTTTGAAGCTAGCATTAGCAGGACACAGGCAGGAGCCTATTATTAACAGGAGTTAATGCTATAATGCATAATATTGGAAGGATTGACATATTTGTAGTCACTCTGGGCTTATTAAGGCGATTAGAGTCCTCAATGACCTTGGGCGTTTGACCTTCACGCCGCGAGCAACACCCGCGTACCCCGCACCAAAAACTCCGATTTGACACCGATCAAAAATACACGGGCATAGGTAGATACAGAATAGAAGCTCTTTCTTCATACATTACTGCCTATTATTTTAAACTTAAATTGATGAACCTTGATGTCGGTGTCATTTAATTCAGGCGTAAAGCCATTTAATAAAAATAACAAAATCCATGAACATTTTGTACGGGATAAAATTTTATTTTATTTTTCGTAAATTTTTTAATGCTTTTGTCGGTTCAGTCGTTCTCGAAATTTGAACAAACCCGACTTTATTACAAGCTTTTATTTAGCTTGCAATTTATGATGTATGTAGGTAATTACATAAATGTTTGTTCGGGTGGAATCTTGCAAGCTGAATTAGTAAGACCGACTTCCTGACGACAACTAGGCTAGATGACAAAATTTCAATTATTTGTCCGCCAGACAGATAATTAGAAAATATTAGTTATTATCTGACTGCACGTACTCTATGAACAATTCTGACATAAAATCTATTGTCGAACAAAAGCTGGGTTGCACCATCTTACTTCAACTTTGACAAGCGTCAAAAGTCTGTCTAACTCCATACAAAAAACACCGGTTATCGCCAAAGCTACGGTCAAAGTTAGGTCACGTCAGGTGGTGCAACTTAGCCAAAGAAAAAATTCATTTTGATCGCTAATGTCAGTTTGTAGCGAGTGACACAACCTCCCCGTCTGAAGGCCAGCGGCCGACTGCCGCCCGCACCCCGCGAAGGCCCCCTCAACAGCAAAACGTTCGGAATTTATCAAAAGTAAAATTTATGAATGAAAGTAATGTTCGATTGAAAAACGCAACGTGTCATTTAAAGATTAAAGAATTCCCAATCTATTCGTGCAAAAATCTTTTAAATTAACATAGCCGTTTTGGAGGAGTAGGGAATTTAAGTAAAAAATCGATGTCCCGTATTTATTTTTTTAATCCAAAACAAAGAGACGTAGCGAAAATTCAAACGTCACAAATGTAGTCCTTAAACTGTTGTATAACATATATTTTTTTCAACTATTTCTGTCCAGCAGTAAAAGAGGAGTAGGCTTTACAAAATGCCCATTTAGCGCGGATTGAGGACACTAATCGCCTTAAGCACATTGCTTGACCATAATATCGCCGATGATCTGAAGTTTAGACATAGTAATAAAGAGTATTTTTCTTTTGATATCATCAAAGCATTAAAATATCTCAAGACATTTACTGCTGTCCAAGTGTCTAGAATGGCTTCATAAGAGTCAATATTTTTTCCAGCTAAAACAACTCACAAAACTTGGCCTGATGGGCGCCAATGTAGACGAGGAATACGGCGGGCTAGGTCTCGACTACCTCTCTCTCACAGTAGCCATCGAAGAGCTGTCTCGTGGTTGCGCCAGCACCGGAATGATCCTGTCCATCCACAACTTCTTGTACGCCAACCTGGTCAACGAGAGAGGAACACCAGAACAAAAGGAGAAGTTCTTGTGTGATTTCACTAAGGGTTCCATTGGATGCTTCGCGTTGAGCGAGCCTGGTAAGCATTTTATTACATCCATTGCATGTAGGTACAGACTAATTATGTATTTATGAGCTGATAAAATGTCGTTATATGGTGTGGTAAAATGTATATTGTCCCTAATTTTAAAATTATTACTGCACCTTATAACTACTAGTATTTTGGTTTATGTGGATTGCATAATATCTATGCTATGTATATTTTGCTATCTAATCTATTTTAATCTGTAGGTATGTAGTAGAATAATCTGATATTTTTGAAGATCTTGTCAAAAAACTGTATTATGGTATAGCTTATTTTATGAATATAAAAAGAAATCAAAATACCAAATCCTAAAAAGGGCATGTTTCTCACATCCCCCATATTTTTACCAATAATAGATTTTTCGCCAGCTAACGTTATAAAGATGGCTACTGGTGACCCTACAAGCCCCTCAAGTACCCGCGAATCGTGACAATAGAAATCAATTGAAGGGGTCAGTGGACAAAGGTCTTAACTGACAAAGTGAGATATTTCTTTCTTTGCCAGACGCTGGCAGTGACGTCGCCAACATCAAGACTATAGCGAAGTCCGACGGCGACCACTGGATTCTGAGCGGCAAGAAGAGCTGGGTCACGTCCGCCATTGAAGGCTCCGCGACCGTCGTGTTCGCGACCGTCAACCCTGAGCTCAGGCATAAAGGAATCGCGTGTAAGTTAAAGACCTTTTTCTTAGAGTAGGCGCACACCGTTGATTTTTCGTCGGCCGATAGTTTAGTCGGGCAGTTGATCAGTATGGGCATGTATGGGAGTGCGCACACTACGCCGATTCGATTTGGCCGATTCTTCATACAAATTCAAATCGGGCACAACTATCGGCCAACTAAAAATCAACGGTGTGCGCCTACTCTTATTCTTCTTCTTTTTAGGTTGATGAACATTATTTTGGTTGGGGCAGGAAAGTTCTCGAGTGGCGACCACGGGCTGGAAAACGTAGCGTGGGCAGGCCTCCTACTAGGTGGACCGACGATCTGGTAAAGGTCGCGGGAAGAGCCTGGATGCGGGCAGCGCAGGACCGTTCATTGTGGAAAACCTTGGGGGAGGCCTTTGTCCAGCAGTGGACGTCATTTGGCTGAAACGAACATTATTTTTATTGTTTGTGGCCAGATCTGATTATGCAGTTCTTTGAATTAGAATTCTGATATCAGTTCATCAATCAACTTCACCTGATATCGCCAATAAGTTAGCTCACCACAGAATTACACTTTTTCTCGCCTGATTTTGGACCTTACAATGATATCGCAAAGTACAATATTCAATGAAGATATTCTCTTTTCGTAGCAGGGATACCAACTAATAGCATACTTATTATTATTCTGTGCTAATAGTACCTAACACTAATGAATCTTTACAGGTTTCCTTGTCCCGCTGGACGCTGAAGGCGTGTTCAGAGGCAAGAAGGAGCCGTTGATGGGCGTCAGGTATTTGTTGCTCTTTCATTGCTTAAACCTTTCCATCTCTTTCTTACTATTTGCATATTTACTTTAATATGTTATTTTTTTAATTTATTATGCACCCTTTGAAAACGACGCCAAATAAACTCGAATACATATCCTCCATCACTGGATTCTTTATAGTGTAGCCGTATTGGCTAAAAAAAGGCTTTAATTTTGTAGACTTAAGTTCACTATTTTTTTTGGATGTACGAGTATTATTCCAATGAGGGTGTTCGCGACATAATCAAATATGATTGGTGGATTTTGACATGACATTGACAATTATGTCAATGTCATGTCAAAATCCACCAATCATGCATCATTTGGACCTCCCGTCTACGTATTGCCATCTGGCGGATTTTTCAATCGAGAAAACCCTCATTACTAGTATGTACGTAGGTCCTCTTCAGAGCACTATTAGGCTGCGTTTCCACCAAAGATTCTATTGGTTCTTTACAAACATATCTCTGTTTCGCTCAAGGTCAGCTGGTAGAGAATGACGTATGGCATTAAGCTCGCCTTTTTGTACAGAACATTGTTGTGTGTGCAATAAAGTCTTTAAATAAAAAAAAATTAAAAATATCCCTCGCTACGCATCCTCGCACATCTGGTGAAAACGCAGCCTTATACAGGTCCCAGATATAGCTTGCCTTTGCCGATCGTCGATTCTTAAATAAGCTTACTAACTTTCTAAACATCTAAACAACCAAACCTAGCTCCAATTCACAGCATTAAAAGAGCTTATGAAATAGAAGTGAAGCGTGTCTTACAGGGCTGCGACCGCGTGCGACATCACCCTGGATGAAGTGAGGATTCCGAAGAGTTATATGGTGGGAGAACCAGGGGAAGGCTTCCGGATAGCCATGGAGCAGCTGGATCAAGGAAGGATTGGGATAGCTGCTCATGCTGTTGGTAAGTCATTTACAGTCTTCTAAGAATTCTCGTTTCAGCCACTCCACTCCAGTCCACTGTTGGACAAAGCCCTCCCCCAAGGATTTCCAAAGATCAGTCCTGCGCTGCCCGCATCCAGGTACTTCCCGAGACCTTCACCAGATCGTCGGTCCACCTAGTGGGGGTCCTTCCCACACTACGTCTTCCGTCCCGCGTCTAAAAATTAAACCCATAAAATACAAGAGAAGGGGTAGTGAAATATATCATGCTGGATGAAGTGAGGATCCCCAAGAGTTATATGGTGGGAGAACGGGGGAAGGCTTTCGGATAGCCATGGAGCAGCTGAATCAGGGAAGGATTGAGATAGCTGCTCATGCTGTTGGTAAGTTTAAAGTCTTCTTCTTCTTCGTTTAAGCACTCAGGAGGTCGTGCAAGACAAAAAAGAGGGGAAATGAAATACATACTAACACTGGAAGAAGTGAAAATCCCCAAGAGTAATATGGTGGGGGAAGACTTATGCATATCCATAGAGCAGCTGGACCAGAGGAGCATCGGGATAGCTGCTCATGCTGCTGGCAAGTTCACAGTCTACTTCTTCTAACAATATGTTCTTCTGATTAATTTCGTTGCGGATCCAATGACAGTTTAACTTTTCCCCGGGACAAACTTGACCTTCACTGGTTGGGTTTTTGTTGGCGGTCAAGCTGATCCTGGCTACACAGGAATTGCAGTGGTGGGAACGAGGGGTGGGAATAGTCCCGTTCTTCTAACAAGTAAACGCACAGTATGTATGGAGACTAATGTAGCCACTGCATAATCTCAACAGCACATGTAACAACAGCCTTGTATTTTACAGGCATCGCACAAGCGGCTTTGGATACAGCCATGGAGTACGCCAAGGAGAGAGAGGCTTTTGGAAAAATCCTTACAAGACTGCCGTCAGTCAAGGTATGTTATTATATTATGCTAAACCGCCTCTGTACCCGAAGTTCTACCCCGTACTTCTGTACCCGGGAGCCCAGGAGTAGATTATTCCTTATTACCTAGTGGTAAAAACACCTACTCCTGGGCTCCCGGGTTTGATTCCCATTGAGGGCAGATTTCAGTGTAAAAATTTACACCATTACAGTAGGTGACGTACAAGGTAGCACACCAAGACATCTTATTTATTTTTAATGTTTTTTTGTGTTAACCCCAATTGTAATAAATATTTCTTTCTTTCCAGGACCGCCTAACCGACATGTGTATCCTCGTCGAAACAGCGCGTCTTCTCACGTACCGCGCGGCAACTCACGTGTGTACGAAAAACAGCGCAATGGCGAAATACGTGGCGGGACGTAACGCCGCCGCTGTGGCCGATCATTGCGTGCAGATCATGGGCGGCCGCGGGCTGTCAACCAACTATAACGCCGAGAGGCACTTCAGGTACAGTAAGAGGCGCTTTAGGTACAGTAAGAGGAACTTTAGGTACCGTAAGAGGCACTTTAGGTACAGTAAGAGGCGCTTTAGGTACAGTAATAGGCACTTTAGTTACATTAAGAGGCGCTTTAGGTACAGTAAAAGGCACTTTAGGTACAGTAAGAGGCGCTTTGGGTACAATAAGAGGCACTTAGGTACAGTCAGAGGCACTTTAGGTACAGTAAGATGCACTTTACGTACAGTAAGAGGCGCTTTAGGTACAGTAAGAGGCACTTTATTAGGTACATTAAGAGGCATAGCCACGATAGCCCAACAGTGAAGTAGTCGGACTGGCCGACTCGAGATCCAAGGAACGCGGGTTCGAATCCCACCGCCGCTCGACTATTGTAGGGAGCCCACTCGTAACACAAGCTTATTTAGCTTAACATGAGGGGCTCACGGGACTATTAGTAATCTTTAAAAAAAAGTAGGTTCAGTAAGAGGGACTTTAGGTACGCTGCAGGTATGAAGGTATACTTTAGTACGTGGCGAATAATGAAATTATTTATTCCAACAGGGACGCCCGCGGTACGCAGATCTACGGTGGTGTGACCGACATTCAGAAACGCCTCGTCGGTCACTACCTACTCAAGGAACACGGCGCCCTATGATGCGGCACGGACGATAGAACGATAAGTTGCGACTGATGTATACCTAAATATCTACATCGATAAAATATCAGTATCTAAACACTCAAGATATAATGTGCATCGTGCATATTGATTTAAATGCGTAATATTTATACAGGTGAATGCGCTTCGAATGGACAACTTTAAAATGAACGCTTTATTCAACTTTTATGTGTCAAACGACTCAATCTTTATTTTATTTTCATAATTCTACCATATACAGGGTGTTAGGTAAATGGGTATATGAGCCGACACTAGCCCATGTTAACATGGTCATATAAATGGTATGGTGAAGTCAGAAATTTATACAACAAAGTAAATATATTGATAACTAGCTGACCCGGCGAACTTCGTACCGCCTTAGCGTAGAGATTTTCTTAATATTTTTTTCCGTAAGAACCATCCTTGGACTTCCACAAACATTTAAAAAAAAGAATTATCGAAATCGGTTCAGCCGTTCACACGTGATGCCGTGACAACGCGAAACGGGTTTCATTTTTATATATATAGATGTGTATTTAATAGACTTATTTACAGGTGATTTCGTAATGCATAAACTTAAACATGTATTCTTATTCTTACTTTGTAACGTAAAGCATTTCAATCATGGTGAAAACGTTTAATCATTGGTGCTTGTAATTTATAGGTGTTTGGTTTTCATTCTAAGTAAGTTTTACTCATTTCAATCATACTCTCGAACCAGTACCATATCTAGTCTTTCGGTAAAAGTCAGTTTACTGTATCAAACTGGTGCGAAATAAATTAAGCTACTTTCATGTCTTTTAATTCCAATGTTGCCATATCTTTCTAATTTTCCTTTTAAATTATTTGTTATTCTCGCCAGTTTGACAAAAGTAAACAATTCGTCACGAAACTGTGATTTCAAAAATATGTTCCTAAAAAGGAACATAATAATAATACTTATCATTACACTTTGTGATGTAATGTACTTACTTATTTAAGTTAATGCTACATTCCATTTACTTGATGTTTTGCAATTTATTATAATTGTTATTATGAATTATTATTCTAATAAATATTACATAATTTAAAATAATACATTTCAAGTACAATAATAATGTAGTGCTTGCATGTTACACTGAAAACTGGTGGCGTTACTAATCATATTGTTGTTCTTCTCTTATGCTTGACTTAATGTAAGTATGAGTGAGATGCATATAGTTTACGTGTACGTCATTAGTTTTTACGCTTTAATCATGCGGGTACTATGGTTATTAATACAATGTATAATATTGTATAATAATTAGTCTTCCAACTATCGACTGCCATAGTAAGTATAGCATAATTATTGTGAATGTACATAGTTTTGTATCTTTGAAACTTAAGTACACGAAGTCCTATTTAACAGTTTACTATGATTGTTAAGTTGTTGCAAGAATAAATTTTATTTTTTAAACGAACGTTTTAATTTAATATCTCTTAGTTACATTCTCTTCGTTGTATCAATTTTATTGAATGACTAATTGGCACGGATTTGTTCCTAAAAAAAATAACTCCTACACAATTTTACGTATTTGACCATGGCCTCTGATATTAACAGTGTGTCCAGTCATCGTTCGTGATAAAATAACTAAGGAGTTCAGCTAGATTTCACTTCCCTTTTATCAAAGTAAACATTATTATGATCCACATAATGATGCGCTTGCGATTCGAGTGGGCAACGCTAACCCACGCCTAGGACGCCAATCCTGCTACTACCGCGTCACTTTTAGCAGTGATGAAACCGATCGCGCGATAAGACAACGATAGATATCTCTTATCAGTCGCCGTTTCACGCCCGACCACCTCGCACCGACTGAAAACATGCGAGTTTTCATATTCCTCCTTTTTTTAATCGACTACCGGCTGTGCCAAGACCCTGAACCGTTCCAAGCTATAAAGCTGTGTGATGTGTGCGTTTGTAGCGAGATCAACGATTTCGATGGGACGCATTTGGTGTTCAATATACTGTGTTCCGAGTGGGACAGGATCAAGAATGTGACAGACCTGGACAAGATAGAGTGGCCGCAGAACACAAATGGACTGAAGATATCCGCGACGTTCGAAGGACTGCAGCTTAACACTTTGGGCAAGTAAGTCATGTGTTTGTGTATATTCTTTACCTAAGTGAGTACTTTTCTTAGATGAGTCATGTCTATTCTCACTATTCTGCTGCAGCAAGAATCATTATTAGACCAGGCAGATATTTACAGCAATAAGTTATTATTCAATACTCAATAGTTTATTGCTTCCATAATGTTTACAAAAGGTGTTATTGGTAAGGTAAGATACAATTATGGACCCTGTCGGGCACTGCATTTATTATCCCTAACATTTCTGCAGTTATGTATAGGTGCCCCAAATGGTTTAAATTAATGTAGGCGCAGTAACATTAAACATAATTTTGAATGATCTATTAGTCTAGGACGATATTATTATTAATATGGTTATATTACCGTGCTTAGATCGCAATATTGACGCAAGTTAAACTGCCATCGGTCCTTCCTGGCAGACAGTAAACAATGTTCGCACGTTACAAGATCTGATTGATGTGACAGCTTCGCACACTAGGTATGCAGTTCTAGTTTTTCGCAGATAACCCGGGCATTGAACTTTTAGTATGTACTTAGCTAGCAATGGTAGACAATGTAATTTAATTACTAGTATAAAAATAACCCAAATAAATTAGTCAATAACCAAGTAGGTATGCGTACCTATAGCATGTTTGATTTCATTGATGAATTGGTGGTTTCCTAATTCCCGATAGTCTGATTACTGAAATATATAATATCATAGGAATGTATAAAAGGGTGACTACCATTGACAAAAGCAAAGTTGCTAAACAGATGAATCAGTTTTCAAATAAGTCAAATAAAAGTTATCAATATTTATCGCATGTGTGACACAAATACTTCCATGTAGTGTAGGCGTAGGTGCGAGTAATTATCAAAGATAATGACTTATACGAGTATACTTAGTCCTGACCGATGGGTTTAGTAGTTACCTATTGCATCTGACTAAGCTATCTGCAACTGTAACCAAAAATGTATGACTAAGATTCTTTACAGGCTACCACCAAATTCTCAGGTAGAATCTCTGCAGTTTCCCAACAACGCCATCGAGATATACTGGCCAGAACCATTCAGCCACGTGCCTAATCTGAAGAAACTATCCCTCGCCAGTAACAAAATCAGGTCCATAACCTTCGACTTATTAAAAGGCATTGAGCAGTTGGAAGACTTGGACCTTTCAGACAACAAGATATCAGAAATCAATCAGCTATGTTTCAAGAACCTGAACAATCTAAAGAGGGTAAACTTACAAAACAACCAGCTGACAATGATGCCGATAGAAGCGATATTGCAGCTGCCGGTCTTAGAGGAGCTGGACCTGGGAAAGAACAACATATTCGACTTGATGCTGCAAAAGACCAGCGGCAATGGCTTGACGGGACTGAAAAGGCTATCGTTGAAAGGCAACAAGATCCGGTCTGTAATGACGCACTCATTTCCTGATAACAACAACTTGTGAGTAAACCAATACTTGTCGCAAGATATATTAAAATTCGTTCTTCGATCGTTAAAAATAGTATTTTGTTACAGGGAATTCTTGGATCTGTCCAACAATAAAATTGAACTGGTAGAAGACAAATCATTTCTATCATTCACGAATTTGAAGGAGTTGAATTTGGGAAGCAACAACATAACTCTAGTTTTTGATCTGCCGCCGAGTTTAGAAATTTGCATCTTGAAGATAAATTCGATGAGGCATTGGCCAACTTTCCCCAGTGGTATAAAGTACATAGATTTATCCTACAACAGATTAGAAACTTTATACGATGCTGACACAAGCTTCTCCTACTTAGAGGTAAGTTTTCTTGATTTTAGGTTCTTAACAGTGAATTAAGAAGTAGGTATGTTTGGTTACTGTAACTATTGTAACAAATTCATTTCAGATTTTATATCTTGGTGGAAATCAGATCAAGGAGTTCGACATCGCGAATCCCTTGCCACAACTGTTCATTTTGGATTTGTCATTCAATTTACTTCAGGAAATTCCTAAAACTCTGAGTGAACTAAATTTCCCGAATTTAGAAGATCTCCGGTTGGATGGGAATATAATAGACAAAATTTATTTTCCAAACGTTATAGTTTTGAAGAAATTGTATCTGAATGATCTTCCAAAACTGGAAAATGTTGAAGAAAAGGCATTTACAAATGTCGTCGGGCGAGGGGTGGACGAGAAAGATGATGTTTCGAAGTGTTTTTATCTATATTTGTCGAACTGCAGATCACTAAGCTCGATACATGAGAACGCTTTTGAAGGAACTGATGTTTGTATGGTGAGTAAATTAGTAAAAATAATTATTGGAATATCAGAACAGAAAGAAGCAAGTCACTAACCAACAGGCAACCTTTCTATGTTTGTAAACACTTATCTAGAATACCTTATCTAACCGTGTAGGTCAAAAGCAAACAAACGTCATTCCTCAAGGTAGGTACTACGAGATACGCGTAGGGCTTGTATCCCTTTATGACATTGAACGTAATTTCCAGGCAAAATAAACATTGGTATCAGTAACGACGGTATAAAACCTGATATACTTACATGTTTGCGCATCTAACAAAAATAGAAGTACTAGTTATCGAAGTATAATCTCAAGGCTAATGCGGTAATTAGGCCGTTACCCCGAACAGAATGAAGATGATGCAGACCTCAGAAGATGCACTCAGAAATGACTAAGTATCATCTTTAAAGCGCAGTTAAAGAGCTTGCACTCTTTTATCAATTATCTAGGAATCAATTTGAGTCTCTTTAGTGCTCTTACTTTGAGTTAGGAAATCTTGAAAGGGTATCCAACCTACAACCCGATCGAGTTAACTGCGCACCTGGCAGCCTTGACGTCACATCGACGTTCTGGTACGGACACGGGGCGAACGCGGGAAGTGCGAGGGAGAGTCGCATTTAGTGAGGTGCGGAGTTAGCAGATCAGGTTGTAGTTACCAAGCTCGGATACTATGAGGTTGTTCTTACGTGTTGTTGCGCGCCTTCTTGGCTGGTAGTCTGCGAGGCGAGCCGGCCTAGTCTGTACTATAGTATTTTAAATTTTATTGTCTATGCATCATCAAACCGTCTCTTTGATATGGTCTCAGTCAAGAGGGCGCGCAATCCGCAACCCTCATCGTGTGTTGGTACCCACTGAAAACCAGCTTCTCGACATGGCGCTTGTTATGATGCGATTATAGCTGAGCGGACACCTTGTAGTTAGGACCAGCTTGTAGTTTAATGTTTTTTATGCTGAATAAAGTATTCTTATTCTTATAATTTCCAGCTGGACGTCAGCTACAACAACTTGACGCGGCTGCCTCGCGATCTTCTGCAGTGGGGATCAGTAAGCGAGGGTGTAAACCTGCAGCACAACCCTTGGCATTGCGGTTGCGAACTGCAGTGGATGCTGGACCAGCTGCTCCCGCTGTTGTATAAGGCTAACGCGTACCTGCTCGATAATGTGAGGTACGGAAGTGAGAGTTCGTTTATTCGCTCGATGTTTATCTCCAGTTCATCATCATTGTCAGACTACCTATTAATACCAGAACAGGGTCAATGGTTAAACTATTAAAGTTATTATTGTAACAAAAATCCCAATACCGTTAATAACTTTTCTTTTCACTTTCCATCGATAAACGATTTTATCGGATAAACTCTATTATATTTTTTTAAATATATCCTACTAATATTATAAATGCGAAAGTTTGGATGTCTGGATGTATGGATGTTTGTTACTCTTTCACGCAAAAACTACTGAACGGATTTTGTTGAAACTTCACAGTATTATTGTTTATAACCCAGATTAACATATAGGCTATAATTTATGACGACATGTGACAAACTAAATTTCACGCGGGTGAAGCCGCGGGCAAAAGCTTTATTTATATTATACTAGCTGACCCGGCGAACTTTGTTCCGCCTTCATGGCAATAAATAAGCAGACATTTTTTTAAATTTCGAATGGGATAAAAAGTATCCTATGTCCTTCTCCTGGCTCTAAACTACCTTCCTGACAATTTTCAGCTAAATCGGTTCAGCCGTTCTTGAGTTATAAGCGAAGTAACTAACACGACTTTCTTTTATATATATAGATTAAGTACTTAGTAATCACTAGGTAGGTCAAATAGTCTAACTTGTTCTACTTAATAGCAAATTGGTTTAACGATTACGTACTAATTGGAATGTCGCCTGCTAACGGTTTGTTTAGGTTTTTAGTCAGTCTATCTGGTATTTTTGGCGTAATCTGTTGTTTTTATTTAATTATAAAAATGGTATTTCAATAAGACCTTTAAAATCTACAGATGTGGCTCTCCGCGTGCAGTGGAACAGTTACGACTGGTGCATTGGTACAACTGGACCGACCAGACCTTGTGTGGGGACTACCTGAGAGCTGGACCACATGTGAGTGCCTAGATTCGAATAAACTTAAAAATCCGTTTTATAGGGTGCCTTTGATACCTATTTTGCTTGATTTAGTTTTACGTTTGATGATTTTGGCCTGAACTTTAAAGTAATTAATCAAATTCGTTTAAAAGTTGGGTAAGAGTAAACAAATACCTTAAAGGAAAAAAATGTGACTTGTTATCTTTCTGCTATTATCTCGAGGACTTCCCAAGGGCATTGTGCTAAGCCCACCTATAACATAATCATAAACTGATTTCTTCTTTACAGATGGCATCATCAACAACAAATCCGTTCCTTGACATGAGCACAATGACAATAATACTTAGTGCTGCTATACTAGTCCTTTCACTGATAGCAATGGGGCTGATCATCTACCTTGTAGTGACAAGAAGGAAATACACGATCCGAAGGAAGGCTATGAAGCGGAGGAAACAAAATGCGGCTGACATGAACTCGAATGGCCACACTGAACAAATCAAGGCGCTAAATAAGGCTTAAAGTGATCCCAAGTTGTTACACTGAGTCTATACTCACTGTCGTCAGGGCGCATAACTTTATTTTTGCCTGCAACTACACTTTTATATTCTATGGTATGGTAAACCAATAGGCCCAGGATGCGCGCCGCGATAAGCGGTTATCACGCCATTTTATCGATTCTGCCCATATATTTTGGGGTCGATAAAGTATATCACGACGCGCATCCTAGTCCGGTTGGCGTAACAAACGTTTTTCAAAATAATGAAACATCGCAGTCCGTCCGACAGTATTACTATCTTAGGTTAGTATTCAATCAAAGGATTGTAAATTATTATGGATTGAAACTCTTAATCGCAATGGTAAGACGACCAGTCACTAATTCAAACTATGCATGAGTTCAGATTCGTAGCGAGTTTCTTATAATTTAAAAATATTATTTAGCATGTTAAAATATTTATCGAGGCATATAATGCCAGCGTGTTGTAAATAATAAATTTTTTTAAGAAGGGTGTAATTTGTAATTTTAGTTAATAAAATGTGTGATATCATTTTGTAAAATGGTTTTATAATATTGTGATAATAATATTCATCAGATTGTTATTATTTGTTCTACGTGTATAACTTTTACATTCAATCTGCTTTTTAATCTTTCCAATGTTTCTTTAATTTATTTTGATTCTTTTATGTTGAAAAGCCCGCCGTGTAGAATTACTTTTAATTTTAGAATAGTAAAAATTCAGTTACGTAAAGTTTTTTTTAAATTAAACAATTTAAGATTGTGATTCCGTGTTTTTATTTGTTGCCAAAAGGATTTAAGATTTTCCGAAGTTTTTCTGGGCCATCCCACTTTCCTGTTACCATTTTTTTCCAATAGATATAAGGCAGTATTTTTGTTTTCACGTGGTAAAATAATCGTCGTTCTTTGCTCTGTAAATAAAGTTATTGTGATTGTAGCGCCATCTACTAAACAAGTAGGGAAACATATCTAGGGTTTTAACTCGAGCATTGTTAAACTTAAAGCTGTTGAAGAATAAGAATTCTGAGAAAACTGGTGGACGCTTAATTAATACAAAAGTAGAATAGTGTCAAGACATGAAAAAAAAAATGAATAGCTTCTTTACTTGAATTTTCTAATCAAATAAAGTGATATTTGAATTTGATATTACTTGCCTGGTCAAAGGGGAAGGTCTCCCAAGGTTTCTTGTCGTAAACGAACTCGGCCAGTATGCCCTTAGAGTATGACGTCAGCAGCGGGCACGCCCCGTAGCCGTTGTACCGCGCTATAGGCTCCATCCCTTGCATCACTGCTGTCAGGTTCTGCTCTACCACGGCTGTTTGTTGAGCTTGGGGATACAAAAGGATCTATTTATTTATTTAAACACATGACTTTCTATTTGCAAAAAAGGAGTTACAAAAATACATAAAATTGTTAACCTAAGATTAGAAGCTTTGGCTTCTGGGGCTACAAGTAAGAACTATGGAAGCAATGAAAGATGATTTAATTCTTCACCTTACACCCATGTGACGATAACTAAACCATACCACATATTTCGACTAAGGTGTAGAGTTTTTGAAGTTAGGGCGAGTAGAGTTAGAAGCTTGGCTGAACTTGAACCTGTACGAACCATAACATGAACTCGTATTGACCACATTTTTCATGATAATGTTTTTTGGTGGGATTCAAATGTTTATTTCAGTAAATGGCATAAGTTTTATGAGCTTACTCGCAAACCAAAAAACGTAAAATCGTGAAAAAGCAGCGCAAGCCCAGTTCTTCTTATAGATAAATAGAATGGGAGTAGCAAGCTGTCAAAAGAGTCTAATGACTGAACATCTGATATAGCAACGCGAGAGAAAAAAGAAATAATGCAGTTCAACAAACAAACAAATAGCGCAACGAAAAATATCAATCCCTTACCGATAGCAGCAGCGGTTTTGCTATTCGGCGTGCACAAACAATCACCAACTCCAAACACGTTGCCATACCGCTGGTGCTGCAGCGAGTGCTGGTCGACCAACAAGTAGCCGGCGGCGGTGACCAGTTCAGTGCATCTCCGAAGGTCGACCGGTGGACTCATGGGCGGGGTCACGTGGAGAAGGTTGTAGGGGAGGGTTATGGTCTGCGGAGATAATGTTTTGATAGCTGTGATGCACTCGTATTTTGCTATTGATAGTTATGGGTAGTTGAAAGAGTATAGGCGTGGTTAGGCAGGGCGGGGCAAGGAAACTCCCCACCCCCTGTAAATTTTACGCCCTTTCAAACCTATTTTTTGTTTCGTTAAGTGTGTTAGCAGGAGATTGCCTAAGTCTAGTCCCACACTAGGCGCAGATCACCGACTTATAGTTGGCCGATAGTTGGTGCTGCAGTGAGTGCTGGTCGACCAACAAGTAGCCGGCGGCGGTGACCAGTTCAGTGCATCTCCGAAGGTCGACCGGTGGACTCATGGGCGGGGTCACGTGGAGAAGGTTGTATGGGAGGGTTATGGTCTGCGGAGATAACATTTTGATAGCTAAGATGCACTCCTATTTTGCTATTGATAGTTCATCATTATCATCATTTCAGCCATAGGACGTCCACTGCTGAGCATAGGCTTCCCCCAATGATTTCCATAATGGCCGGTTGGTGGCGCCTTCCCGCTACCTTTATGAGGTCATCGGTCCACCTTGTGGGTGGACGTCCCGACGTCCCCGACGTATTGATAGTTACGGGTAGTTAAAACAGCGTAGGCGTGGCTAGACGGGGCGAGGGAAAGAAACTCCCCACCCCCTGTAAATTTTACGCCCTTTCAAACCTATTTTTTGTTTCGTTCTTAAGTGTGTTAGAGATTGAAGTCTAAGCGCAGACCACCGACTGTTAGTTGGCCGATAGTTGGTGCTGCAGCGAGTGCTGGTCGACCAGCAAGTAGCCGGCGTCGGTGACCAGCTCAGTACATCTCCGAATGTTGTGAAAAGGGTTGTCTTTGACCAGAATATTCAATTCCTATACCCATACCTATCCTAATATATCATGCCGATACTGGTTAGCTTAATCAACTCAACGTATAGCGTCGGTTATTCGTAATGGCATAGGTACTTCTTCACGCACCAGACCGTGTTACCAGCGGTGTAGTATCCTACGATTGACCATGCCGAAGACAGAGTAGAATATAACCACATCTCCTCTTCCCTTGGAAGTCATAAAAGACGAATAAGGGAGAAATATACGAAAGTCTGGCTTCCCCAACCGTTTAGGCAGCAGCATAGGGAGTGTAGGCCCGATCCTCCATTTGCCTGTAGTAAATTGGAGCGAGTCGTGTTCTTGGAGTCAAAACTAAATGACCAATAACCAAGTCCATATAAGCATAACCACATAATAATAATAAGTACTACGTACAGAAGTTTTACTTCGCGAAGGTATTTAAAAAAATGTATGCTCAATGTCATTAACAATATGGTGTAATTTAGCCTGTCTCAAGAGTCAAGCACCATTTTGTTGACAAACGTCAGTGATCGGCACTGCGCCGAAGATATAGGGCTGACTTCGGTAAAATGATGTGACGTGAGGTGCCAAACTGCGGAAAATGGCGGAGGAAATACATGATTTAGCATGAATTATCATGAATAATATTAACTACTTATTTACCTCTTAGTGTCTTGAGGCAACTTAAAAAAGTACATTCTGTGTTTTTATTATTATTTATTTATTATTATTTGCACAGTATTTAGTACACCATTTTCTTTATTTTCTTCCATCATACACAAGAATACGCGTGCGTGAGTCAATGTTCGCTCGTATGTGAGGCCTTGTGGAATAGTATCCTGTAGGTGGGCCATCGTGCGTATTTTGTTTTCGATGTAAACTCGCGGAGATGAACAGGCCTGGCATAACTGTTTACTTAAAAACGCCTTACCTGACCAGCACTGTCCACAAACACAGCCGCAACGCACGTCAGCTCCACCAGCTCTAAGCAGTAGTTGACGGCGATGCACCGGTTCGCCGCGACCCCCATCAACGCTGTAGCGTATTTCTCAACGCCGAAGATTGCGTTGCCGGCGGTAGCATATGTGATGTTCGCGAGGTGGCGGATTTTGTGCTGGAAAAAAAATGTGGAAGATAATTCAATACATATAATTCGGAGCTGGTGTAATATTTCCAAACATTTAACCTTAATTTTTACCCGACTACGGCAAAGCAAAAGGAGGGTTATGAGTTTGACAGGCTATGTATGTATGTATGTATGTATGTATGTTCATGTGTTCCCTCGTTTTTCCAAACATGAAAATTACTATCCAACTACATTGGCAACTTCGTTCAGTTCAGTATTCTGAAAATCTTGTTTTATACTTTTTCAGCGTCGTTTTTTGTCGTAGTTGGGTTTTAGTTTTTTTACTTTTTATATTGCTTTAGTAACATAGGTAATAAGTAGCTTTCGTATTAAAAACATTTTGCCAATCGAATATGAGGAAAGAATAAGATGTATATAACATCATTTTTTCCTTTAACCCCTCAAGTTACTAAACATACAACGGACGAGATGAGGATCGAAATATCATTCCTTGAATCGGCAATCCGAAACTGACATCTTTGGGCGACTATAGTATAGTCGCCTTGATTTGTATGTAGAGCAGTGACGTAATTTGCCCATGGGCTAAGTATGGATATCATCCACCTCAATAAAAATTCATTAAAATGACCCTTACCTTCCTCCAGTAGTCGTCAGCCAAGTACATGATCTTCTGCGCAGCACCAGAGCACTTCCCAGCCGTGCGTGGAAACGTGAACACAGCGTGACCGCCTCGGAAGCTCCTGATGCTGCGCCAAGTCTTCTCGCAGTACTCGGATGCGTAGATCGTGGAGACGCCGCTTTTGGGGTTGTCCAGGGCCTCTTTTAGGCCGGGTATCTGGTCCAAGGATTATCAGGTTCAGATTATACTTTGTTGTGAGTTGTGAGAATAAGGCCGATATAGGAAACCAGCCAACTGCGTGCAGGCATCTCACCCTCGACGCGATTTCTCGAAAACTGAACATCCTTTTGCCATTATTGAAATTAAATAAAGAGAGGAAAATCATTATTAAGTGTATTGAATTTAGTCTACATACTACTTCATACGGCATTCAGAATACACTTGCCTAGTTCTTCTTCTTCTTTCACAGAAACATGAATTGTCAAGAGAGACGTAATTATAACCCAATGATTATGAACTTCGCTACAGACCAAGACAGTGCCATTGCGATTTTAGCTCGCATTGACACGTGTAAGAAAATATAACATATAAAAGTAAATCAATTACAAATTAACAATTGAAATACCTCACTGTGTATCACAGTAATTCAGTTCACAAATCAAAAATCAAATTACCTCTTTGATTGAGTTCTTAGCGGTTAAGCTGTAGATCCAAGCTATACAAGAATTTTAGTGATTCGAAGGAGAGAAAAGAGATTAGAGGATATCTAGAAGTTAAGCGGGAATGTTCCCGCGAATTGCCTTGTCATAATCATTGGCCAGTTCCACCGCCACCACCATATAGTCATAGCTGATCTTGTTCCCGCCACAGGTGTGCACCACACAGTTGCAGGGATCGAATTCCACGGCGCGGTCTTGGATCCACCTGACATCTTTGGGCAGCACTGCCTTCTGCAGCCCGTAGCTCTCTTATAAGCCGGCTGCGACTGATGTTAATAAAGGCTGGTAGTAGTGTATCTAGAAGTTAACGAGACTATTCCCACCTTTCGTTCTCACCGCTGCAACTCCTATGTAGCCAGGATCTACAGCTTGACGGCCAATAAAAGATCTAGAAGTTATTTGGGAATGTTACCGTACATACCTTGTCGTAATCATTGACCAGTCCGACTGCCACCACCATGTAGTCGTAGCTGATCTTGTCTCCTCCACAAGTGTGGACCACACAGTTGCAGGGGTCGAATTCTACGGCGCGGTTTTGGATCCACCTGACATCTTTGGGCAGCACCGACTTCTGCGGTCTGTGGCTCTATTTGAACTTGCTTATGCCAGCCGCGACTAGCGTGAACTGAGGCTGGTATAGTCTGGTCCGTGAGCACGTAGAATTTTGTCCAATGACCCCAAGCTACCCATCATTATCGCTCGCGCGTAATTATGTTGCTATCACGCTCGCACACTCACTGCGGATGCCAGTCGCACAGTCGCGAAAGCAATATAATTACGCGCGAGCGATAAGGATGGGTAGCTAGGGGTCATTGGACAAAATTCTACGTGCTCACGGACCGGGGTTTAGTAGTGTATCTAGAAGTTAACGAGACTATTCCCACCTCTCGTTCTCACCGCTGCAACTCCTGTGTAGCCAGGATCTACAGCTTGACCGACAATAAAAGAGTTCTAGAAGTTAATTGGGAATGTTACCGTACATACCTTGTCGTAATCATTGACCAGTCCGACTGCCACCACCATGTAGTCATAGCTGATCTTGTCTCCTCCACAAGTATGCACCACACAGTTGCAGGGATCGAATTCCACCGCGCGGTCCTGTATCCACCTGACATCTTTGGGCAGCACCGACTTCTGCTGTCTGTAGGTAGCTTTCTTATAAGCCGGCTGCGACTGATGTTAATAAAGGCTGGTAGTAGTGTATCTAGAAGTTAACGAGACTATTCCCACCTCTCGTTCTCACCGCTGCAACTCCTGTGTAGCCAGGATCTACAGCTTGACCGACAATAAAAGAGTTCTAGAAGTTAATTGGGAATGTTACCGTACATACCTTGTCGTAATCATTGACCAGTCCGACTGCCACTACCATGTAGTCATAGCTGATCTTGTCTCCTCCACAAGTGTGCACCACACAGTTGCAAGGATCGAATTCCACGGCGCGGTCTTGGATCCACCTGACATCTTTGGGCAGCACCGACTTCTGCGGTCGATGGCTCTCTTTGAACTTGCTTATGCCGGCCGCGACTAGCGTGAATTGAGGCTGGTAGTAATGGATCTGGAAGAGTAAACATATAGTATTTATTTATTGTTTGAAATAGTAGTGAAGAATAAGAAAACTATATGAAAAAATTGTAAACTGAAATNAATTACGAACTCCAGCGCGCCGCAAAGTCGGTGAATCCACGCTCAGCGTCGAGCGCGCTCAAGTTAGTATATCGTATCGTGTTGAGTTTTTGCTGTGCGTAGTGTAAATCGAGGGTTCCGATATTCTGGGCAAAAATTTCGATATCTAGTTGGCTGTAAACTCGTTATAAGCGGGTATCAGTTGCTCCGTTATTTGCATGCACTGCAGTGGGCAAACATGCAGTAACGTCGCCAGAGTCGACATTTTGCTTGACGATGACGACGATGTCTGGAACGATGATGATGACGATGCTCTCATCGAATCAGCATCATTTCCAACGGTTCAACAGACACAACAACTCAAAGAGTTTACGGAGGACGAAGATCTTCAGCCTGGACCATCCAAGCGAAAAAAGACAAAAAAAAGTCCATCGTTCGTGTCTCGAGTGCAGAAAAAAATATTTTTCTTTCCGTTTATTTTGTTTTGTTTATTTTGTATTGTAAAAAAATATTTTTTTTTACTGCACAAACAAATTATTTGTTTAATAAATTACTATTGTGTGATCCTTAATTTGTTGCTCTATCTATGTACTTATTTTTTATCCCATCAATTTCCTGAACAATTTCCCATTCGATTCGACATCCAGACACAACCGAGCGAGCAGCTCGCTCGACGCTGAGCGTGGATTCAATTGCGGCGCGCTGGAGATCGTAATTTTTGTCCAACATAAAAATATCCAAGAAGGAAATTGTAGGTTTGAATATGCTCCACAAGTTTGAATTCTACAATTTTTCATATTTATTAAGACCCAAAGAAAAAAAAAGCAAAAAACAAAAATTGTGTCCAAAATTTTTGACTATCGATCGATATCTCGATAACAATGCATGATACGCAAAAAATGGTTCGGGCGTTATTGTAGAGCACAAAGAAAGCTACAAAAAGTGTCCTACAAAAATTTTCGAGTCTCATCGGATAGCCGAGTTATTGCCGAAAAACAAATTTTACCCCTTTTTTCAACATGGCGGCGAAAGCTCCTAGGAAAGCTTGGTCGACAATCACAAGTTAAGCTTTTCTAGGTATCCCCTACAACATATTAAAAAATTAGAAGCGCAAATTCATTTTCTTTTTTGAATGTACGTAATGACTGGACTAAATATGCTTCTACATTGTCACTTGATTGAATGTGACAAAGTTGTTTGGTACTCTTTCTAATTTCTGCTTGTCCCAAAGGTTGACTGGAAGAGGATGCTATGCAATTAGTTCGCCTTTTGTACCCTCTTTTATGTGCAATAAAGGTTAAAAAATTTATAGAGCTCGCTGAAGTATGCTCACGCGCTCACTGCAAGTGTGACAGTTTGGCAACAACTAAATCGTCTAAGGCCCGGTTTCCACCAAGGCAAAGCGGAGCGTGTAATGTTTTGAGTAACCAATCAGAGGTGGAATTGTGTAAAGCAATCGTTATCATTTGATAGTTCATAACGTACGATTATTCTGTCAGACTTTATCGTACGTTATGAACTGTCAAATGATTACGATTGCTTTACACAATTCCACCTCAGATTTCTTCATTCAGATTGAATGAAATTGTCAATAACCGGGCTTCAGTTTGTCGTTTAATACTACCATTTTAAGCTTGTTAGACAGTACCTGAGACGGTTCCACGACAATAATATCCTCCCCTTTAAGTTTCCGGGCGAACCTCCAAGCTATGCTGCAGCCGCCTGTCCCTCCGCCCACCACGAGTAGCTTACATCTACAAACAAAACAAAATTAGTATGAAGGTCAAGTTTAAAACTGGCACCTTATGCTGTATCAAGCGTTATTTTACACTACCTTTATTATTTTAACTGATAAACTAACAAGTGACTTATCTTGAAACAAACTCGTAGTCGTCAGTGGATTGGTGGTATCACAGATAAGTGGCATCAAGGCTTTTTAAAAGCCTACTTATTTGTATAAAATAATAAGTGTCTTACGGTGCTGTGATTGGCCTCTAACACTACCTAACGGTAAAAGTTATATACATATTTACATAACATTACATACCTGTGATTTGTCCTGCAGTGTTGCACTCCATAGCGTCTTACTGCATAAATGAGTTTCTTTAAGTTTATATTCATCTCATTTCCACTGGAATTTCATTTTACTAGAATTGACATATTTGTTTTGGTCCATGTAAAGTTTGGAGCCAACTAGATTATTATAGGCAAAGGTAAACCTATTTATTAAAATGATACATTACTATTATTCGAATAGATATCGAAGTTAATAATGCCTCTTCCGACAATCCATATAGGAGATTTTTCATTTCGCCTTTCTCCTTTAGCATCTCTCTCTTTCTTTGTCTGACAACGGTCTGGTAGGGAGTGAAAACACGAAAGCTCTTTCAAATAAACCTCATATAATTCACAATAATAAAATATATGGTATTTACATAAATCTCTAAAAAATTATAACAGGTTACTTTAAATTTTTGTCTTAAAAAATGATATATTTTTGATTGTGATATCATTAAAACAACTACATTAAACTCTTAAAATTAAGTTTACAGTCGCTATAATTACAGATGCTATAATTCCACTAGCACAACTCTTATACATTGAAATAAGACGGTTTTAGCGGTTTTAGGTATACATTAAGCGGTTTTAGTATACATTAAGCGGTTTTAGGTATACATTAAACAGAAAGTATATTTCATCTGCATCTGGGTCTTGGTGTAATAATTCATAAAATATGTAACATGCATATTTTGATTAGTTACACCTATTGACAGAGTAGTATCACGTTTATTTTTGTGACTCACGGCTGTTTATGTAACATTAAATGGAATAAATAAATGTATACAAAAGTACATTATTTTATATGAATAACAATCTGGACAACCGTACATTTTTTATAAAGCTTACTCAGTTTATAACTGACAAAAATGAAGCCACTAATAGTGAGTATGTTTTTTGCCTAAAAACTAAAATTTGTCAAATATATTTTAAAAAAAAATACCCCAATTTTAATGCTATTGCTATTCTTAATTTAAAGTATATCTCAGCTCTAAATCAAATATTTCACAAAATTTTAATGTACAAATCGATTTTAAAAATGGTGTCATAATTTTTAATTTCAACTTCAAATAACGTGGTAAAAATTAAACATTTCAAAATATACACAACAAAACACCCATTGACAACAAATCAATGTAAAAATGTAACGCATAAAAATACCTCTTCTCATTTTTTGTCTTTGAGGCATTTAGGTACAGTTAGCACCGTAAAGCCTTGATCACACGTACCGAGTAAACGGGAGAGACAGTAAAATATTTACTCGGTCGAGACAGTTAGGTGAGCGAGTCATATATTCGAGCGCTCGGCCGAGCACTCGGCGTATTATTCATACACACCGAGTACTCGGCCGAGAGCACTGTCTCGCCCGTTTGCTCGGTACGTATGATCAAGGCATAAAGAGTACCCCAGTTTTAAAAACTGGATATATTAGTTTGTCAACTAGTTTGGACTTTTTTTGCTAACTGTACACACTTTATATGAGACAAAGTTCATACAATGTTCTAAAAAATAAATAGATCCAAAAGACGCCACTTAAGTATATTTATGGCGCTAAACTTAATTACCAAAGCGTCAAGAGAATTCACTAATATTTCATGTCAACAGTACCTAGCTAGTTCATATAAAAGTGCGCAAAATCTACGAATCATTTCCTCTTGTTGCTAAAATATACAAATATTCGTCTTTACAAGACAATTGTGCTTGCCCTAATATTGGACTAAAATTACTGCCTGTTAGATGATATACAAACGACATATTCAATTCGCCTTTGGGGTGTTTGTTTATATACCAAAGACAGTCGAGAAAAGTGTTAAAATTACCTTGCGGTGACGTTAGTCGCTAAAGTTAATGTGTTGCTTAACTTATGTAGCTACTTAGCGAGCGGGTTGACGATCTTTCTGATGAATTCGGGCCCGTGGTAGTTGCCTTTCAGCATCAAGTTCCAGTAGAGGAACGGGAACAGGTCTTTCTTCATGTAGTAAGCTATCGTGCTCTCACGCGACTGGAACAATAAAAAAGTATGTGCTTAAAGGAGCAAATGGTAAGAGATATGACTTAAAAAATATCTCATCGCGATAGTGTATCCTATAAGGACCGATTCAGCCCGAACCCGACCTCCAGCCAGAATCACGGTTTCAATATCACCTTTAAAACAATAAAAGTGTATATTGTGAAATAATATGCTCAAATCTCCCCTGTTCAAGCAATCGACAGTACAGACAAGGGGGCACAGCTGACGTGACAATGTGGACAGCTGACGTGACAATGTGGACAGCTGTCGTGATAACGTGGACAGCTGATGTGATAACGTGGTTAGCTGACGAGACAACGTGGATAAATCACCTCAAAGGTTGCAGAAAGGCGCTGGGTACAGGCCGCTACCATCCGGTCAATCTTTAAATCCTTTGGGAGGTCTATGCTATGTTCATCAGCAGTCGAATTCCTGTAGCTGAAATGATGATGTGGCACTGTTTAGCTGGTTATCTAGGGGGATCAAATGCCGCATAGTATAGCTGCTTTAGATCCTGCTAGCCAGTATACAGGCGTTGTAGTGGGAGCTAGGAATTCCAACAGAATTTACCTGGTCAAAAGGCAGTAGATGAACTCCGCCAAGATACATTGCCCTTAATCCGTGAGCAGCGGGAACGCGCTGTAGCCGTTGTAGCGCGCCGGTATTGGCTTCTACCGCATCGAGTTCATCAGGTTTACTTCCAGTACGTGGCACTGCATGCCTGGTTACCTAGGATCACGAACCTGGTCAAAGGGCAGCGTCTCGTGCGGCACCCCGTCGTAGATGAACTCAGCAAGTATGCACTTCCCGTAGTCGGTGAGCAGCGGGCACGCGCCGTAACCGTTTTAATATAGCTCATCAGTAGGCCTAAGATGCGCGCCGCGATAAGCGGTTATCATGCCATTTTATCGATTTTGCCTATACATTTTGACGTCGATAAAAGTTATCACGGACACGGCGCGCATCTTAGGCTTACAGATCAGCTCCACTTGTGACCCTGTGTAACCTAGGAGGATCATGATTACCTGGTCGAAGGGCAGCGTCTCGTGCGGTACCCTATCGTAGATGAACTCAGCGAGTATACATTTCCCGTAGTCGGTGAGCAGCGGGCACGCGCCGTAGCCGTTTTAATATAGCTCATCAGATCAGCTTCACATGTGACCCTGTGTAACCTAGAAGGATCATGATTACCTGGTCGAAGGGCAGCAAGTATGCACTTCCCGTAGTCGGTGAGCAGCGGGCACGCGCCGTAGCCGTTGTAATATAGCTCATCAGATCAGCTCCACATGTGACCCTGTGTAGTCTAGAAGGATAATGATTACCTGGTCGAAGGGCAGCGTCTCGTGTGGCACCCCGTCGTAGATGAACTCAGCGAGTATACATTTCCCGTAGTCGGAGAGCAGTGGGCACGCGCCGTAGCCGTTGTAATATAGCTCATCAGATCAGCTCCACATGTGACCCTGTGTAACCTAGAAGGATCATGATTACCTGGTCGAAGGGTAGCGTCTCGTGTGGCACCCCGTCGTAGATGAACTCAGCGAGTATATGTACATTTCCCGTAGTCGGTGAGCAGCGGGCACGTGCCGTAGCCGTTGTAATATAGCTCATCAGATCAGCTTCACATGTGACCCTGTGTAACCTAGAAGGATCAAGATTACCTGGTCAAAAGGCAGTGTCTCGTGTGGCACCCCATCGTAGATGAACTCAGCGAGTATACACTTGCCGTAGTCGGTGAGGAGCGGGCACGCGCCGTAGCCGTTGTAGCGCGCCGCTACCGGCTTCTCTTGCATCGAGTTTGTAAGATTCACTTCTAGCACGTGGCACTGCTTGGCTGCACAAATAAAAAATACAAGATTGTTAGCTAATAGCCCACCATAATCAAAATATGGTAAAATATAATCAAATACCTACAATAGTTGACTTGACACTACCTATATCAATAGGGTGTTGGACAACTATCATACTTTTTATCAGCTATCAAAACGCGATTTTGTTGCTATACCTAATGTCATAAAGTCAAATTTATTACGTCGCATATACGTCGGCCGTTTGGAGTAGTGGTTCGAAACGGACTACTATAATTCCGGAGGTAGCGGGTTCGATTCACGTACAGTACAAACATTTGTGTGCCTGAACATATTTTTGAAGTTTTCTATGTATAATAGTATGTATTTACAAAAAAAAAGTATTTAAGTATGTTTATATCCGTTGTCTAGTACCCATAGTACAAGCTTTGCTTAGTTTGGGACTAGATGCGCAGTGTAAAATGTCCAAGGATATTTATTATTATTTATTATTTATTAGATTCACTATTTTCTCACCCCAATAAGAGTTACTGTATTAGCGCTCACTAGTTGGCGCCACTAGCGAGTCACAGTCTTACTTTACAGTGGCGCCACCACTCTACTTAGTGAAAATGACATAGTTCTAACTCCACTTCAGCAGAGCTGTACGGGTAAGGCTTAAATATGACATCAATTTTGTTGTCTAACGAGGGCATGAAGAAGTTTTTTCAGTTTTTGATATGGCTTCTATACAAAGTTGTGAACAGTTTTTACACAATATTTTTATTACAATTGTAATAAACTCACCAATAGCAGCAGCCGTCTTGCTGTTGGGCGTATTTGTGCAGTCTCCGATTCCGTACACGTTTGGGAATTTCTTGTGCTGCAGCGAGAATTTGTCCACGTCTAGATAACCCGCCGAGTCAGCCAGTTCTGTGTTCGTTCGGAGAAACTCCGGTGTCATCATTGGAGGCGTTACGTGAAGGAGGTCGTAACATACTGTCGTTAGCTGTAATAGTATTTTAAATCAACTTTATTGCAAATTAGAAGAGAAAAGTAAATGTGAAGTGGAGATAATGTGCCAGGAAACTAGACATATCGCCTGTATAATATACTGTTCCATAAAATCTCTTTTAGCTTAGCGTCTTTATTACTACACAGTGTGTAGTTTTTGCAGACATCGTGCACCTTGTGTCTAGGAATATGTCTGTTCATGGTTTCAACCAATGTTTCAACATTAAATTAGCACTCGTGTGTGCTAAAAAGAACATATATTACTCACGAAAAATATATGAATGTTTTGGTGCATAATAGCAATTTGTGTAGATGACTTTGCGACGAAAATGCCGCAATGTTCCAAAAGCATATTATTATACAAAATCTCAGATTCCATTGTTACTATAGTCACGAGTCACGACACTGTGGGTGGATATGATCAGTTTCGAATCGTTGCTAAAACTGAACCTTAAGACCTAGAACAGAAGAATCTAAATATTACCTCATTCTTTTTATCAGTATTGTAGAAAACAGCCTCCTTCTTCTCAGGCCGGACCTCATACAGCACGGTCTTGTAGTTGACGTCGATGTGCTTTTTCTCGACTACCTTCATAAGCGCGTCTGCGTACTTCTTCACGCCGAATATGACGGGAAGGCACGTGTTGTACGTCACTTTGGACTTGCCGCGGACGCCCGTCTGGAAACAAGAATAAAATGATATTATGTTATAATGGAATAGCTTTATTTGGATGTCATTATGGTATTAGGTAGTTAGTGCCAAATGGCTAGCGCTCTGCTTCAATCAGGACATCAGAAACTGTTTTCAAGCTCGTTTTTCAGTAGAATTATTGCTAAGAAACCTTCACCAATACCAGTTTGGGTAGTAAAAGTTTTTATTTAAAATGCTAAGTGCTTTCATGCCTGTTCTACGTGTATCTGATGTAAAATGAAAAAATAAAATCTCAGAACTTTGACTACAGAGGACACTCCTTTCTTTGACTAATACGTAAGTGGTAGTAGAACTTAGGATGAGTAGGTATTTAATATTGCCTATTGTTAGAAGTGGGTTCATGAAATAAAAGTAGCAGCGTTTCGGTGAGATGTTTACTCTTCCAATTGACTCGAACAACTGAACTACTATCTCGACTTAGAGCTATAATGTTAACACAGGTGGCAACCGACTCGTAATGGCGGCGTACTAAAGTACAGGTGGCGCCACTAGAACAACTTCCGTTTTAGAAATAAATTAAAAATAATATTTACTGCCACTGGAAACACAATTCAAAATTACAAAAATTATAAGTTAAATTATNTCTGTGTAATTAATTCCTCCAGCATATTTTCCAATCGGGTAAGTCGTTCGGTATTATTTGGTCTTGCACTCTTCTTACGTCTTGGCCGTTTACTCGGAATCGGATTTGCATCAGGTTCTTCCTCCTCAGATGACTGCAGAACAGGATGTCGTATGCGTCGTCGGCTCATAGTGAACGCGGGTATTTTTCAAAGGGCATAGAGAAAAAAAAAATACCCCTCTGATCCCACTTCTGATTTGTTAGAAGTGGGTTCATGAAATAAAAGTAGCAGCGTTTCGGTGAGATGTTTACTCTTCCAATTGACTCGAACAACTGAACTACTATCTCGACTTAGAGCTATAATGTTAACACAGGTGGCAACCGACTCGTAATGGCGGCGTACTAAAGTACAGGTGGCGCCACTAGAACAACTTCCGTTTTAGAAATAAATTAAAAATAATATTTACTGCCACTGGAAACACAATTCAAAATTACAAAAATTATAAGTTAAATTATTTAATATTAATATTATATTTAAAACGTATTTCCAGTGCCTATAAATATTTTACACAATTTGCCTATTGTAACGGAAACGTGCTCAATGTTCGTGTTTCCGGTTAAATTAAATAAATCAATTAATTAATCAAATCAAATACTAATATTTATAACATGCTAGCTTAAAATATATTAAATTATGACTATCACTATATTCAAAGAATAAGCTACAACCGAAAATTGATTTTATTATGAGCCATTTTCCACAGGTAGGGCTGCTGCAATTGTAAACTATCAATCGTAAATACAATGCTTTAATGAGTGTACCTACTATAGAATAAACAATGGAGTACTCAATCAAGATCACATAAATATTGAATAGACCATTGAGTGGTTTATTCCAAAACAATAAACTGTTATTTTTGAGATCTCGAATTATGTGAGTCAATGTCATGATGATACTATTGTATTATTTCAACAAAGGTTTTGTTTAGATTTAAGTGAGCCAAACTTAAAAATGTGATTCATGTGTGATTTGATGAAGTGTCATCATTTCATAATAGGTACACTGTTAAGTGTTATGTGGGTATAATGTATGTTTTTACTACAAACATAATATGGCATGTGCCAATATTAAACCAGACTGTCGGATCAGCGGCATTGCTCTCTGTCTCCTCTCTATGCTTCAAATAAACATTACGATGAAAAATAATTATATTCAAGGCCACTGGGTTCTATCCTTTTTCAGGCATAGGGACTCAAATGTGCGAAAGTTTCGAAGGGCACCAAGAACTATGTTTTTAGTCTCACCATCCTAAAGTACAAGTCGGCCAAATACTTGATGGGCGTATCTAGAAACGTGAAGGTCGCGTCGCCACTGCGGAACCGCTGCAGGTCGTGGCACGCCCTCAATACACGACACAAACTGAAGTACAGATTAATGACCTAAAGATAATGAAAAAGTCTCACCATCCTAAAGTACGAGTCGGCTAAATAAGCGATCTTCTGCGGCGCGCCCGGGCACTTGATGGGCGTGTCTGGAAACGTAAAGATGGCGTCGCCACCACGGAATCGCTGCAGGTCGCGCCATGTTTTTTCGCAATATTCCGGCGCATATATCGTGGATACGCCGCTGTTCTCGTCTGTAAGCGCTTGGAAGAGACCTGGGACCTGGAGATATTATTATGGGAATAAAAAAAGACTGTAATTTCAGCATTCTGATCCAGTGCCAAATCCACGAGACATAGGTAGGTAGGTTGGGGTAGAAAAGTTCTCGAATAGCGACCACGGGTTGGAGGAAGGCGTAATTCAGGCCTGTCGGTGGACCGATACGTGATTGTTGCGGGAACCACCGCAAACGTAAGCAAGCGCAAGACCGGTCATTGTAGAAATTCTTGGAGAAGACCTGAGCTTCTCTTGGTTCAAACAAATAAGTCATTTTTTTTGTATTTGACTACACCTCGTTTGTCACATCATGCGTGTAAGGCGGCAAAATCAAAAGTACTTAACTACAGCATTCCGGTTACTATTTTTTTTTTTTTTCTTTATTAAGGAAACAAACAGCATGAGTTTACTATTACACCTTTTAATAAGAGCGCGATTCTTCTAAAGTGCCATACTACAAACCTTATCGTAATCATTCTGCAAGCCGACAGCTATGACGACATACTCGTACTGTATCTCGTCCCCGCCCTTGGTTTGCACCACGCCCTTCTGTGGGTCGATGGACACCGCTCTATCCTTGATCCACTTCGCGTTGGAGGGTAATACGCTCTCTTCTTGACGGCGGGTGTCGCCTATTGTCTTTACCCCGGCGCCTACGAGCGTCCACAGCGGCTGGTAGTAGTGGTCCTGGAAGAGTTCATAGATTAATATGCGATTCATTCTTATTGGTATACTACAGGGTACATATAAATGGTATGGTGAAGTCAGAAATTTGATATCATCATTTTAATTTTTTTATTTTTCATACAAATAAAATGTATATGCCCATGTTAACATGGGCTAGTGATAGATAGATAGATAGATAACGTTTATTATAATGGACATCAAAGGAGCAAAGGTGAAACAAGAAAGGCAAGGTAAGCAAGTTAATATAAAATAAATAAAATCAGAACATTAAAAATGTTTTCCTTATTATTAAAGAAGCAAGAGTAGGGTTTCTGCTCGAGCTTTCTCGAACTCGAGAAAACTCGAGAAATTTGGCTTCATTCGAGACGAGAAAAAAAATACCGGAGCTCGAGAATTCTCGAGTCTCGAATTTGAAGCTTTAATATTCTTGAAAGCCTATTTTCTTAGACAAAAGTAAGATTTTAACACTGCAGTACACGCGCCCCTTTTTTTACACGAATACACGCGCGGCCTACTCTGGTAAGCCAATTTAAAATCACTGTAAATCAGTTTATAAGCAATTTATGAATAGAATTACTATGTAAATGATAAAAGTGTTTATTATAGTTATTTAATAATCAAAGTTATTTTATATAACTATTTGGGATCAAACATTATAAACAGATTTAAAAGTTGTAAATTTTTTGGACCAAAATTGCACTTTGAGACCAATGTTAACAAAAAACAATTGACTGAATAAATATGATTAGTTTTTTATCTGTCATAGTATTCATGACTTTCTACTGCCTGATACACGGTGTAAATCCATTTGTTACAAGTCTTTCATAATTTTTTTGCCGAGTGATTTCGGGCTTTTGTCTAGACCCGCAGTTTTGACGGCCAATTTTAGATAAGTGCGCAGACTCTAGCGACCCAAGCTTTACTGGCTTACTGACAAATTTAGTAAACGAGGCTTTCCTGGAATGCCAGCTCTCTGGCGCAAGTTTTCAAAAAGTTATAGCGTAAAATGTTACCCTGGTCTACTATAGTAGTCCGCGCGTGTACTCTAGTGTTAATTATTTAATAGGTTAACGTTTCTTTTAGACTGGTCTAGTCTTTCCTTTTTTACCCTACTGCGTGACGCTAAGGAGTGATAATGTGTTTAACAGCCTATGTATGTATGTTTTTTGAAGCACTATAGAGACCAAACTCCGGGGTCGATTTTTATGATTCGCACGTCAATCGATTCCTCTCAGTCCGGCGAGTGTCACTAAAGACAATCGTTAGATTTGTTTTAACTGTAAATATATTAACATGGCCGATTTTTGGCGCTATAATATGTAATAAAAAATATCTCAAACCTATCGAGTGGAGTATCAAAATAATGGGTTTTTAAATAGCTTGCAAAATGTATTTTCTTTAACTAAAAGATTAAAATAAAAATATTATTTAAAAAAAACCCAACTGGGTAAAAATGAACTGAGAAGATAAAAACAAGACAGTGTTCACAAATGCAGTCGGAAGCATCAAACACTTATCATCATCATCATCAACAGCCCTTTACAGTCCACTGCTGGACTATGAGTCTCCTCCGCGGGAAGAGTAGGGGTTGGTGACAAATGTATTCTATTCTGCCGTCACCACACGGCTTATCACCCACTACTTATCACCAACAAAAAAAATTGTCATTGATGCCTTCGACTGCATTTGTGAACACTTTGACTTGTTCCTATCTTTTCAGTTCATTTATATGTAGTTGGGTTTTTGTTTTTTTGTATATTAGATTTTAAAAAACCTGTGTTTTTAGCAAATTTCAATCGATTTCAACAATTTTAATTAAAAGACTCGAGACCCGAGAAAACTCGAGACTTTGGCCTCGAGAATTCCCGAAACTCGAGAAAAAAAATAGGTCGAGAAATCAGAAACCCTAAGCAAGAGACACACAAAATATTATGTTCAGAATAGGTAGAGAACCTGTTGGTAGGTATAATTGTGATAAATCATCATTATAATAGTCAAGAGGTCAAAAGCCAGTTTTAGATAAAAAATATAAAGTGAGCAGTTTAAACAGATAATCACTTTGATGTTGTTTTTGTTTCTTTGACCTTACATGGAAGAAGGAATGGTCAACATTGTTTTTATCCTTAATAGGTACCTACACAATGTATGTGTAATGTACTGCAAACTACTCAAATATGTTGACATGAAAATATGTTTTTGAGAGATCATGCAAAAATTATATTCTATACATATATCATTATAGTTGAAGAATATGACTTGACAACAGGTGTGATGTGAGTCATACCTTGTGATAATTATTACCTGTATGTATAGTAAATGTATATAATAGATATTATGTAATGTCTTTGCAACACTTTAAGTAAAGTTTTTGCTTGGATTTAAATTTATCATATTTTATAAGATAATATCACAAAATTATCTAATCATAACAATAAATTCAGTAATATTGGGTTACTGTGGTACTGTCCCTAAATAAAAGTAATTGTTTTTTTACACTTACTCTTTACTTACAATTTTGTTAAATAATTAAGTAGGTACCTATGCTCTTTTTAATATTGATAACCAACATTAAGCGATATATCATACATAACATAAAAGTGTTACTCTTATAGTCTGTAGTCATAATGAGTAATAACTAAAGTAACCTTCAGTACAGCGTTTATGATATTGGACAATATTTACAGTCCATTGTTTGGTTATCACTCCAGTCTGCTTGCAATATACCTATTATAAAAACTGAGGGACTTTACACAAAGTCTATCGATACATTATTATTTGCTCTATTTAAGTGGAACCTTTGTAAGTTAATAAGCGAAACAGCCTTTAACACCTAATGTAAAAAATATATTACTTTTAAAAATGCACTTGAAGTATTTATGTATTAATCAAACAGTATGTGAAGATTGTAAGGAATATTACTACATAATTGTAAAAAAATGACTTAACTTACCGAGCTGGGTTCAAGCACAAAAACGTCGTCTTTCCTTAGCTTTTTAGCGAACTTCGCAGCTATTGTGCATCCTCCAGAACCACCGCCGACAACTAGTAGCTTACACCTGGTACAAAAAAAGCGAATAAATTTTATTTACGTATTTTTCCCACATTATAACACGAATAGAAATTCTACATAACTGATCAACTCTAGAAGAACATAAATACATACTTATAATTTGCGTTTGTAACTGAAGAAGCCGAAAAGTTTCTGATAAGACTCGGGGATGATATGGAAGAAAGTTTTCGCAAGATATTCATTGTGAGAAGTCCGAACGACGAATGGGGACACTACAAAACTAAATTACAACATTAATAAGTACTGTCGCAAACGCGTTTAATCATAAGAATGCTGATAATAGTGATTTAAACGTAAATTCCGCCTAGCTTTGGTAGATTGTGTTGGATTGTGTTGACATAACAGCTGAGCTGTCAGGCTTGGACATATGTTAATATATGATTATGACAGATGACGTTAGCGTGTACACAGATTACAAAAGGCGAATTTTTCTGCTTGCTTTTACCTTTTACCCATAGATAAGAATAAGTACATACTACGCTTTTACCGTATATACAAAAATTAGTGTTCCTAAATACAAAAACTTTATAATTTAGGTGCTGACTAAATTCTAGAAAGCGTAAAAAGCCCTTTTTAATTTAACTGATTTACATCAAAGAGAAAGCATAAAATATTTTGTAAATGTAGGGTAGATGGTACTTTAGTTATAGAGGGTAGTTTGGGAAATCGTTGTGTCAGTACCATAGTCCGTACGCATTTGTAACATCCCATGTAAATTGAAAATAGTGTTAAAAGAATTATTTCGCTCTAAGTACTCACTGAAAAAGTTCTTAAAAAAACGAAGACAGGCGGAGGGCCTTGACGTGCCACTCATGCAAGCAGTATTACGACCTGGAGTGCGCCGGGGTCACCAAACAGCGATTTCACACCACACTGGTCGGCGAGCACCGAGACAGGTGGCGGTGCATCACCTGCGTGGGCGCGCAGACCAAGCGGGACAACTGGAATACGCCGGTCCGGGCCGCCGTCTCCACAGCTCCACAGTGAGCCCCGTCAGCCTGGACGTGTCCATGCTGGAGCGGCCGGCGCTGGACGACACCGCGCACAACTTGACCTTGGAGCTGCCGGACTTCCACGCACTCATCCTCGAGTTGAGGCAGTTCCGCGAGGAGATTCGGGAGAATATGAGGCAGCTCCGCTGTAATACTTGATTTTTATGAACTTTCAAATACTACTAAAATGTTATAATAGGGATAAAATGAAACATTATTACTTATTTAATTTCATTTAATGTATAATAATAATTACTTATTTGTTATTTTATTCATTTATTTTAGATATTATGGAAATAAACAGCAGCATTCAAGAAACATAAACCAAACCAAGTAACACATATTTAACTTAAAGTATAATCATGTTCTGCATGGAGTAAAGTTACAGATTCATTTATTGTAGCCCACTCGTTTTTAGCTACCCTGGAATATGTAAAACCAATCTGCTTGACAGCTTTTCTAAGAGTTTCATGGCCCCCTGTGTATCCTATTTGCTTTCTAACCAGAGGTAGCAGTTTTTTTATTGATGGCATTTCATTATGTTCCAAACAATAGTCCTTAATTATGTCTCTAATTAGGTCTAGGTCAAAGTCACTAAATATAAGTTTGTCATTTCTTGGTTTCCTCTTCTTTTCTGCTCCAATTTTTGTGCCAGTGGCTGCTGCTATTTTTGCATCTCTAATAATGTTTGATACTGTGTGTATGGAAACCCCTGAAAAATATTATTTTCAATAATATGTAACATGATTTTATGGTAGTTGGTAATGAAAAGAGAAGTAACTATGATACAACAATCATGAACTTGTTTAGAAGACTGCACTCAGTAGGTGATAGTTAATTCCTCGTCTCGTACCTGTTGCAGTCGCCACACGCAAATTCACTTTAGCTAATGGTATTATGGTTGTGCGGTTCATTTTTTCTTCCTTGCAGAACTCCAGAACCCTCAGTATGACTTTTTTGACCTCAGGGCTGAGATTACATGCCATGATCCTGGTTTTAGCATAAGTTAGAATATCAAGTCATTAAAAGAAAGCATAAATCTTATTCTGCGCATTTTTTTTCTCAAATACTAACATTAAATTAAGCTATGTAACTTGAAAACAACAGTAAAATACATTTATTGTAAACAAACAACAACCATTTTTTGTTGTCAAACTAGCAGACAGCTGATTGACACTGACAGTGACAGTTTTTTTTTACTAACAAGCAATGCGGTACCACCAAACCTTCTTCTTGGTTGAATTTCATATTCGATTATCGGTTTTTTACAACACTACTAGATTTCTTGTCTATGACATACTAACCCGTTCACTCACAGTTCGTTCTTCGTTCACTCACACTGCGCAACACAGAGTAAATATCACAGTTATGGATAGATGCAGCATGATTGTGTCAAAAATTGTATGAAGCCGAGCGTGCCACTTTTTAAACGTCATTAGTGTCATTTTAGCGAATTTTAGTGATTGCCGCAACGTAAAAGTAATCGTATCATCGTACTGCATTCGCAAAGTCATCGAAAGATATCGTGTGACTCGATTCGGAAAATAATTAATTCCGATAAAACTGATAATTTGTTAAATACAAAACCAAAAACATCTTTATTTACCTTTTTAAAATAAAGTAATTCTTACAATTTATTCGTCAAATCTCGTTATTTTTTTTACCCTACCAGCGTTTCAAGACATAAATTTGTCAAGTGCATGAATACATGGATCAGTGTGTGTCTTATTGTCATGAGTAAGTACGGTTCCTTGGGATCGGTATGAGTGCACCACATACAGGGACCATGGTTTTAACTCTTAAGAGTACATCGCAGGATATGTATTAAAAACAATGCTACTTTATACTTCTTCTACTGCTACTTTATTCTAATTAATTATTTGCTACTTGTGCTGTTAATTACAATTCTCAATCCGTAAATAATATCTTCATTCTACCGTGTTCGTACTACTGTTCTCGTAAAATCATCGTAACCGATTGTTGTAATCGGATTACATGAACATCACTCGATCATGTATGTCCATTTGGACATATCGGAATGGCACGCTTTGACGATCAACTTACTGTATCTACTCTAACTAATCCATATCTGTGGTAAATATATTCTTTGCTGCGCAAGCAAGAGAAAAAAAAGAAGACAAAAACAAAAATGGCAGACGAAGACGAAATTGACATTTTAGGAGATTTTTCATTTAATTCTTGTTTTGCTCTAAATAATCAAGGAATGTGAGTATTTTCTCTCGTTTTCTACTTCATTTTTCTGGTATTGTCAGTGCATAATTGTTTATGTCTGTTCTTTGATGATATTATAATTGTTAGTCACTGTCATTTTGATGATCAAAACAATAACAACAATAATATTTTGCTTTGATTTAGATTGTAATAAATTGTATTCACTGTAACCAAATATTGAAATATTAAACTAAAGTACCTAATATATTTATGTGAAGAAAACAAACAAACAACTTTGATATAGCTAAACATCACAATAAATCTATCTGGGTTTGATAACCCAGATCTTGAGCTGTATGTAAATAATAAAGAGAAAGACTATTTCTGAGAATAATGCAACTAAAATAAGAAATCTGACCAAAACATCACCTAATTATGAAATAGTTTAATATGTTTTCTAAATATATTTTTTCAGTCCGTCATGTTCCAATCGGGAGGACACAGTTCACCCTCAATGGCTGATGGACTCAACTGCAAATAATTGGTATGATATTCAAGCCAAGAATATGAAACGGTATGTTTGGCAACATATACGATTATCTTCATAAGAGTAACAATCTTTATGAAAATAAAAATAAAAACTTTTTTATATTTACATTCATAAACTGCAATATTTTTTTAAGTAGTGATTCTTATTTAATTCTTGCTAAGTAATTTTTACTTGTTTTCTTTCATAAAATTTGATAAATGTATACTTGAGGATTATTATCCTGCTTTCGCCTCCGAGATTTATTTTACCATGTAGTACCCCTGTACGACAACCCAATCCGCACACAATATTCAGCGTAGTAGTATTAAAAAACAAAAGAGCGGGCAACCCCACCCCTACCACGCTGTGGGCTCGGTGTCCGAGCGGTCTCATTCCTTTGTGCGCACGCGCAACGACCGCACGCAGTATAAGAAAAATGCTTAAGTGACGTTACCAGGACGTTTTTACCGACAAAAAACGTAATTATTTTAAGTTGTGCAGTGTAGTGACGAGAATTAGACCCAACAATTGAATGATCAAACGAACTTACCAAGTGAAGTTCGATCTAAATTATCCTGTTTTCGCCGAAGAGATTTAAGGTCCCTCCCAACCCGAAGATTTCTATATCTTCTTCCCTGGAGGTAAACGTCAATGTCATCTCTTCTCTAAATATAATGAGACCGCTCGGACACCGAGCCCACAGCGTGGTAGGGGTGGGGTTGCCCGCTCTTTTGTTTTTTAATACTACTACGCTGAATATTGTGTGCGGATTGGGTTGTCGTACAGGGGTACTACATGGTAAAATAAATCTCTTCGGCGAAAACAGGATAATTTAGATCGAACTTCACTTGGTAAGTTCGTTTGATCATTCAATAATGTATTGCTTGCAAATAACCCTGTAAGTAAACAATATCAATTTTTAATTTTAAAAATTATGATTCTTTCAGAGAAAAAGATGGTCATACAAAAAAAATATCAAGTAAAATGAAAGATGAAATAGAAGAAAATGTAGGAACTGACATCTACACTACTTGGAACCAAAATGAGAGGGCTATGCTCATTGCAGAGATGGTATGATTACTATAATAATTATTTATTTATGAACTAAAACTGTTTCACATAGTTTACTTTCAAAGAAATTGTACTAAAAATAATATTTAAAGACAAAATGCCTGTAATTTTTAATTGTAGGCTAAATATGGGAGGAATGTACGTAAAATATCAGAAACTATAAAAACCAAAAGTGAGGCTGAAATCCAGGCATTGATAGAAGCCGAGTATGGGATCAACTTAGATACACCCACATTTGGTCTAGACAAGCATGAAGACCATGACGATGTTCCAGCTGTGGTACAGGAAGAAATTGTCACGGACGACACATCTGTCATTGGTGCTTTTCACATCACATCCAGGAAGCCTTTTAGAAAAAAAACCTACACCAAATCCAAAAATAGCTTAATTAAACCTGATATTTTAAAAGCAAACATCAAACCTGATCTCATAGCTATAAACCCATCTGAAATTGTATATGAAGATGATCTTATTATAGGGTCGACTGAATCAATTGGGTCCGACTTGGATTCCACGGATATAGTGTCAAAAAATATACTGAAACAACAAAAGGCTAAGGGTAAGAAAATTGGCAATCACAGGAGGAAAGTGTCAAAGAACTATGACAAAGCACCAAGAAATAGGAGTAAAGACTTGTTGAAGTCGCCACAGGAACGGCAGAGGAAAGATTCAAGCATGTCAGAAGATAGCACTAAGAGTCCAAAGATGCAAATAGTATTAGGATCTGGACAGGCATTGCCTGTTTCTGAAGGAGAGCAAGTGGTAAGAAAATCTATAAAAATGTTCTTTGTGAGAGGGGTGTACCATACAAGTTGTTCCCTTATAAATATCTTTCCTGCTAGATTGATTTCTCATTCACCTTTCATAAAATTTTATAAATTAAGTTTCCTATTATTAATTTATAGATAAAAATAGAGAAAAAGAAAGATTCAGAGCCAGAGAGCGACATCGACATCGATGTTGACAGCGACAAGGAAACCACCAGCTGTGAAAAGAAGAAAGAAGTAGCACCAAAGCCAGTCTCTGATGATGTGCCAATTGCTGTTCCCCTAAGGAATTTTGAGCCCATGCCAAGGAGGCAAAAGAAAATAAATCTGGTAATCATAATATTATTAAGTATTTCTAATATAAATTGAATTCTAATTAGAATGAAAATAATATTGCATCTAACTTTTGCTGACTAAACCGAAACTCGTAAACATTATTACATATGTAACCAGAACTTTTATTGGATAAGCAGTCTTTGTCTATAAACTTTCAATTTGTTGCATTATTCTTTGTCTAATTTCTAAGTGTCATCTAATGTTTATTACGTCTTACAGGACGGCGGAGGCGGCTACACGATAATGCACACGGCGGCAGGTGACTTGCTCTCACGCGCGGACGAACCGCGTAAGCCTCGGGCGCCGCGAAAACAGCCCGTGCACCTCATACCCTGTCGGATGTATAATGCAGAAAATCCGGTGAGTAACACCTATTAATTAGAAGCTATTTGAGTTGGTAAATAGTTTATTGTTCATCATGATAGAATGATTACTCGATAGGATCGCATTCATCGCATTTAGCGATTTGTTGTCGTTGAAGTTAAGGCTACTCTGGTTATAAATTGCAGTCAAGGTTACCGTTCGTTTTTCGACCATTGTAATTCCATATTGTCCTTTTCTTGTCTTCTTGAACTTATAATGTAAGGCCTGGTTCACACATGTCTCCGTTTTACTGTTCCGTTTTATCGTGTACGTTTTATTTCGTCGATGGCGTATGTAGTTGTATGAGCGACTTCACACATGACACAGTATTCTGTATATACAGTAGGGTGTCCCTTATATGGCCGAAAAAAAATTTTTTTTAGATATTGAAATGCATACCCTCTATTTCTTTTCGTACTACTCAGACATACTTAAATACAAAATTTCATTTTCCTACGTCAACGTTAACCCGTGCCGACTAAGCTCTGAAGATTTAAAAAAATGCTGGTTTTACCCCTTTAATTATGTAGCTAAATCAATTAAAATATTTAAATTTTATAAAATATTTATAAAAGGAAGATAACATTACAGATCAGACAATATATTTTACTTTTGTGGGTCCCTTTTTTACATTCTGGATACAGATTTCCATGCTCCTGAATATTGGCCTGATTTTTGCTACACTGTGGGTAGCAAAAATAGCTTTTGCTCTTCCTTTGCAGTGATCAAACAATGAAAATCTTGCAAAAGCTTTAAAGCTCCCTCAGCTGTATCATTAACTACCCTTAAAGAAAGCACTTTTTTGCCTTTAAATAGGCAACATCTTCATCTCATTTAGAAATGGGTCTCAGGGGAAAATTCTTATCAATTTTCAATGGAAAAAATAAATGTATAGTCTTGACAGACACTAAATCACTCAATGGGTTTCCAGCAACAATAAATAAGGCAGTATTATTATCAATTCATTAAAAACATGACAAAAAAATTAGTACTAGTCCTATTTACCATAGAAATAATCATACCTTCTTCAGATGGAATGTATCTCTTCCCAGAATCATACATACTCTCTCTTTGTACTTTTACTACAATATTGACGGTGTTTGTTCATTACCTTCATCATCAAAGAGTGATAAAACGGCAATTTCTTCTGACATGAAGTACCAAAGATGTTGACTAAACTTGCTCAGGGCTGCTTTGGAAATCAATTTGTCAACACTCTCATATACCTTATGGAAAGTGGATTTCAAGAGTTCCTTAAGGCTTTCATCAGAGCTGGTAAGTTGGTCGTGATGTCCTTGCGTTTGTATATAATCTTGCGTAGTAAGAGATGACGATAAACCTCCGAAACAAATGTGCTCTATCTATTTTTTATTTATTTGATTAATTTTCTTTTTCTTGCACTTTTTTCTTTCTTGACTAACTTTTGGTTTATACCTTAACACCCTGGACGCCTAGGTTTTTTTGGTTTTTGTAAAAATATTCTATTTGTTTTTAAATCCTCCTCACCGCGGCGCTTATAAATCTTGATTTTTTTAATTTTTTTTTTTGCAACTTCCTCCAAGTATGGTGAAGATACACAAGATTTTTTACACAGTTAGGCTCTGGTAGGATTTATAGCTTTTTCCCAAAATATAATACATTCCCGAATGATGAGATTAGTGCTTTCAATAACAGTTAATTAACTTCGCAAAACATGTTAAAAATACTGCAAAAATTTGACGATTAGACAGTAACTTTGTGCCTGTTATTTGATAAATTTACGTCCCCGACTAAGAAAATACTTTTTTTATTGCTTCTTAATTCCACAGCCATCTTCTAAATGTCAAACAATAGGTGTTAATCGCGAGATTAATTGAGAACAAATGACAAACACCGCGAATACGCACCGCTACTGCCGCGCAACATGTTTCGATGCAAGTCGGCACGGGTTATCGTACTCCAAATAAGGTAAAAATTTATTTCCGAGTGTTTTAGAGGTAAACAAACAAAATGAAGACCTATGCGTTACAAATTTAAAACTTTGAAAAATAAGGGACACCCTAATATACAGTAATAGATACATCGCCGAAAAAAAAAAAAACGCACACCCTATGTATGCCCTGAAATACGTATATGTGCCCTGAAAATGATCGACTTACTAATAAATAATTCAAATTTGTGCAGGCGCCATTCACAGTGCGCCTCCACGTATCAGCACTAATCAGTGCGGATGCGCACGCGCACACTTCCCGCTCGGAAGTGATGGGGCTGCTGGGCGGCGCGTGCGGGCCGGCGCGCCTGCTGGTCGCCGCCTACCGCCCCGCCGCCGCCGCGGCCGGTGGGACTCACTGCGACATGGACCCGGGTGAGTTGGACAGATAAGTTTTGTACCTGGGTAAGTTGTGCTGATACGTTTTGTACCTGTGTGAGATGTGTTGATGAATTGTGTACCCAGGTGAGATGTGTTGATAATTTTTGTACCTGTGTGAGATGTGTTGATGAATTGTGTACCCAGGTGAGATGTGTTGATAAGTTTTGTACCTGTGTGAGATGTGTTGATGAATTGTGTACCCAGGTGAGATGTGTTGATAAGTTTTGTACCTGTGTGACATGTGTTGATGAATTGTGACCCAGGTGAGATATGTTGAAAAGTTTTGTATTGTACCTGTGTGAGATGCGTTGATATTGTGAACCCAGGTGAGATGTATTGATAAGTTTTGTACCTAGGTGAGTTTTGTGTCTGTGTGAGTAGCATAGCAAGTAATTTCGTTCGTACGTTTCAGCCGAATAACGTCCACTGTTGGACAAAGGCCTCCCCTAAGGATTTCCACAATGACCGATCCTGCGCCGCTCGCATCCAGGCAGTAATTTACCGCAGTGCAATTTATGGTAATGGCAATAATAAATAAATAGGAACCGATATTCGAACCGCATTGAACTAAAATAGATGCATAACTGAAGTAAAAAATGTCTAAAGCGAATTAATTAGCGAGCTGTAACTGTAACTGTTGCATGCACTGTACCAATAAACAGTGTGTGTATGTCGTTCGCAAACCTACGAACCACGTACTATCGGCAACAGTGTTAACTACCCATTGCCGCTCATGTCATCTCGTTTTATTGCAAAGAATCACCATTTAATGAGAGCGAGAGCAAAAACGCGGCAACATAATTACGCGCGAGCGATAAGGACTGGTAGCTTGGGGTCATTGGATAAAATTCTATGTGCTCACGGACCACAACCACCCATGGTTCTTCCCGCCTCACGGCGTACCAACCGAATCTCGGGAAAGCGCGCGGGTATTTGCTCTGGGCTCTTATCCCCGGGCGCTTTGCTTGACTCCCTACAAATTCCTCTGATCCATGTCCCTTCTCATAGTCAATTCTCCCCCTTCTGGGGCTTGACACCACAAATACGGTACTTCGCGTCGGGCTGCTATCGTTGATAAATGTCATCACTTCTTCTCATAATTTCGCCTGATTGTGTGCCAAGAGTGCGCGAATTCGCGCAGCGCGATCCAGTTACTGCGACTACTCACGGACCAGACTATACACACTTATTATGGTTACATCTTCATCTTCATCAGTCGGCCGTTTGGTGTAGTGGTTCAGAACGGACTACTATGCCGAGAGGTCCCGGGTTCGATTCCCGGCCGGGCAGAAATTGAAATGATGAATTTTAATTTCTGTGACGGGTCTGGGTGTGACTATGTATAATATTTATGTATTTAAAAAAAAAGTATACAAGTAGTATCCGTTAAGCTAGCACTCATAACACAAGCATTATGTTGCTTACTTTGGGGCTAGCTGGCGCTGTGTGAAATTGTTCAAAGATTTATTTATTTATTTATTTATTTATTTATTTATCTTGCTAATGAGCTTGAAAATGAACAATTACTAAATCCTTTATATTGTTCGGTGCTTAAACTCTAGACTTTATCCAATTGATTTTTGTTTTTACTAGTGTATAATAATTACCTTAACATTGCAAAAAGAAATGTTGTGTATACCTGTAATTGAGGTCATATACGTACCATGTGTTAAACCATGTTAAAATGTATGAACTGTATTATGTATGTGACTTTGTTGGTGTACCTAATAAATAAATAAATAAATGAGTACCCGGCTTAATTTAACTTTCGATACCCGCAGTGTCTCAAGCCGCGGCAGCCGAGTCGCTAGTCTCCCTCGGCGCGCGGCCGCTAGGCTGGCACCACTCGCACCCTCGCTTCCCGGCGCAGCCGTCGGCGCAGGACCTGCGCTCGCAGCGCCACGTGCAGCGCGCGCTGCCGCCCGGCCTGGCGCTGCTCACCTCGCCGCACTGGCCGCCCGGACGACACGCCTCCACCTACCGGTGCGTACATATAAACTCGGACTTCTAAAGCCTGGTCCGTGAGCACGTAGAATTTTGTCCAATGACCCCAAGCTACGCGACTGTGCGACACGCGCCCGCAGTTAGTGTGCGAGCGCGACAGCAACATAATTACGTGCGAGCGACAAGGATGGGCAGCTTGGGGTCATTGGACGGGATTCTACGTGCTCACGGACCAGGCTTTAGAACAGGTCCACACACTAGGTATTTTACAGTACTAGGCGGCACCTATTCCAATTTTTTAAATACTTGATCCACCTAGTATTTTATAAATTACACGATTTCCGACCCTACCGTCAAAGTAATAGAGGTTATTATTGCGTAATCCGTAGTCGTGTGTTACGCGCACCGAGTATTTCACGCTAAGCTTATGTGCGAACTGAGAGATTCACTCCGTTTCTGTCTGACCAAACAAATTTGAGCGCGACGAAGCAAACGCACACAAACGTAGTCAAACCATATTCATGTAAATTCATGTAAAAAAGAAAAAAATCTGTAAATATTTTTATGAAATTGATATCTTTTAAATACGCCAACTTTTAAGTTGACAGTCCTAAGCCTGTTGAAGTCTGAAGGGAGGAATTATTATTCAATTTCAAATTGCATTATTCATACTACGGTTGTATTTTTTCAAAGAAAATTGTATTTTAAAGTCATTACATGGATTAGTCCGCATCTAGTGATGTGTTATCGACTGTACTTTGTGGGTACATTATCATAAGAGCTGGCACCGCCGCGCCGCACTGGCCGCCCGGACGGCACGCCTCCACCTGCCGGTGCGTACATATACACTACGGCAGTGGTTCCTAACCTTTTCAATGTCACTGAAGCCTGGTCCGTGAGCACGTAGAATTTTGTCCAATGACCCCAAGATACCCATCCTTATCGCTCGCGCGTAATTACATTGCTGTCGCGACTGCGCGACGGGCGCCCGCAGTGAGTGTGCGAGCGCGACAGCAACACAATTACGCGCGAGCGATAAGGATGGGTAGCTTTGGCATTGAACAAAATTCTACGTGCTCACGGGCCAGGCTTTAGTGATGTGCTATCGACTGTACCTTGAGGGTACAGTAACACGAAGCGAAGCTGTGGAGTGGCTCTTATCACTCGGCGCGACCCCACTGCACTGGCATCCCCGCTCGGTCGGCGGGACGACACGCCTTCACCTACCGGTGCGAAAACTTACACTACGGACTTATAGAATGATGTGGTTGACTGTAACGGCCGGTTCACACATGTCTCCGTTTTACTGTTCCGTTTTATCGTGTACGTTTTTTTTCGTTGATGTATGTATTACTGTATACAGAATACTGTGTCATGTGTGAAGTCGCTCATACAACTACACTCGCGANAAACGTGCAATGGCTTAGTAACTACTACGAGCAGAACATTGCCAGCCAAACTTTTTCGAACAATACAAGCATATTTTTGTGAAATGAATTTCAAAATATGCACTCTTTCTTGTAATTCATCAAAACACATCATCAAAATACAAAATCATCAAAACAAATCTTTCGGGACGTAAGATGTAAAATCCTCTTCTTTTTCTTCATCGTCTGCATTTTCTTCTAGATTTTCTTGCCAGTCCTTCATATCTGAGGCCTCATTTCCATCTAACGTATTGATAAATCATGTATTATGACTGTTTGATGCTTTTTTGGTCTACTCAAACCGTAAATAAATCATAATTAAAAAAAAATAATAATATCATAATAAAAATTTATGTTACGCAAAGTGTATGGTGGAGTCCACGGGACTCCGCAAGTGTCAATTACTCAACTTTCTGTGATGCGCACGCAGACGACCTCTCGCCCCCGAGTTGGCCACGACACCAAAGGAAGCTACTCAAGCGCACAGCACTTTATTCGCGTATTGAAAAAAAATATGAACCAAAACAGTTTCACATGGAGTCCCTGGGACCTACCATGCAAATTGAGGGTTAACAAATTGGTTTGTACACAAGATCGCGTGGAAACAACTTCATGTAAGTGATTCCATACTTTTGCTCGCAAGTGTATATACGCCAACGACGAAAAAAACGTACACGATAAAACGCCAGTGAACAGTAAAACGGAGACATGTGTGAACCGGCCGTAACTTGCGCGTACTGTATAACTGTGGGCTGAGTGTGAGTGTACATCAAACGCGCGTTTAAAAAATGTATAAAAAATTTAGTTTTTGTACGTTTCCCGCTAGGGGCGCTGTAAAATCCATCATACATTTAATGTCATTTTTTTTACGCGCTCACTAGTGAGCGCGTTTGATGTAAACTCACACTAGGCCCTCAGACCGGAGCAGCGGAGTGACTTATCGCTCTGATCTTACTGAACTGGCATTCCCGCTCGGTCGGCGGGACGACACGCCTCCACCTACCGGTGCGTGCACATAAACTGCAACCTTCTAGTGATGTGTTGTCGACTGTACTTTGCGGGTACAGTAACACAAAGCAAAGCTGCGGAGTGACTCGTATCGCCCGGCGCGGTACTGCTGAGCTGGCACCGCCGCACTGGCCGGCGAGACGATACGCCTCCACCTACCGATACGCACAGTTGCAAATACAATAGTCCTCATTGAAAAAATCTACTTCCTCAGGCTAACTGCGATCTTCCCCTTGCCGTGCGAATACTCTAACCGCTGAGATACGAGACATTTCGAACTAACTTTAACTGATGTATATGTACAAATGTATTCCAGATGTTTCCGCGTAGAAGATGCCGAAGACCCGGACGCGTTGCCCATCGGCTACCAACTCAGCGTGTCGCTCGAGCCTGACCTGACAGAAGAAAACGTGGCCATCTTCTGCGCGGAACTGGCCGCCATGCTGTGTGACGCCGCGCCCGCGCCGGGACATATGGCCGCGATATGTCCGGACGCTAACATGTCGCATCTGGATAAGGTGGGTTATTAATGTCGTCTTCGGATACCAACTCGGCGTGTCTCAAAACCCGACTTAATCTGATCTGCCCGGATGCTAACATTGCGCTTCTGGATAAGGTGGGTTATTGATGTCATCTTCGGATACCAACTCAGCGTGTTTCTAGAACCTCACTTAACAAGGTCACTTTCTGCGCCGAGATGGCCGCGATATGTCCGGATGCTAACATGTCGCATCTGGATAAGGTGGGTTGTTGTATTGATGTTGTCTTTAGCTGCTTGCTGAATGTGTCATTAGAGCCTCACTTAACAGACGCCAACGTAGCCGTGATATGTCCAGATGCTAACATGTCGCATCTGGATAAGGTTAGTTATTGATGTCGTCTTCGGATACCAACTCAGCGTGTCTCAAAACCCGACTTAACAGCCGAAAAAGTGGTCGCTTTCTGCGCCGAGACGGCCGCGACCTGCCCTGATGCTAACATGTCGCTTCTGGATAAGGTGAGTTCTTGATATCGGCCTTCAACTTAGTGTGTCACTCGAGCCTGACCTGACAGAAGAAAACGTGGCCGCCTTCTGCGCCGAACTGGCCGCCATGCTGTGCGACGCCGCGCCCGCGCCGGGACATATGGCTGCGATATGTCCGGACGCTAACATGTCGCATCTGGACAAGGTGAGTTATTTTGTTGCGGCGCTTCTTCTCAGCACTTGCCAAATGTTTGTCTCGAAGCGCTGGTAGGGCAAAAAAAGAATGAGACATGTATAGGCTCCTTAAGAGCATTTGACGATTTGCAAGTACTAATTTAATTAGTCTAAACAAATAAAGAAAATTTTGATTTTGATTTTATTGATATTGTCTTCGGATACCAACTCAGCGTGTCTCAAAACCCGACTTAACAGCCGAAAACGTGGTCGCTTTCTGCGCCGAGACGGCCGCGATCTGCCCTGACGCTAACATGTCGCATCTGGATAAGGTGGGTTATTGATGTCATCTTCGGATACCAACTCAGCGTGTTTCTAGAACCTCACTTAACAGACGTCAACGCGGTCACTTTCTGCGCCGAGATGGCCGCGATATGTCCGGACGCTAACATGTCGCATCTGGATAAGGTAGGTTATTGATGTTGTCTTCAGCTGCTTGCTGAATGTGTCATTACAGCCTCACTTAACAGACGCCAACGTGGCCGGGATATGTCTAGATGCTAACATGTCGCATCTGGATAAGGTGGGTTATTGTCGTCTTCGGATACCAACTCAGCGTGTCTCAAAACCCGACTTAACAGACGAAAACGTGGTCGCTTTCTGCGCCGAGACGGCCGCGATATGTCCGGACGCTAACATGTCGCATCTGGATAAGGTAGGTTATTGATGTCAACTTGGTAGACGTAGTAAGCCGGTGCTTAGCATGTTATTAGAGCTTGACCTAACAGACGCCAACGGGTTACATTTAATTTTAGTCCCGGTTTCCACCAAGGTGGAGTGGCGCGGAGAAGTGATTTGAATAACCAATCATATTTCATTATTCAGGAAACCAGGAAATCTGAGGTGGAATTGTAAGCAATCATTATCATTTGACAGTTCATAACGTACGATTATTCTGTCAAACGCTTTGTTTAACTGACTTTATCGTTCTGTCAAATGATTACGATTGCTTTACACAATTACACCTCTTATTGGTTATTCAAACACTTCTTCGCTCCGCCCCGCCTTGTTAGAAACCGAGCCTTATGTTAATTTTCTTTTTATTCCGTACCAAATAATTTACTGTTTCTTTCTAAATATTTGTCGCCATTTTGTGTACTTTCGAAAAGCCAGTCGATTATTAATTACCCGTACTTTAAAAACTCCTCCTGTATCAAACAATCCTGTATACAAACTTATCAACCGACTTCAAAAAAGGAGGAGGTTCTCAATTCGACCCGTATGTTTTTTTTCTATGTTTGTTACGCGATAACTCCGCCAATTATGAACCGATTTGAACAAATCTTTTTTCGGCGTATAGATAATACCTCAAGGGTGGTCCCATTTAAATTTAATAATAGAAAAAACAACACCCAAGGGTGGAAAATTGGGGATGAACTTTTTTATACGCAATATCTCCGCCGATTTATAAATCAATTTGAACGATTATTTTTTTGTTGAATAGGTATTATCATAAGGGTGGTTTCATGCGAATTTGAAGAAAATATTTCACCCCCAAGGGTGGAAAATTGGGGATGAACTTTTTTATACGCAATATTTTTAATTTTTAGATTTTTTTTGTGTTCACGCATTTGAAGTCGGTTTTATTTTTTTAAAAAGTTAATTATTTATTGTTTAATTTCAGTGCATATCGAGCGTATCGCACCACCTGCGCGCGGCCGGCTACGACGCGCACGCGCCCGTCGCGCGCCGCGTGCTCCACGCGCTCCGACACGTGCTCGGATAACGATACTGACCGCCTGTCCAACTACCCGCGACTCACTTGTGCAGTTGTGCCTCGATTCAACCCTAGATGGCAGCACTGGCGAAAACAGGAGAACTATTCTACAGGGTGTTAGGTAAATGGGTATATGAGCCGACACTAGCCCATGTTAACATGGGCATATAAATGGTATGGTGAAGTCAGAAAATTGATATCTTCATTTTAATTATTTTATTTTTCATACAAATCTTATTTAATAAAATTTATTTTGTCTGAAAATTAAAAAAAAATAAAATAATGATATCAAATTTCTGACTTCACCATACCATTTATATGACCATGTTAACATGGGCTAGTGTCGGCTCATATACCCATTTACCTAACACCCTGTATAAATAACTCGTCGCACAATTCAGAATATGAGAAGACAATCGATTAGTTACTGAATTTTAAATGTGCCTAAATTCAACCTGAGATGGCAGCACTGACGAAAGCAATAACTAGGCTATTCTTTACAAAATTGCACTATTCGGAATACAAACGTATGAGAACTACATACCGTAGTTATTGGATTTCTGAATCGCCTACGAATAGAAAACAAGATGGAAGAAGCCCGCCGCTCAAAAGCATTAGTGCCTCGAGAGGTCCAAGAGATATGGTGCAAAATTGTGATGAAAATATCAATAATATCATAACGAAGGTCACTCAAGACAAGACGTTTGACTTGTACTGATCACTGCAATTTGATTAGATTTTGATTGAATTTGGAGTATCAACATAGTGATGATATTATTTATTTATTTTTAATTTTTTTTGAAGTTTGAGTTCGGATCGATTACCAAATGCGTCAGATTGGCAAGCTATGTCTGTATTCATGTACATAAAGTACCTATGTTGTTTGTAATCGAACAAATTGAACTTTTGAATTTATGACAGGCATATTTATTTGTATATAGTAGTTTTTGCCTGATCATAAACTTTTTATTTGTTCCATGTTTCAGACCTTAACATTATTTCATACTGTTAATTTATTTATTGAAATTTTATTAATATAGTTAAGCTAATTTTTTCGTTGTAATTTTGATTATTTTATTCTGTTGATCGCCGTGTTCTTTTATTCAAACTTGTGTTTAGTACATAAGCCAGTATTAGCAGTAAGGTATTATTAATCATATTACCATCACAATTAAAGTTGTTTACGGAGTGACTTCGAAAAGAAGTGTATTTGACTGAGAGACAATAAGAATGTTGAAACACTGTGATCGATACGTAAAATAAAAATTGCAATAAAAACTTTTAAAACATATTGTTGCCTTTTACAAAAATGAGAAATCACCTAATTATAATAATAAGTAGTACAAGTCGGGTAAAAATGAAAAGCAAAAGCATATGGCACAGTTCCAGTTTATTTTTTAAATGTTACATGTGCTAGATAAAAAAATAATACAGTCCGATTAGTGGAATTCTTTACTATTTATTGCGGCCGTCGACCGTTACATGTATCATTGTTGAAAGTAATACTTTATTTAGTACTTCAATATTTTAATACAAATCGTTTACTTATTAGTTCCCACATCCGTGTACACTCTAGACTTGGAAAACATTATATTTTATACATTTTTAACAAGCAATTTTAACTCGACGTATTTTTTGAGCCCTCAAGGACATTTTGGTATTACATTATAAAGGTACTTTTCGAAACTAGTGTGGGGAAAGTGCCTTATATAATTTAAAAACGATATAGTTCATCTATTTATACATATTGTCGTACCGACACGCGGTCACGTTTGTGATCTTGAAACGATGTCAACGTGTTGGACGTCTCAGACACAAGTATTTGATACCCGCCACGTTTTCATTATACATAACATTTATTAAAAGGTTTAGTTACAAAAAATAACTCGTAATCATACTAAAGCTTAGACAATTTCGCATAAAACTGCAAAAAAATACAATAAAACCAAAAATATTCCAAAGAAGTACAAGCGATCTTTGTATATGGAAAGCATCTTGGCAGTGAAAGAAGACGACGTTAACCGGGCCTCTAATGCCCGTTGGCAACGAACTACAACTCAATAAGTAAAGAATTTTCACATAAAATTGGCTAAATATTGGCCCTCACTGGGGGCGGATAGATACTAAACAATTCATTTAAATCTGCGTCCGAGACGTATTGGGAGCGCGTTAACGCAATCTTAGGCAATAAATAAAAAAAAAAGATTTTAATTAAATTAATAAAAAATAGAGTTCGAATCGACGTAGCGTTAAATCTATATTTACAAGTGTTAACTTACATCTAATTAGAAGCATCAACTATGAAAAATTTATCAACATTGAAGGCACATGTTTCCGCACCCGATTCTCATAATTGTGCATTCGTTAGGTGCACTCGTTTCGCTGGCAACACTCCTATATCTTTATGAGGTACGGCCGGCGGCGCAGGCGCGTCCCGCAGGAGACAAAAATAAAGTATCTAAAAGAAAATAGTGGCAAATTTAAACAGTAGTAAACATCGTTGCTTAAATTAAGGATAGCTCCTGGCGCACGCTTGTGCCGCTGACCGTATCTTTGGACCGGACATGACAATCTATCTTACTTATATTTTACAATATGCAAGTAATAAGTACTGTACGGAACGGCCGCCCGCGCGCCACTCATCAGAGGCCGGCGCGGCGCCAACACACGATTTCCTTTTCGATGCAGACGAAGGTAGAAGAATAACAGATGGAATCGGCTAAGTTATTCAAAGAGCGAAGTTTTATAGTTCGTTCTTCAAGTCTTTGTATTCAAGTTAAATTTCAGTTTTCAAATTCTAAGTACATGACTAGTCGGAAAGAATATCGTGTCTTGGATCTGCTAAATGTAGGCAACCTCGGGTGGCGGCGCGCGAGCGAACGGGACTAGCTATCGAACTAAGTTGACTTAGGGAAACTCAGTCTGGCAATCATTTCGCAGTAGCAACGTATTGTGACAGTCGGCGTGGTTGCAACGTTTGTCGTATTTCTTGGTGGAACTGATATTTTAATGCTCGATGTGTCTTAAATATAGTGGTTGAGAAACTGTAAAGTTTAGGGGAATTCAGTCATTATTATGTTTTAGTGAAAATATAAATGGATCAACAAACCCTCCCAACGACGCCGACTGGCCTCGAAGGTGGAATAAACAAATGTACTCTTACTCCTATCTGTCTAATTAGTTCTATTCACAGCTGCAGAACGGAAATAATTTATTTTAACTGTCCACTTAATTCATTAGAGCATAATTGATATTCATTGAGATCCCATTATAAATGTACCGTGAATTTTGAATCGAACTGCCGTCGATCACAGAACAGATGGTTATTCCTGTATTTATAAGAATATATTTTTACGCAAACCAAAAAATGTAGTCGTTAGATACTAAAAATAAATTGAACTCTCAAAGATTACAAAGTACTAACAATAATCAAATATTCTGTAGTCGATGGCGACATTTCATTGAAAGAGTCACAATTTCCGAATCCTCAATTATAACGAAAGTATATATTTTAAACAGAACACATCTTGTATATCTAACACATTAATTTAAAATATACAAACTAAGCAGTCATTCATGTAACACTAGGAATATTATTTTAAGAAATCGCATAACTGTCGTACTCCAAAATAAAAATATCGTACAGTAGTAAGCGTACTCAACTAGCTCAAGTAAAAAAATAATTAAAATCAAAAGCTAAGAGACGACGAGGAACAGAAGTTTATACAACGTGGCCACGAGGGGCTCGTGTAATCTACGTTTTAGTTGTTTAAATAAATAAAGTGTTAACACTAGCGTCGCCCTGCCGGCCCGCCCACAATCACGCCTCACGTTACTCAGTAGTTCAACACAATACATCAATGTACATTAAACCTATCATACACTTACAAAACTTATTGTTTCACGTCACATTTGAAATTATAATAAATATTGATGTAATAGATTCTCATACAGCACAATCATCGTTCACATTGATGACACTTATTAACAAACAAACAATTTGAATTTGGGAAGAGTTTCAAATACGGATAGAAATATTTTTAGGCGGAGCGGGACAGAACGACGAAAACTGGTATTCAACTGATTCACATTGCACTTAAACTCCTACTGATGTTTACAATTTGGCGGTATAACCAGGCTAAATACCAGTGGCTATTTTACTGGCATATTTATAGCGTTTGGCAACCAGCAGTCAAATATTTTGTGACTGGGGTTTATGAGCGATAATTTTGATTTAACGAACTCTGGTCGACTACCAGTTTTTATATCTAACGACAGCTGATAGACCATCCATAAAACGATGTTAAGCTACGTACGATGTGTATGGGTTAATAGACACCAATATAACACACCTTTATTGAAAGACACTGGATTAAGTTACACTGTCTTATTATTATTTAAATTATAATGTTCAAATGTTATTTTTAAACGAATCCCGTTTCAAAGATTAAGGCTGGGTTGCACCATCTTAATAACAATAACAAACGTCATAATTCTGTCAAACTCCATACAAAAACACCGGTTATGGTTATATTTACGGTTAAAGTAATGTGGTGCAACTCAGCCTAACAGTTAAGCCTGCCGAAAATATTTTAATACAGAAATGGTGTGGTGAACAGTTTAAATGGTGTCTACTAAGCCAGAAGCCTTAAAAGCAGGCAAATGATGGAGTCTACTACCTTATAGCCATACATCGCTCTCATCATTTCTTGCCGCCAAACGGTAGCGCGTAGTCTGTGGTTAGGGTTGCCAGGTCCTAAAACACAAAAGCCGGACTCTGTGCTTCATTTGGCCGGACATTTTACCCTAAAAGCCGGACATGCAATTAGTGTCGTAGCTTACGAGTGAATTCTATCATTATTGGTTGCCCAGCATCCTGATGCGTGCGCTTGATATTATTCCGCAGCTCGACTTTCGCCTGGCGCGGCAACCACATAAAAAGCCTAACAAAAGCCGGACAGGCGGGACAAATCAATTTTTGGCCGGACACGACTGTAAAACGCCAAACATGTCCGGCTAAAGCCGGACACCTGGCAACCCTATCTGTGCCTAATCGATGGGTTCACCGTCGATCGATTGCTTAGTCTGTGGCGGCTAATCGATGGTCTCGTCAATTGGTAGTGTAGTCTATGGTCTCGCTGTCACCCGGTAGCGTGTGGCGCCTAGTCGATGGTCTTGACGCGCGCCATGACCTTCCCGTCGAACACGGGCAGCGTGTCGGAGTCGTTACACACCTCCTCCTGGATCACCGTGTCTAAGTCCGCGCAGTTCGTCTTGAAGAAGTATCTGGAATTACATTTGAGTGTCAGAAACTGCCACTTCAGTGTGCTATGTATCGATGACTTAGAAAATTACGTTACGAATTTTATCCTCACCGGATTAAAATACTAAACCTCGCTGGTAGAAGGTGAATGCAACGAGACGATCATAGAGTAAAATTAAGAAATAATTTATTCGGCACACGCAAAACTTACAATTCACAAATATGTTTACATAAAACTGTGCCAGCATCAGTCGTAATAGAGTATGCTATAACTCTACTTTTCAGTAGGTGACCTTTATGAATAAACGACAGGTATATTTGACCTCAATGGTATCTGATGTTAGTCGAATCGGGCCTAAGTCACGTCTATCAAGTATAAAGTCCACTTCTGCTAAAAAAGCACTACTTATTTTGCATTATTACAAGCGTTATTTTTTACTAGCTTTCCGCCCGCGGCTTCGCCCGCGTGGAATTTTGTCTGTCACAGAAAAACTTATCGCGCGCGTCCCTGTTTCAAAAACCGGGATAAAAACTATCCTATGTTCTTTCCCGGGACTCAAACTATCTCTATGCCAAATTTCATCAAAATCGGTTGCGAGGTTTAAGCGGGAAAGCGTAACAGACAGACAGACAGAGTTACTTTCGCATTTATAATATTATAGTTGGGATGTAGAGCAAAGCAGGTAGTTATTTGACTGCACCTGATGTTAAGTGGGTGAGATGCAGTCTAGGATGGCACATACTTGCCCAGTAAATTCCTATACACTTTCGCCCTGAAGAGGCCCGGATTATAGCTAGAGATGATGACGTAATTGGCTAGTCCTCTCACCGGTAGTTCCCCTTCGGTGTGCGCGTCTGAACTCGCCGTCCCGCTGCCGCAACTAGTGTTGTAGGCCTAAGATGCGCGCCGTGATAAGCGTTTATCGCGACATTTTATCGATTTAAGCCTGTATACATTTTGACGTCCATAAAATCACTGATAGCATTTTATCACGGCGCGCATCCTAGCCCAGCTGGTGCCCTTTACGCTAGAGATGGTAATAATGAATAACTATTTCTCACCGGTAGTTCCCCTTCCTCGGCAGGTAGTCCTTGAAGAGTTTGAGCGTGAGAGGCGCGGCGGGTATTTTGAAGCGGTAGGGCACTGCTTCATCCAAGAACGCGCGTCTGAACTCACCGTCCCGCTGCCGTCGCAACTAGTGTTGTAGGCTTAAGATGCGCGCCGTGATAAGCGTTTATCGCGCCATTTTATCGATTTAAGCCTACATACATTTTGACGTCTAAAATCACTGATAGCATTTTATCACGGCGCGCATCCTAGCCCAGCTGGTGACCTTTACGCTAGAGATGGTAATAATGAATAACTATCTCTCACCGGTAGTTCCCCTTCCTCGGCAGGTAGTCCTTAAAGAGCTTGAGCGTGAGAGGCGCGGCGGGTACTTTGAAGCGGTAGGGCACTGCTTCGTCCAGGAACGACACGACGACCACGGTGTGTGCCTCCGTACTAGCGGCCCCACCGCTACTCGTGTTATAGGCCTAAGATGCGCGCCGTGATAAGCGTTTATCGCGCCATTTTATCGACTTAAGCCTATATACATTTTGACGTCTAAAATCACTGATAGCATTTTATCACGGCGCGCATCCTAGCCCAGCTGGTGACCTTTACGCTAGAGATGGTAACCTTTACGCTAGAGATGGTAAAATGAATAACTATTTCTCACCGGTAGTTCCCCTTCCTCGGCAGGTAATCCTTGAAGAGCTTGAGCGTTAGAGGCGCGGCGGGTACTTTGAAGCGGTAGGGCACGGCCTCATCAAGGAACGACACGACGACCACGGTGTGTGTATCGGTACCGGCGGTCCCGCTGCCGTCGCGACTCGATAGATGCGCGCCGTGATAAGCGTTTATCGCGCCATTTTATCGATTTAAGCCTACATACATTTTGACGTCCATAAAATCACTGATAGCATTTTATCACGGAGCGCATCCTAGCCCAGCTGGTGACCTTTATGCTAGAGACAATAGTGGTAAAATTGTCTAGTTCTCTCACCGGTAGTTCCCCTTCCTCGGCAGGTAGTCCTTGAAGAGTTTGAGCGTGAGAGGCGCGGCGGGTACTTTGAAGCGGTAGGGCACTGCTTCGTCCAGGAACGACACGACGACCACGGTGTGTGTATCGGTACCAGCGGTACCGCTGCCGCCGCCGCCGCCGCCGCTCGTGCTGCTCGACTTGCTGCCGCCGCCGCCGCTGGCGCTGCCGCTATAATATCAAATATGACAAATAATGAGATTGAATTGTAAAAAAAAACACATTAAATGTATGACGGATTGTACAGTCACGGAATGAAAAGGTTCGTCAGTTTTCANGGTACTTTGAAGCGGTAGGGCACGGCCTCATCAAGGAACGACACGACGACCACGGTGTGTGTATCGGTACCGGCGGTCCCGCTGCCGTCGCGACTCGATAGATGCGCGCCGTGATAAGCGTTTATCGCGCCATTTTATCGATTTAAGCCTACATACATTTTGACGTCCATAAAATCACTGATAGCATTTTATCACGGAGCGCATCCTAGCCCAGCTGGTGACCTTTATGCTAGAGACAATAGTGGTAAAATTGTCTAGTTCTCTCACCGGTAGTTCCCCTTCCTCGGCAGGTAGTCCTTGAAGAGTTTGAGCGTGAGAGGCGCGGCGGGTACTTTGAAGCGGTAGGGCACTGCTTCGTCCAGGAACGACACGACGACCACGGTGTGTGTATCGGTACCAGCGGTACCGCTGCCGCCGCCGCCGCCGCCGCTCGTGCTGCTCGACTTGCTGCCGCCGCCGCCGCTGGCGCTGCCGCTATAATATCAAATATGACAAATAATGAGATTGAATTGTAAAAAAAAACACATTAAATGTATGACGGATTGTACAGTCACGGAATGAAAAGGTTCGTCAGTTTTCAAATTGATTCCTTCAACGAATCGCGAGCACATATTACCTTTTGAAACTATGTTACAGAATAATCTCGAGTTAGAGAAAATAATCTTTAACTGTTCGTCAGTAAGGTTCAAAATTATTCAGATCAAAGTTGTTTGACGATTTAACTTGTCAAGAAGATTATTATGATTGATAAACTAAAACCTTCTTGTTGGTTCCATCTGCCTTTATCTTTTAATTAAAAAAAACTACATTTTGTAACATTGCACTGATGGGATAGAAAAATAAACAAGCAAAACCTTATTTGTTAGCAAACGTCATATTTATTTAAATGTTAGCAGCACTGTTTCTTGCACGGTTATGTTGGCAGGTTTGACTCTTACAGTACCTAGTGCAAGCGAAAACCGACATTAAGGTGACGAACCTTTTCATTCCGCGACTGTACAACGCCCCTAGCGGAAACTTTCAAGAACTAAAATTTTCATATGTTTCTTTAACGCGCTCTCTAGTGAGAACTTTTGATGTAAACACACTAAGCCCTCTGTATGAGTTCAAACATCATCTATGAGTGATTCGGTGCGTTTCTCGCAAAAAAATTAAAGTTTTTTGTTTATAACAAAAAAAAAACAATAACTATCTCAAATAGATTAAAATTTTTGAAATAACAAATTTAAATTAACCTGCAACATCTATAAAATAAAACTAATCCCATGATTAACATTGTTTAAAAAGAAAAATAAGTGCAAATGCGCGGCGGTGGTCATCCCGATCAACTGATGACGCGCGCGACGACAAGTCTCGATGCGCGCGCCGCTCCATTCGCTCCATCCGCTCGAAGCGCTCGAAGCGCTCCAGGCGGCCCAGCTGCCCTTGATGTCCTAGCCGTTTGCACTTCGCAGCAGTGTTGATGTCCTAATATAGCCTTCTACATTTCGCAGCAGGTAACACTGCTTGCTTTCCCGCAGTAGACACTTACCGCGGCCTCTGCTGCTGCTTGTCCCGGCGGCGGTGGTCATCCCGGTCAGCTGACGACGCGCGGGACGACAGGTCTCGGTGCGCGCGTCGCTCCATGCGCTCCATTCGCTCGAAGCGCTCGAAGCGCTCCAGGCGGCCCAGCTGTCCTAATATAGCCTTCTACACTTCGCAGCAGGTAACACTGCTTGCTTCCCCGCAGTAGAACTTACCGCGGCCTCTGCTGCTGCTTGTCCCGGCGGCGGTGGTCATCCCGGTCAGCTGACGACGCGCGCGACGACAGATCTCGGTGCACGCGCCGCTCCATACGCTCCATCCGCTCGAAGCGCTCCAGGCGGCCCAGCTGTTCTAGATGTCCTAGCCCTTTGCACTTTACACTTACCGCGGCCTCTGCTGCTGCTTGTCCCGGCGGCGGTGGTCATCCCGATCAGCTGACGACGCGCGCGATGACAAGTCTCGATGCGCGCGCCGCTCCATTCGCTCCATCCGCTCGAAGCGCTCTAAGCGGCCCAGCTGCTCTTGATGTCCTAGCCGTTTGCACTTCGCAGCAGTGTTGATGTCCTAATATAGCCTTCTACACTTCACAGCAGGTAACAATGCTTGCTTCCCCGCAGTAGAACTTACCGCGGCCTCTGCTGCTGCTTGTCCCGGCGGCGGTGGTCATCCCGATCAGCTGATGACGCGCGCGACGACAGGTTTCTATGCGCGCGTCGCTCCATCCGCTTGAACCGCTCGAAGCGCTCCAGGCGGCCCAGCTGCTCTAGCCTACTGCACTTCGCAGCAGGTAACACTGCTTGCTTCCCCGCAGTAGAACTTACCGCGGCCTCTGCTGCTGCTTGTCCCGGCGGCGGTGGTCATCCCGATCAGCTGACGACGCGCGCGACGACAGGTCTCGATGCGCTCGCCGCTCCATCCGCTCCATTCGCTCGAACCGCTCCAGGCGGCCCAGCTGCTCTAGATGTCCTAATATAGCCTTCTACACTTCACAGCAGGTAACACTGCTTGCTTCCCCGCAGTAGAACTTACCGCGGCCTCTGCTGCTGCTTGTCCCGGCGGCGGTGATCATCCCGATCAGCTGATGACGCGCGCGACGACAGGTCTTGATGCGCGCGCCGCTCCATACGCTCGAACCGCTCGAAGCGCCCCAGCTGCCCTAGATGTCCTAATATAGCCTTCTACACTTCGCAGCAGGTAACACTGCGCTTGCTTCCCAGTAGACACTCACCGCGGCCTCTGCTGCTGCTTGTCCCGGCGGCGGTGGTCATCCCGGTCAGCTGACGACGCGCGCGACGACAGGTCTCGGTGCGCGCGCCGCTCCATACGCTCCATCCGCTCGAACCGCTCGAAGCGCTCCAAGCGGCCCAGCTGCTCTTGATGTCCTAGCCGTTTGCACTTCGCAGCAGTGTTGTTGTCCTAATATAGCCTTCTACACTTCGCAGCAGGTAACACTGCGCTTGTTTCCCAGCAGTAGAACTCACCGCGGCCTCTGCTGCTGCTTGTCCCGGCGGCGGTGGTCATCCCGGTCAGCTGATGACGCGCGCGACGACAGGTCTCGGTGTGCGCGCCGCTCCATGCGCTCCATTCGCTCTAACCGCCTCTGTGGTCTAGTGGTAAGACCACGCTTCAGTCGATTTCCAATTGGGGCAGATTTTTCTGTTCGGTTTGGTTGGTGGTAGAGCTTGTTCTAAGTCCGCCTGGCTAGCTACCATCATCCTACCTAAGTCTGTCGCCATAACAATAATGTTAACAGCATTGTTGTGTTCCGTCGGTTATAGGTAAGATAGCCAATTCCTCCGTGGTTGAGGATTCCGGGTGAAGCTCGCTTCCACCTTCGGCCTGATCATCACTTACCATCAGGTGAGATACAGGCCAAGAGCTTCCTCGTTGTGGACACTTCGCAGCAGGTAACACTGCGCTTGCTTCCCCGCAGTAGAACTTACCGCGGCCTCTGCTGCTGCTTGTCCCGGCGGCGGTGGTCATCCCGGTCAGCTGACGAGGCGCGCGATGACAAGTCTCGGTGCGCGCGCCGCTCCATCCGCTCCATCCGCTCGAAGCGCTCCAGGCGGCCCAGCTGTTCTAGATGTCCTAGCCCTTTGCACTTTACACTTACCGCGGCCTCTGCTGCTGCTTGTCCCGGCGGCGGTGGTCATCCCGGTCAGCTGACGACGCGCGCGACGACAGGTCTCGGTGCGCGCGCCGCTCCATTCGCTTGAAGCGCTCCAGGCGGCCCAGCTGTTCTAGATGTCCTAGCCCTTTGCACTTTACACTTACCGCGGCCTCTGCTGCTGCTTGTCCCGGCGGCGGTGGTCATCCCGGTCAGCTGACGACGCGCGCGACGACAAGTCACGATGCGCGCGCCGCTCCATTCGCTCCATCCGCTCGAAGCGCTCGAAGCGCTCCAGGCGGCCCAGCTGCTCTAATCGCTCCGAGCCCTCAGCTATCCACAGCAAGATGCGAGGCTCCACGCTCGCTCCCTCGCTGACCACTGATACGCCGCTGTCGGTGAGCTCCGTGACGGTTTTCTTGCTGAATGATCTGTGAAACGCAAGATTACTTATTTATTTTATTTTACAATTTTTTGAAAAACTTACAGATAAATGTTACGTTAGGTGATTTTTATGATTAAAGTAAGGCCATTACATTAACTTTTAACAGATCTTCGTTCTGAAATCGCTAGAAAAGCCGCCAATGCGTAAGTAGATACCCCGTAATTTGCACTGTAAATTAATTGTGAACTGCAAGAAAGTTCACTCATTCAGTGGACAGAACCCAGGATGAATTCTGTCTAAAAATTTGAATTCCCTTGGGCCAGGTGTCTCACCTTTTTCTCCAGAAGCAGCGTAGCGCATGGGTATGTACGTACAGTGTAAAGTCAAAGTCAAAATGTCTATATTTGCAGAGATTATTTAAATAACACTTAGAAATCATGAAATATTTAAAGAAAAAAAAAATAAAAGACTAATAAAAAAAAGTTTTTGCAGTGCAGTTCCTCATGCATATTGGGTGGCAATTTTTTTTTCAAGCGTGTGTAATCGGTTATCGTCACTGCCTCCTACTTCCTAGGTTCATTGCCCTAGACCGTGCCCTCCTACTTCTTAGATTCATCCTTATCATCATAAAAAGGTCTATTTTATAAGAGTGTGTTTTCGTATCAAATAAAGATTTTATAATAAAAGAAAGGTTTTTATTATCTTTGTTCACTGTATTATTATTTTTTGTGTCAAATAAGGATTTTCTATTTCTTTAACGTACCTCTTGGAAGCGGCGTGCGAGTGGTGCGCGTCGGACGGCGCGTCGTAGTGTCCGGAGTCGGCGGACAGCGCGGACGGCGCGCGGCGCGCGTGCGGACGCGTCCGGGCACGCCGCCCGCCCGGCGGGGACGCGCCCGGCGTGCGCTCCGACCACACGCGCGACACGTGCTGGTCTGGGGACATATTGGTGAGGCTGTAGTTTGGGCTCAGCAGTTAGCGGCGCTGGTGACAGGACCACAGGAGTGACTGCTCAAAGCGCTCAAAAGGCACCAAGACTTTTACTTTGCTAACAATGTTATTGGTTACATAATTAATTAGTAATATTAATAATAGTCATTAATACTGGTTACTGGCTATATTATGTAATTGTTTGTTGTTCTGAATAAATAAAAAATAAAATAAAATAAGACACTTGACAGAAGCGCTTATTCGCTAGTAGCGCCAAACTAGTACGCAACATAAGATTAGAACGGTTTCACAGTTTGAACATTATAAATACATAACTTGAAAAAATCGAACTCCCTGAGGCGGGAATTGAACCCACGACCTTCCGCTTGCCGGGCGACTGCTCTTCCAACTGAGCTACTTAGACACTGGATGAACCCGTCGAAATTTTCAAGTGTAATACGCTGTTACGGTCAGATTTTTTTGACGCACTCGCTAGCGAGTAAACCTAACGTAAACTCATGGTAAGTGTGCCGGTATGCACAATACTTAATCTCTTCATATCTTATCTTGATCACGTTCACAGTGTCAGCACATTTATCACGTATAGTCACACAGGAATATGGTACCAATTAAACACTAATAATTAATCAAGATACGAAACAGATCTTATACAAAGGGTTGTCTTTCTCAAATCTCCAATTAATGTATTGTATAATGTATTAAAACAGTCATCTCCTCACCTAATATGTCCTGGTCGTTGTCGTCGTCGAGCTGCAGCTTCTCGCGGATGGCGGCCGCCACCAGCTGCGGCGGCAGCGCCTGCGTCGACGGCTCCTCGCCGTCGCCCTGGTCACGTGTTTACATATTACTGACAGATCCTTTTGTAAAGGGAGCTAGACTGGGCAATCCATAATGGATGGTCAAGGAATGTTGCAAGCCCGTAGAAGGGTGAATTGCCTTGGACGAAAGTAAATAATAACAAACGTATTTTTAAATTTTAAATTAATTAAAATTACAATATCCAACAGGCTAAAAAAATTGGTGTGGTTCGATCATTATACATCAGATAATTGTTGTATTGTACTGTACGTCATTGTTGTATTGTACATCAGATCATTGTTAAAATTGCGCTCGCTTTATTTAAAACTAGCTTTCCGCCCGCGGCTTCGCCCGCGTGGAATTTTGTCTGTCACAGAAAAACTTTATCGCGCGCGTCCCTGTTTCAAAAACCGGGATAAAAACTATCCTATGTTCTTTCCCGGGACTCAAACTATCTCTATGCCAAATTTCATCAAAATCGGTTGCGAGGTTTAAGCGGGAAAGCGTAACAGACAGACAGACAGACAGACAGACAGACAGACAGACAGACAGAGTTACTTTCGCATTTATAATATTAGTTGGGATGTCAGCGCGTGAGTGACGTCAGGTTACTAGTACTAACGTCAACATGCATTCACGTCGCAATAAGCAAGGGGTGACCGTCAAATGTATACGCGACGCGGGCAGTGAGTAGCGATGTCAGCGAGTTCACTCCGAAAAACTTTAAAGCGATATGCTAGAATGAGTGTGGACAGGTAGACCGAAACTACTAGTCCAGTCATTTAAGCTTAAATTAGGTAAGAATCTCGGAATTAGAGATACCCAGCTGTAAGTCTGTAAATACTTGTATATTGACACCCTAAAAGTTGTCTCAAAACCTACATATGGTAGGGTGTAAGCAACTATTAAATTTTAAGGTCAAAGGTCACAAAAATCGGTTTTTTGCGCTTTTTTTGGAAATATCTCATTTCCTATGGGTTTTTTGCTATTTGNGACTATACGTAAACAGCGTTTCGGAGTAGCCTGTCTATAAACATGCGCGGCGCAGGCAGCTAGCTTGACGTCAGTATGCGCCCGCGCTGCGAGCAGTATTGTGACGTCATAGCGTGCGTACCTCCGCGAGGCACCTCTCGAGCCGCTCCTTGGTCTCCTGGTCGCGGCGCACGCGCTCCAGCTTCTCGATGAGCAGCGGCGCGAACTCGTCTAACAACAGCTTGAGATACAACGCGTTTGTCGGTCCCTATCGCTATCGGCAGCGAACGGTGACGTCATTATAAATAGCATGCGGTGACGTCATAGCGTGCGTACCTCCGCGAGGCGCCTCTCGAGCCGCTCCTTGGTCTCCTGGTCGCGGCGCACGCGCTCTAACTTCTCAATGAACAGCGGCGCGAACTCGTCTAACAACAGCTTGCGCTAAACGTATCTGTCCCTAGTGGTGACGTCAAAATATTGAACGCGGCGCAGACATCGAGCTGCGACGTCAGTATAGAATGCTTGACGTGAGTAAGTATGTTTACGCGCCGCCGGCAGTGATGAGCGATGACGCGACGCGGGTAGTGAGTGGTGAGAGGCTGACACGAGTTTCTTGCGCTGCTTCTTCTCAGCACTGGCATATTATTGTCCCGAAGCAGTGGTAGGGACGTGTAAGAGTTTGGAAGCCTATTTGAGTAAATAAACAATTTGAATGTGACGTCATAGCATGTATACCTCCGCGAGGCGCCTCTTGAGCCGCTCCTTGGTCTCCTGGGCGCTCCTCTCTCTTGAGCGCACGCGCTCTAACTTCTCGATGAGTAGCGGCGCGAACTCGTCTGGCGGCAACAACGCGTCTGCCGTTCCCTATCGCTATCGGCAGCGAGCGGTGACGTAATTATAAAATGCGTGTGGTGACGTCATAGCATCCATACCTCCGCGAGGCGCCTCTCGAGCCGCTCCTTGGTCTCCTGATCGCGGCGCACGCGCTCTAACTTCTCAATGAGCAGCGGCACGAACTTATCCGTCGGCAGCGAGCGCTACAACGCGTCTGCCGTTCCCTATCGCTATCGGCAGCGAGCGGTGACGTCATTATAAAATGCGAGCGGTGACGTCATAGCATACGTACCTCCGCGAGGCGCCTCTCGAGCCGCTCCAGCTTCTCGATGAGCAGCGGCGCGAACTCGTCTGGCGGCAACAACGCGTCTGCCGTTCCCTATCGCTATCGGCAGCGAACGGTGACGTCATTATAAAATGCGAGCGGTGACGTCATAGCATCCATACCTCCGCGAGGCGCCTCTCGAGCCGCTCCTTGGTCTCCTGGTCGCGGCGCACGCGCTCTAACTTCTCGATGAGCAGCGGCGCGAACTCGTCTAACAACAGCTTGAGATACAACGCGTTTGTCGGTCCCTAGCGCATAGCGCTATCGGCAGCGAACGGTGACGTCATTATAAAATGCGAGCGGTGACGTCATAGCATGCATACCTCTGCGAGGCGCCTCTCGAGCCGCTCCTTGGTCTCCTGGTCGCGGCGCACGCGCTCTAACTTCTCAATGAGCAGCGGCGCGAACTCATCCGTCGGCAGCGAGCGCTACAACGCGTCTGCCGTTTCCTATCGCTATCGGCAGCGAGCGGTGACGTAATTATAAAATGCGTGTGGTGACGTCATAGCATCCATACCTCTGCGAGGCGCCTCTCGAGCCGCTCCTTGGTCTCCTGGTCGCGGCGCACGCGCTCTAACTTCTCGATGAGCAGCGGCGCGAACTCGTCCGGCAACAGTTTGCGCTATAATCTGTCCCTAGTGATGACGTCAGTATATTGTGCGTGGCGCAGGCGGCGGGCGGTGACGTCAGTATAGATAGCGCGGGCGGTCAGCGAGCAGTGACGTCATACGTACCTCCGCGAGGCGCCTCTCGAGCCGCTCCTTGGTCTCCTGGTCGCGGCGCACGCGCTCTAACTTCTCAATGAGCAGCGGCGCGAACTCGTCCGGCAACAGTTTGCGCTATAATCTGTCCCTAGTGGTGACGTCAGTATAGATGGCGCGGGCGGTCAGCGAGCAGTGACGTCATACGTACCTCTCGAGCTGCTCCTTGGTCTCCTGGTCGCGGCGCACGCGCTCCAGCTTCTCGATGAGCAGCGGCGCGAACTCGTCTAACAACATCTTGCGCTAAACGTATCTGTCCCTAGTGCCGTAGTCCCTAGTGGTGACGTCAAAATATTGTACGCGGCGCAGACATCGAGCTGCGACGTCAGTATAGAATGCGCGAGAAGGCAGCGAGCAGTGACGTGAGTAAGTATGTTTACGCGCCGCCGGCAGTGATGAGCGATGACGCGACGCGGGTAGTGAGTGGTGAGAGGCTGACAATAGTGACCGAGTTTCTTGCGCTGCTTCTTCTCAGCACTGGCATATTATTGTCCCGAAGCAGTGGTAGGGACGTGTAAGAGTTTGGAAGCCTATTTGAGTAAATAAACAATTTGAATGTGACGTCATAGCATGTATACCTCCGCGAGGCGCCTCTTGAGCCGCTCCTTGGTCTCCTGGGCGCTCCTCTCTCTTGAGCGCACGCGCTCTAACTTCTCGATGAGTAGCGGCGCGAACTCGTCTGGCGGCAACAACGCGTCTGCCGTTCCCTATCGCTATCGGCAGCGAACGGTGACGTCATTATAAAATGCGAGCGGTGACGTCATAGCATACGTACCTCCGCGAGGCGCCTCTCTAGCCGCTCCTTGGTCTCCTGGTCGCGGCGCACGCGCTCTAACTTCTCGATGAGCAGCGGCGCGAACTCGTCCGGCGGCAACACTCGCAGCTGCTCGGCCTGCATGCGCTGTGTCCGTGGAATCATCTGGAAACAGAACAAGGAGTCACTAAAATATTTGAAATCAAGAACAAGGCACGTGGGAGGAAACGAGAACTCGCTTACAATGTTATAAGACGAGAACAAAAGTCCAAAGAATAGTGATTTAAGGATTTGAAAATGAGCTCATAAAACCGACGACCTCATAAAGGTAGCAGGAAGGCGCTGGGTGCAGGCCGCTACCAACCGGGCGATATGGAAATCATTGGGAGAGGCCTATGTTCATTAGAGGACGTCCTGTGGCTGAAATGATGATGATGATGAACATGAGCAGAGGGCGCGTGCTTTGCCTTGAGCATGCGCGGAATCATTTTTAATCGTAAACAAATGGTAATCTCAGAAATATTCCTGTCATGTTCAATCAGAATCATTTTGTAAATTCAAAAATACATTTCCGAGCGTAACAAACAATATCTAATTTGGTTAATATCAGGCACTTCTATGATCTATTCTACTTTGATCACCTGGATTTGATCACCCACGTGATCAAAGTGGACTCCAGGCGACACTTTGGTGTCCTTTGATCACCCACGGATAAGATCACCTAGGAGATCAAAGTGGAATAGACCCTTCAGATTGCCATAAGTTGGAACAAATCCCACACTACCCAAGTCAAAAAATCATCAATAAAAGTAGTAACGTACCATGGCGGTGTCCTGCTCCTTGTTAAGCGGCGCGTGGCGGTCCAGCCCGTGCAGACGGTGGTGACGAGGTTCGCGCGTGCGCATCGACATGCCATCTCTGCGAAAATCAACCCTATTACTATTCACGACACGGTCTAGTTTAGATCGATCGGTTGCAAGTTATTCATCAGATTTGTGAGCCAATTGAAAAAAAAATGTGAATAGTTTTTGAATTTCGAACAAAACTCGACTGTCTTTTATTTATTTATAGATTTAATTTCGACACAATGTGTTTTAAGTTTTGTTTTAATAGGTTGATGATGATTTCTTATGAAGTTAGTGACGATTAAAATATTGCAAAGAAAAACTAATTCATTCACAAAATTAAAATAAAATAAGCAATACTCAGCCTAAGGGGAAATAAAAAAGGGGTGTAACAAGCAACACTTTACAATACTTATGGAATAATACCTGGTACTATAATGATGTTGGAGTCGTCTTCTTCTTTTTTCATCCCGTTGTCGTGAGAACTATTTACACACTGATTTGGAGAGGTTAATAGTTTATGAAGAAATCTCTCTGTCAGAAGGGAGAGACATACTTACTGAAACTTGACAGAATCTCGGCAAGAGCAGCATCGAGTGGGCACACGTGGCGCTAAAGGCAGTTGTGAGGACCATAATGGCCATAGAATGAACTTAGCGATACAACTACCCGCATATCTAGTGACATACTGCTGTGCCACGCGTGTCACGCTGCACTGTGGAGGCGGTACTTACACGCTTACTTATCTTCGAACTTTCGTTGCGGGTCCAATGGCAGTTTAACTTTGCCCGGGACAAACTTGACCTCCACTGGTTGGGCCGTACCCGCGTGTGTCACGTGACACGTGCACTGTGGACGCGGTACTCACACGCTGCTGCCGGAGAGCGACACGGCGTCGCTGTCGGCGCGGCCGCTGCTGAGCGACGCGCGGTCGGAGTCGTGCCGCGAGCCGGGCAGGACCCGCGTGTGTCACGTGACACGTGCACTGTGGACGCGGTACTCACACGCTGCTGCCGGAGAGCGACACGGCGTCGCTGTCGGCGCGGCCGCTGCTGAGCGACGCGCGGTCGGAGTCGTGCCGCGAGCCGGGCAGGACCCGCGTGTGTCACGTGACACGTGCACTGTGGACGCGGTACTCACACGCTGCTGCCGGAGAGCGACACGGCGTCGCTGTCGGCGCGGCCGCTGCTGAGCGACGCGCGGTCGGAGTCGTGCCGCGAGCCTGGGCAGTACCCGGCGTACGTCACGTGGGCGCTGTACACCGAACGCTTGCGGTGCCTGTACCGGTGCCGGTAAGGAAAGGGCAGGGAGGGGAGGGTCAAGTGTGTTGTAATGAACGAAACAGCCGCGCAGTCAAACAGCAAGAACGAAAATCGTATGGTGCAGCAAAATATTTAAAATTACGATGTTATTATAAGAAAAGTGTTTTGATTTCAAGATGATATTGTTTGATTTGAGTGTATTGTGGTATTTGTGAGGGTAAAAGGAAGGGTAAAGGGTAAAACGTCGGCATGGCACAGGTGGGACAGCGTTAGCGTAAAAGGCGCGCGGCATGCAGCGAACAAACATGGGGGAAACAAGACACGCAAATGAGTAAGCTGCTGGGGTAAATCAAATTAAAATGGGGTCAAATCATATTAAACATGGGGTCAAATCATATTAAAAATGGGGTAAAAATCATATTAAAAATGGGGTAAATTATATTCAATTGGGAAAAAATCATAACAAATGTAATCAAATCATATGAAATAAGAACTTATTCAAATGTATTCGTGAATAATTTGAATAAGTAATTAAATCGGAACAAAGCATGGTAACAAAATAGGGTCAGCTGATATACAGGTTGGGGCAAATCATATTAAACATTTGAACAAGTAAGTGCAGCAGCGCGGCACATGCATGGATGGGGTCACTCTATACTTACTAATGTCTAATATACACATTTCTCTAATTATTATAACTACATACATAATTTGTAACGCTGACATAAACTCTCAAAAGCTTTAAAAAATAAATATCTATGTACAATCTAACATAAAATCTAGGGCAGGGGAACACAAAATACTTTTACAAGTCTATATTACACTTATTTGTAACATTCACCTTGAGTTTTTTATTATTTGAGACTTTATATAAATATGTATTATGTGTTTTAAAAAATGCCGTCTTCAAAACTCAAGTTGAAATGCATGAAAATCTTTCAAAAGATCTGGTATGAATTTATGGTGGAATTCAAAGTAATTTTGTATTTTCAATTTTAATTTCTGATCACAAAAACCGTCATCAAGTCTGTAAATTGTTCCAAATAGGCGTGAGTGTGTGTTCAAATTCCAGTTCCATTGAAAGATCTTCATCAGCATATAATCAGAGTAAATACAAATGAGTAGGTCATCTTCATAGAAACGCACGGGCGCGGTTTGTATGTGAGCGCGCCAACACGTATGCGGCGCGCACGCACACACTGACAAAAAGACAATGCCGGAAATGGGCGTCTTTTTTTTTCGGGCGGCCATCGACCAAACTTTGTTTTTTGATTACAAAATAGTGTAATAAACCAAACTTACTATGACATGTATACCTCTAAACTCAGTCTGAACAACAAAATAGTGAGATTGTATGTGTAAACAAACAATACCATCCATTAAAGGCTCCAGACATCAGTATGGAGCAGAATCAGCGCAATAAAAAAATAGCGCAATATTTTGTTGCAATTTCTTACAAAACTTGCGCACAAAAAGCAAATCATCAAACTTCTAATGCTCGTAACTCAGTTCAGACTGAGTTTAGAGGTACATGCCATAGTAAGTTTGGTTTATTACACTATTTTGTAATCAAAACGACAAAGCTTGGTCGATGGCCGCGCGAAAAAAAAAGACGCCACTTTCCATACAAAATCTGGCATTGCCATTTAGCGGAGATTAGCGGGGAGCCAGTCGTGGTTGCTCACATACAAACGTGTTTCTATGAAGATGACCTACTCATTTGAATTTACTCTGATATTATCAAGGGTCTACTATAGTCTGGTCCGTGAGCACGTAGAATTTTGTCCAATGACCCCCCCTAATCGCGCTCCCACACTCACTGCGGGTGCCAGTAGCATAGTCGCGACAGCAATATAATTACGCGCGAGCGATAAGGATGGGTAGCTAGGGGTTGTGGAATATGATGTTCATCCACAATAAGGAAGCTAGATGTTAATGCTTCCTTCCGAGCGGGTGTTATGCTCGGGGACCAAGGTCCAATTTACAGCATCTTGGTTTGTCTGTATATCAGGGTTCGAAAATATCCGATATTTATTATAAATATCAAAATATCGGATATTTATGATATATATCCGATATATATCAACTTTGATATATATCAAATTTGTATGAAAGCTATACTATTATTTTATTGTATTATTTATGAATACCATTGCATATGTGTCACATAAACATGTTTTTAAAACTTAAAATCAGACAAATAAAGCAAAAACATAAAATCTTCTTGTAAATACGGCAATATCAACTAAAAAACAAAAATCTTATGTGAAAAAGTACAAATACAGTTACAAATTTTAAAAATTGATATATATCATCAAAACCGGCTGGATAAATATCGGATATATATCCGATATACACACACCGGCAGATTTAGAGGAACGGAAAAAAAAGCATCAATATCATCATTATTTTAGGAAAAAAATGCCTAATTATGACATTATTTTTTAATTTAATTCTAAATATGAAAAAAATAATTGCCAACAGTATATTTTTTTAATTATTTTGTTTAAATTACCCCATCAACAGTTTCGTTGAGTGTTTTGAATTGAATGAAGCTTTTGCTAATTTGGATTTCTTTTACGTGAAAGATGTTTTTTTCTGAGTTATTTTTCTACTTTTAGTGTTTACTTTTTCGGAGTCAGTTTAATTTTTAGTCGGTTTTATTTAAACGAAATTATTTTACTTTTTTATGCAATTATGCTTACGTATTGTTCCATTGTTTATTTTTAAGAAAACTAACACTAGTAGCAACACTGTCAAACAGAACTTTTTGCAACTATTTGAAGTTTAATAACTTTACGGATATCATTGATTGTTTTATTATCCAGTGTGTTTTTTGATTACATCTGTGCATACAGTTTGTTTCCTGTTCTCGAAAATTTCATAATCAGTTCACATTCGTTGCGACTTTGTTGCATATTTTTAGTATTTTGACGATCACCCGGCGATGATACGCAAGTACTACAATATTTCACTTCGCGATTAACGAGAGGTTTTGTCGCATCACTAGTTCACAGACTAAAAATATTTTTATGTCAGTTGGACATATTTGATGACATTTCTGCTGATTTCTAAAAAATTAGACTGTACATACCAGTTGCTTAGTTTTACATATCAAAGTAAGCAGAACTTTTAACTTTTGCGGAAAAATATCTTGGAGGTTCAAAAAAATCTAGGATCGGAAGATGGAAAAAGTTATTTTTACACACTGTGTCTATGTTTCGTGATTTTATGTTTAAGTTTGCAATTTTTGATCCTGTATTAATAAGGAAATACCTACATGAAAAGTCAGTTAAAAGCTGTCGTTTAATAACACATTACACTACACACATAGGTAATGNAAAAACGACTAAATATTTAAAAAATATATGTTATTTTATTTTATTTTAATTATCTCTTTATTTTGTATAATAAATATTTCATAGATCAGTAGTAATTTTCCTTATTTTCATACTTTTTTTTGCGTTCCGCTAAATCTGCCGGTGTGTGTATATCAAGATATATATCGGATATATATCCTCGAACCCTGCTGTATATACTTGGCAGGATATGAAAATCCGTCACCGCGATGCAGGTTTGTATGAGCGACGGAGTGTGCCATAGTGTAGTAGTGTTGGTACACTGTTTGTAGTGGCGTATCGTCGGTGTCGCTACAGGGTCATTGGACGGGATTCTACGTGCTCACGGGCCGGGGTTTACACAAAATAAAGCTGTGAACTCACGGTGCGACGTCGGCGTGAAGGCGGCGCGACTGCGTGGCGAGCAGCGCGTCGTGCGTCAGACGCGCGGGCGCGAACCCGCCGCCCGCGCTCGAGCCTAACTCTTGGCCTTCGTGGAGAGTGGCTAGGCCGCTGGACACCGCCACCTTTGGGGTAGAATAACAACATGTTTAGGCCGGGTTCCCACTATGCCGGACCTAGGGCTTCCAATCCCGCACCGCATGCTCGATCCCGGTATCGGCGGGAGTTGGAATTCAAATCCCGCGGGATCCCGGTATTGGCGGGATCCCGCATATAATTATGAAAATTATTATGTGAGGCAAATAAAACAATACATTAATCAATTTAAATCAACGTAATTTCACTTTAATTAACGTTAAATGAGATCATTCAAATTACACTTCAATTACTGAGATCAAATATAAAAATACAATCAACTTCAATCAAGTACAATAGAAAAAAACTGTTTTTTTCTGAATGATAAATAATCATGTAGTTTCTTTCATATTTTTTTATCATTCAATTGGGAATGTTTGGGAAGAAAACATAGCATGTCTAAAGTGTCGTCTGCCAAACTGCAGCGTATTTTAGAGGCAATATAGCCAGCAGCAGAGAAGGCTCTTACGGCTTCCACACTAGTCGGTGGTATTCCTTTTAAATAATTATATGTAAATGTGAGATATTTCCCCATTGACCCTCCGGACTCATAAAGAGTTTTTCAGTAGCCGACCGATCGCAGTCGCTAATGGTCGTGCGCATGTTTCTTTACAGTCCCGCAAATCCCGCGGGATCTCGCACCCGTAATCCCGCAGCACGCGGGACTAAAAAATGATGCGGGATCCCGGAATACCGAGATCTCGGTATTGCGGGATTGGAAGCCCTAGCCGGACCGGCAGATCTCCCGGTCCGGTAAAATCGCCGGAAGGCCTAGCGGCGGTACAAATTGTATGAAGCTGTTCACATTATCCCGGATCCGGCTTTTTCGCCGAGCCCGGCATTTTTACCGAGCGTTTTGTCGCTACAAAATGCCGGCAAAATCACCGGACCGGAGTAATGTGAACGAGTTGCGGCCCACCCCGCCCCTCCCGTGCTCCCCGCACTTCATTCGGCTCGGATTTCGGATCCGGTGATCCGGTGTAATGTGAACACCCTTGTCCGGTGTCCGGTTTCCGGCAGAAATGCCGGTCCGGCATAGTGGGAACCCGGCCAAAGATGCGCTCTTAACAGATGATTGGACGCAAACTTCGTCTTTGCCACATAACAAATACATGCCACAAAATAAACATTAGCCCCTGGGCACGAGAGCCAAGAGCTAATGTTTATTTTAGCGACTTTTTTACGTGGCTAGACCGTAGACCGCCACCTTTGGGATATAACAACGATATGTGAGCAATGGTTTTAACGGTATATGTGCGCACGCAAACTCATGTAGCGTGGGCCCAGACCGCTGGATGGATACCTACCGTCAGTCACTTTGTGACATAACAAGTCTTAATAGTAGATGTGCGGACACAAACTCCCTCGTGGAGTGGGGCTAAACGGCTGGATACCACCCCTCGATTGGATTGATAAACCTAAATCTTGTGTGGATAGTGTTTCGTGGTTTTTAGTCGTGGAAAAGCGCACTCCAGACTCGAGACAAAGGCAAAAACAAAAGAGTAACGATATTCGTCGATTAAAAAAAAAGGCAGTTTTCTTGGTGGCCAGTGTCGCGCGACCAAAAAGTCTGGTCGTCGCAGTTTTAAGTCAAGAAGTTCGAGAAAAAATTTAAAAAATGGTCGTGCAAGCAGTACGTCCGTTACGACGTAAAATAGTTCGGTACTACTGTTAGTTCGGTAAAGGTGAGAAGAATCATAGATGGCGCTTTACAAACAAACTTTTTATATTTATAGATGGCGCTAAATATGTATGGGTTTGGAACAAACTGCATTAATCTTCGAATATCTGTGTACCTCTCTCGGCGGGTGCGGCGGCGACGCGTCGGGCGAGGACAGCGGCTGCGTGGCGGCGCTGACGTACGACACGTACGCCTCCGAGCTCAGGAACGCCTGGTACGTCGTCTCGTTGATGGCGCGCGTCACCTGCGCAAGTTTATCCGCTTATTTAATAAGACAATCAACAAGACATACACTTAAACTATTATGACAACATTTGTTTACTTAACCTCCGCTATAACTAGCGCGAGTGACCCCGGCGATACTCGAAATAAATTATGATACGATAAATAAGTTCTAGTAGAAGCCAATATGCTCAGTATTAGCAGAGGTCAATATAGGGCTGGCAAAATGCCACGGGCTCTCGACCTGAGAGGGCCCCAGCCCAATTCCCTAATCGCGCTGCTTCAGGGCAATGGTCCCGGGCTCCCCTGAAAATGTTGATTGATTGTGAATGTCCCACGAACCTCTTTCTCCATGTTGTCGAAGATGGTCCGCTCGATGTTGGAGCCATCCTTGAGGCTCTGCTTCACGTGCTGCTTCAGCTCTTCCGGCATCGCTAGCTGAGACTTGCGGAGAAATCTGCCGAAGAGAAGCTTCATTAGATTATTTCTTCATTAGATTGTTTATTTTAAAATTTATTTATTTTCCACTGCAATTCACTTCCACTGCCTTGATTTCAATTGATTTGCAGTGCAAAAGGTTGTCGGGATAAATATCCAACTCAGTGATTCAGTTACATGCAGTTTTATTTTATGGTAGGTTGACCAATAGAACAGAACTCGAGCTTATTCATTGTCACGAATGTTACTTTGTAAGAGTGCAGTGCAGGATAGCCTGGATAGCTTAGCCGGCAGGAGCGTGTGGTCGGCATTCACTTGTGCGAAGCTGGCTTCATCATCATTTAGTCATAGCAATGCTGCTATGGCAAGCTGTCCTACTACGCAATTCGCATCAATAGAAAAACACAGTCTGCAACTCCACTACGCATTATTTTCCTTGCTCCGTTGCGCTTCCTTATTCCGCAGGGCTCAGGCCTGGAATATCCGATTTCCTAAAATGGATTTTCGCAAAATGTCTGCTATTCAGAATGTGAGCACGTCTTTTGCATAATGTCAGCTTCTCAAAATGTCAACTGTTTAAAATTGTCTGTCTTCAAGAATAAAAGTTTTTGTACAATGTTCGCTTTTCGCACATACTGAAATTATAGAAATGTAAACATTATGAATAGAAGACCTTATCTAAGACTGCAAGCATTTTAAATTGAAGCCATTTCGAATTTCGATAAAGCTGACAAAATAGGAATTCAAACATGATGAGTACGTATACTTTATGAGAATTGTACATTTTAGGAAAACAGATATTTCAGGCCTGAGCCTTCCGCAGCAATGTTTGATGAATGGCCTCACTTAGTACGGTACTCTTCCCGCTGCAAGTCTATAATCCTACACTCACTTGTATATGGCGGAGACGACCTGGCGGATCTTGGCGGGGTCGGTCTCCTGGCGCAGGCCCTGCACGGCGAAGTAGAAGTTGAGCCGCTCCACGTGCAGACCACCCGCGCCGCCCACGAACTTGCGGAACAAACGCACGCCTTCTGCGTCCTGTGGGGACAATAATAATCCTGCACTCACTTGTAGATGGCGGAGACGACCTGGCGGATCTTGGCGGGGTCGGTCTCCTGGCGCAGGCCCTGCACGGCGAAGTAGAAGTTGAGCCGCTCCACGTGCAGCCCGCCCGCGCCTCCCACGAACTTGCGGAACAAACGCACGCCTTCTGCGTCCTGTGGGGACAATAATAATCCTACACTCACTTGTATATGGCGGAGACGACCTGGCGGATCTTGGCGGGGTCGGTCTCCTGGCGCAGGCCCTGCACGGCGAAGTAGAAGTTGAGCCGCTCCACGTGCAGCCCGCCCGCGCCGCCCACGAACTTGCGGAACAAACGCACGCCTTCCGCGTCCTATAACGACAATAATAGTTACTTTAGGGCAGTGTTTTTCAACCTGTGGGTCGCGCCTCTGTTGGGGGCCGCGAGAGATCGTAAAAACTACCTCAGTAAAAGAATCAGCAAAGTTATAATGATAGATTTATCCGAAATCTAACTATCCAAATCCATCCAAATGTTGTATGGATTGAAATATTCGGTCCCTACAACATCTTTGTAACATTATAAAATGCATGAAAAAAAAGCGAGCGGTCGGGAGGTCGCGAAATAATTTTTCATACCCCCCGCGTCATGAAAAAGGTTGAAAAACACTGCTTTAGGCGACTTTAGAAGCACGACTGCATCGCGTTTGTCGCGCGACTCGTAATTTCATACTATATGACAGCGCTTCAGCGACGTTTTTATAATGTGAAGGCAGGCATCCGCTGCTGCCGCGCTAATGTTAAAGTGGTCTTACATAGTATAACATGAAAAGAACGCATACTCGAATACCTAATTCATTAAAACTGTTTTTGTTACGTCAAAAAGTCAGCAAAAAACTTGAAGCATTTCTAAATGCTTTAGACACGTATGCAGTTACAGCGGGATTACTCCGAAAAACGTTACTCAAAGTTTCAACAGCTGCTATCCCTCTCACGCAAATTGAGATGCCAAATGAGCGACGATGACAGATAGACGCAAAAATATGTAAACAGCGTTTGGAAGTAGCCCTGCAGGTATTCCAACACATGTCATGCCGCCCACTAAGTAATGTGCTATCGATATTTATAAACTCATTTAGTATCAATTCAGGAACACGACACTCCAATTTACCAGAGGGAAATGGAGGATTTAACTTACACTTCCCACGCTCTGGTCAGATCAGTTGGGGAGTCTTGACGTTAGCATATTCCTCCTTGACCTTAAGTCGCCTCGTACTATATCTACAAAGGTGGGGGTGGTTGTATTCTACTCTCGATAATTAATAATTATTTACGACATGCAAAAATGACAACATTCGAATATTATTTCCAGACTTTTCATACTCGTAACATCAAGATTGATGAGCCAAGAGATGCATTGCTTTAAATGTTTCCAATCTTTATTGCAAGCGTGGTTTCTATTAACCTCTCAAGTGGATAATGGCTCAGTGCAGGAAACTAGAGCTCCGATAAATAACCGACGGGTCCCGCGTTGTTTTCGCAACGTCGCTGTCAATTGCAAGCGATCCCTTGTCTTGATAGGCAGAAGGGTACTGATACCTGTACCTCACGTTTGTAGATTGAATATTAAATAAGAACATCTGGAAGAGATGTTTGTTATATCAAGAAAATTAATATTGTTAATAGCATGCATGTCAATAGAATTTCAATTATTATTATTCCTGCATAAATTCAGAAGGGACACCTATGCCCGTTTTCACCATCAATTCCTACTTTTTAAGCGACCCCTATGGTAACAAATTACAGGAATTTTGTTGTCATAGGGGTCACTTAAAAATTAGGGATTGATGGTGAAAACGGGCACTAGTCCCCTAAAAATGTGTGGCCAATACAGCATATACAAAGTGTGTTACTACAGCTTCAAGAATAAAGATCCTCCAAGCTTATCTCAAGAGATATTGCATACTGAGGGAGACCCCTCATAGAAGAAAGAAAATGGCTAAAAATATGTCAATTTATTGTGTCTATTCAGTGGGACGTGCACGCGCACGTGTGAAGTCCCCGTAATTTACAAAGCCACATACGTCTTTTTTCTTTCTCACTCGCTGTTTACGTTTTTATGGTTATGTGCGTTTATCGACAACCGACGACATCATAAAGGCAGCAGGAAGGCTGGACGCAGGCCGCTACCAACCGGGCAGCATGGAAAGCATTGGGGGAAGCCTATGTTCAGCAGTGGACGTCCTATGAGACGATGATGATGATGATGTTCGTTCGTTCCAGCCAAATGACGTCCACTGCTGGACAAAGGCCTTCTCCAAGGTTTTCCACAATGCACGGTCCTGCGCTGCCCGCATCCAGGCTCTTCCCGCGACCTTTACCAGATCGTCGGTCCACCTAGTAGGAGGCCTGCCCACGCTACGTCTTCCAGCCCGTGGTCGCCACTCGAGAACTTTTCTGCCCCAACGGCCATCGTCTCTACGAGCTATGTGCCCCGCCCTGTGATGATGAGTTTATTGATATCATACCAGGACCAGGCCTGTTCATCCCCGCGAGTTTACATCGAAAACAAAACACGCACGATGGCCCACCTACAGGATACGATTCGACAAGGCCTCACATACGAGCGAACATTGACTCACGCACGCGTATTCTTGTGTATGATGGAAGAAAATGGTGTACTAAATACTGTGCAGTATTTAACTGCCTAAATAATAATAAAAACACAGAATGTACTTTTTTAAGTTGCCTCAAGACACTGAGAGGTAAATAAGTAGTTAATATTATTCATGATAATTCATGCTAAATCATGTATTTCCTCCGCCATTTTCCGCAGTTTGGCACCTCACGTCACATCATTTTACGGAAGTCAGCCCTATAGCTTCGGCGCAGTGCCGATCACTGACGTTTGTCAACAAAATGGTGCTTGACTCTTGAGACAGGCTAAATTACACCATATTGTTAATGACATTGAGCATACATTTTTTTAAATACCTTCGCGAAGTAAAACTTCTGTACGTAGTACTTATTATTATTCTGTGATCATACCTCGAGCAGCTCGGGCAGGCTGCGCGCCCAGCGGATGTAGGGCGGCGACACGGGCGAGCGCGCCGAGCTGCCCGACGAGCCCTCGGTTTGCTCGCGCCACACCATGCCCGACCTGCGATAACAACACGTTAGCAAACACATTAAACTAATGGTGCGTCCAGACTGGGCGAATTTGCTCGCGCGGCTAACTCAACATCCTGCTCACTCAAAAGCAGAGTGAGCAGGTTGACCAGCGTGCCGCGCGAGCAAATTCGCGAAGTCTGGACGCACCATTACTCGAAGAATAAGAAAGGCAATGCCAATTGCCAACCCTAGGGCAAAAAAGGTCATGTGACCTTGCCATGTGGCAGGAGATGCATTTATGTCGCATAGAAACAGAAACAATAGTAGGTAATTCTAAACAGTTAAAGTACATAAAAACAGAAACAATAATTATCTAAATAAAGGGACCTGGGCGCCACAAGATAATCTTGAACCAGGCGACGCCCTCGGATAATTTGATAAATTTTCAACAGTTGCAAAAAAATTGTTTACAAGTCATAGTAGACTTATCAACTCGGATAGCGAACATCGTACAGAATATATTGCGAACTCTTATTGCCTTTCGCGCGCTGTCAACCGCGAGGCGAAGCGTTTACGTTACGGCGCGGATAAGTGTGCGTTGCAGTATGGAATTTTATACAAAGAATACTGACCGCTTCGAGTTGATACGTTACGATCCCTTTTCGGGTTCATAAGTATGCTTCGTCCTTAAGATCGTCATTTTTGGATTTCGGATTCTGAATAAACAATCGTTTGTAGCATTACAAAATGTGTCAATGTAAAATATGTATAAAAAGGTTTGGTAAACTTACTTTGAATGTGGTTGTGTGAACACATATTTGGACTGAGATTTGCTCTTCTCCTCCCCTGAAGCTGGCGGTAGCGACGACCTGTCAGCAAGCTTGTGATCCCAACCTACACAGCAATAAACAAACAATTAATAATGATAATAAACATTTGTACATAGATTCTGATGCTCTTTACTTTAACATGCGTCGCTTTATGAAAGAACACTATTAACACATTTATTTCATTTTTCACATTCACACGCCAAGTGCAGCTCCTGGTAAGTGCCGATCCACTTCCATCTGTTGGGAGAGAATACAACTCCAGCCTTTTATCAATGATAAAGGTTGGTATTCTGCTGAGGGAGGATGCAACTCTGATTGTCAGTTCATATTAAAGATAAAGGTTGGTATTTACCTTGCGGGTGGCCGCCGATAGGAGTGTGGCTCATGGCGCACAGGCCCTTCTCCCACCCGCGCGCTGCATGGCGAGAAACCACCTGCCAAAAACACCTTTTTAATAATTCTTATTTTATACATTTACTGTACTACAGTCCTGATATTTATAAGATCCTGAACAGCACATCATAGAATACTCTGTTTGCAATATTTAACGTCGACACCGAACTTTTCGTCAAACCAGTTAACTAACTAGGTAAATACAGAAAGTAGGTACACTCAATGAAGAAGCTCTGTCTGAAGAAAGTGACAGTCAATAAAAATCTTCTTGATGAAACAGCCTACTGAATACTGCAACTAGTAATTAATAAACCTGATTAAATCGCCATCATACTGCATAGATAATTTCTAACTGAGCATTCAGTAAGGCATAATAATGCACTCAAAATTATCAGAGATAAAAACCTCTACAAAATAATATTAAACTTTCTATTCACTATCATTAGGTAAAAAGATGAAGAAATTTGAATACTCCAATAAAAAATGTAATGCAAACTCTTATTAGAGTCAATAACATACACAAAAAGTAGGATTTATTCCCATGAATGATTCTAAGCCTGGCAAAAAATCAACTACGCATCCAGAAACCACCAAGCCACGGAGAAAAAATCAATAGAGCACACAATAAGCGTCATAGCTATGTATTATATTTGCTTTCTGTAAGTTGGAAAGGGACAGCAAACCAGAGGGTGTGCTAAAGTCAAGAGTCTCCGTCATCGATCGGCTTGGGTATGAAACACCTTCCCGAGCAGAATTGCCATAAAAACATGTATTAAAACCAGAACTTTACAAATGAAATCCTGTTAAACCAATATTAAGCTATCAAATATCATAACTACTCTTCATAAAATCATATAATAGGCATGAACATCAACAAAAGATTTTTTTTATCCGTTGAATAATAATTTTACTAATCTTGCACAATAGGAAACACACATTATGAACATGTCAAAACAAATTAAATCATAACTTCATGGTTCAATAAGCAAAAAAATCATAATGGGGCAAAAAATTATAAAGACCTTACCATGTTCATTGTGCCCGAGCAAACAATGCACTGTAGATGTAATGCACCAGTTAATAGAATTACTTTTTTAAAATGAATTTGATTTTTAAAATCAGTTTGAAAGCTTAAAAAACTGTTTTAAATATGAAAAGCACAACTGCGCAACGCAACGGTACTGGTCCGAGTGAAAGATCCGTCGGACGCTGAATGCTGAGCACAATGGGGTTCGATCGAAGAAAAGTTGAGCCCTCACATATTATGTATAGCTTTTATTTGTGATGGGGTTAGTTATGAATATGAAATCAATAATGGTGAGTGTAAGTTGTGAGACGGGTGAGGTTTTTTAAGTAGTGTGTATAACAGGTAAATTTTGCTTATATGATTTTGATAGCTTTGTTGACCAAAAGTGGTTTGATTGGTTGGATGATTTTAATTTTGAAGATTAGTTAATTTTACAATTACTACATTTTATTAAAACAATAAAATTTCCAATAATATGTATGAAATAACTTACAACAGATAACTGACACAGGCCTTGTTTGCTCGTAATATAATGGTAATGTGAACAGATTTTATGAAATTTTCATTGAGGATGAGGAGGGCATACAGGAAACAAGTTGTAAACAAAGACGAAGCTCGTAAAATTACCGCTGACAACACACTCGCGTCGGGCGGGAACACGATCCGGCCATGCCAACACTATAGGCCACTTAGCATTTTATACTAGCAAACCATCACGAGGCGGTTCAGACAGCAATTAACACCATTCACGCCGAAAACCTACGATACCCGGAAGGGCCATATTTATAGAACGATACTGAAAGAAACACCACACCTTAGTCAATGAGCTTACTTAAAACAGCAATTCCGAAGGCTGTCGCGAAGGAGAACTGAAGACATTAATTGAAAAGTTGCTCAGAAATAAATAATAAATTAGCTTGGATGGGATTTGTATACAACAGCGAGTTTGACACATGACAGACAAGCAACCAGCCAGCCATGACGGGTTCGCCAGCTGTCAGTCAACGCCATCTATCAGCGGTAACTTGATTTACAACGAAGTCATGAACTCCTATTTGCATAAGCGGAGTACACAACTAGATGTCGCTAAACGTTTCAAAATGCAGATTTGCCAGTTCAAGTTTACGAAAGGCGGGAAGATACAAAATAAAAATAGGATGTAAAAGCGTGTTAAAAGTGTGTTAGATGAAATTTATGTAATGTATAATTTACCTGCGTAGCAGCTTATTGCCGCTGCATTTTTATGATTGTGTCGCCTGCCGCCTTAACAATATCTGCAACAAAAAAAAATTAACTGTATAAAAATGTTAAACGGTAAGTTATGTGTTTACAGTTTTTTAGATATGAATAAAAGTTGACAATGAGATTATTTTTTCTATTGTTTATTTTTCAAATTAATCGAAACGATTTCGACTAAACAAAACAATAATACTCCCTGTAACTACGCTATTATAATAATAACGTTATACACGCAGAGGCACAATATTATTACCTATCGATGTAGAATTAATTCAGGGATTCCAATTCGATTTAGAGGCGAAATGAACAGATATCAAAGACATTTGTCTACGCGTACGCCAATATTTGATATTTGATTTGGCAAAGATCACAGGCTATTGAGATGAGTGCTAGGTACAGGTAGCCGTATACGTACCTATGACAAACAAGGACGCTATATTATCGTGGGTAATTAATTTTAAATAATTATATTCTGTTACTTGTCGTCTTTCTAAATAAATACAAGAACATTTTACATGATTAAAAATGTGTGTCTGATGTAGAAAATAGGTACTATTAGGAAAAAAACATTTTGTAAATAATAATGGTATCAAATGTAATGGTTTTTCACTTCAAAAGCCGAGAGTTTTTACTAATTGTGCCGGAACTAACAAGATTAATAAAACGTATCTCCCATTGGCTCAGATTTAGGCTCTAGGATTTAGATTTAGGCTTAAACCAAATACATTTATCAAATCCGGATGGATTCGCTACACAGGACTAGAAGCTCCGACCGAAATTCAATCCGCCACTCATAAAATGTTTGAAAATTCCGAAAACAAGCAGTCCGAGGCACGCATAGGGGTTCGGGCTGGAAAAACCTGTGACGAAGATCCATTCAAATATTGATATGTGTGGGTTATTTTTGTTACAAAATTATCGTTCGGCAATTGGGCGGTTAACACTTTTAAATTATCATACCTTTAAAATGTAATTTTAAGTAGCTTTGAAAACCATTACTTAAACTCGTAGTAAATTGAGTTGGTCAACAAGATTAATTAGTCCATACTCGTAAATTATGTCTGAATGAGAATAATTGACTGCGTCAAGTGTAACGTAATTAGATAAGTAAATAATACATTAAATTAGGTACCACGCTAGTAATGGTTGTATGTTTTGTGAAAGACAGAATGTACCTAAAAGAGACTGACGGTTACTAAAAATTAGTTTCTTCCGTCAAATAAGTGCTTAATTAAGTAGCGAAATATATCTAAGAAGAAGATGTCAATATTTCTGAAGTTAAATTCTTCGGAGTGCATTAATAGCTAAGTTCAATGATCTTAGAATTCGAGTATTCGAATAAAATCGTAGCATTTCAGATTTCCAGTAATGAATACAATATTGAGAAACCTCTTTGACTGCAAAGGTGAATTAGTGAGATGCCAAACAAAAAGAGAATTAATATCTCCTTTCTGCGACTACAGCAAGAAGATTGGCAGACGTGCCAATCGAACTAAAATAGTTATTTAGTAATTAGTTAACTACATAGGTACTTTGATACTTAAAAATATTCATTAACATACTGTTTTTTTTTTACTGATTGGATACTTTTGATAAAGGGTAATTTGTTAAGAAAAGATCAAAAATTTGTGTGGACAGATAAATGTACCGGAACTAACAAGATTAATAATACGTATCATACGTACAAAAGGGCATATTTTTATAAGTCTTGAAAACGTATGCGAATTGTCTTACATAACAGTTTACTACAGCTATAATTTCAATTGCATAATTATGTACCTAAGTATCCCAACCAATGTAACATAGTGGGAGTCGTTGCAACAAAAACATTTTCTTACAACTCACAAGATTCTAATTGTGGTTCTAATGACATGAACAATTTATAGTCTCCATAAAATTAGTATGTGGGCCCAAATTGTTTATTCAAGTAAGCAGTAAATAAATGGTGCGAAGAAAGCATTGCACAGTTTTATATCTTAACTTTCAACACTTTGTAAAAGATGACTTGGCTTTTACTTAATTAGCGACCCATGTCGGATTCACACGTATAAAATTTATCGAATTTCGGTATCCCAAAAGGTTATTGTCTGCATAATGGTGAAAACCGTAGATTTACACATATTTCGAAAGCTTTTTTATCACACATCCTCAGATGTTAAGCATTCCCGAAATAAAGACTTGTTGCTTCGGGATTGATACTGCTTTCTTTCTCGCAATACACTAATTTTCGGGGTCTCAAAACCTCTAAGTTAGAGTACTTTTTAAAAACATTAATTTATTTAAGTTTGTCACAAGTGAACAAGTGAAGAACATAAAATGTTGCTCTACATTTCTTTTAAATTACAATAATTAAATAGATTGTTTTTGATGGATCTTTAGTTTAATTCAGTTATATTTTAAACTTCGACTCATTTTTCTCGATAATTTGTTTATCAGGAGAAGCTCTAATAATTAATAGTTAACAACAAAGAAAGCGAGACATCTATAACGTTATCAAATATTGAACAAACAAAGTAAAACAAATCATACTCGTAACTAGGGCTGCCAGATTAAAGTATGTAATTAATATTGTTACTATATTTTTTTTTATGTTTATCTTACAATTTAATAGCTGAACACTTTATTAGTAGAAATAACACTATAAACCTCATGGCCAGTACTTTGTTGAAAAACAGTTTCTTATGAACCATGGCTTGTTTTGTTAAATCAGTCAAAATAAAAAAAGAACTAGCGGAGGAGGCGAAGCTAATTTCACTTTGTTCCCCTGCACCTCGCAAAAAGAAAAACGAAACAGTATCTTTGCGCGAACGTGCTTTATCTCGACTACAGACTCATAATCTTCATCTAGGTACCCGAAGAATACATACGAGACCGAATTTTAAAAGCAAAAATATTTTCAAAACTAGATTTTTAAGTGACTTTACTTAAGCGAAAGATAAAATCAAATCAAATCAAATTTATTTATTTGCGTAATTTTAAAAATCGTATTTGAATAATAGTTACCTAAATTGCATTACTATGTTCGTGTTTCGGGATGGAATTTCTACTCCAAGCTTCGCATGTTTATAAAGATTTAATTAACCAGACAAAGGTGAACCGAGAACTCTCTGTATTTCGTAAGCATGAATGTATTAGAACATCCAAATTCCGAGATAAATACTTTCATCACTTCATTCGGTGATCAAATGCCAGTTTTCTGTATTAGTGATTCGATTGTGATGTGACAATGGTGACTGAAGTTGCAGCGCTTCTTTTCAGCACTTACCAAAAGTTTATCTTGAAGCGCACATGGGCAAAAATAATGAGACATTATTGTGAAGGCATAAGAATAAGAGTATAATTGAACAATTTGCAATTACCTATTGATTGAATTAGTCCAAACAAATAAAGATATTATTGATTTGATTTGACTAAAACAATATTTTGATTTGATTAAAAATGGTGGATCGGTGGCACCCCTGCGGCGTGCGGTCCGGCGGGGCGGGCGCCCCAAATCGCCATTAGCCAGCACGCACTAAGCGAGTCTTTGATGTGCACAAACTTTCCGTTTTCCTTTGATTGCCGTGATGGAACTGCGCCGTTATTACACTAATTGAATTTCGCTAGTCCGGCCGCATTACCGCCGGCGCGCACCTGCCAGCTTTGACAAAACGTATCACTGGTGCTGCATACTATATTCAGGTATTCATCTTTGTGATGAACGTATCACGGTAATGGACTGCATAGTATTACCGTGGTAAAGGTATTCATAGGTTAGGCACAGATTATAGTTTATGGATATGAACACTTTCAAGTTTCAACACCAGGCAAGCATTTGCACCAAAATTAGTTTCAATCAACATTAAAATACAAGTATTTTTTAATTGATAGAGTTCTATGAAGCGAACCATAAAAACGTAAAAATCATTTCATTTATATTTTTTTGGCAGTTCTCTCTATTCCGGAACTAAAGAGATATTAAAACTACGCAGCACCTAAAATAATAATAAAGGCTGAAAAAAATATCATATTTTGCTCTAAAAATCCAAGCAGATTGAATCAAAATGTAAAGAAAGAATAATTAACAGGCTTTCACTAATTAAATGTTAATAGCACATACGTTTATCGTAGCGATTGCGTCAACGCTTCTTTGATTGACTTTTTGACGCACTTTTCTGTAAGTTTCTTTTTTAAATCTCGTACGCAATCCTGAACATTTATTACTACTAACTCATGAAGCCGCTTTTCCTGAACAACTTAGCCAACGTGTATGGTCAATACTGAAAACAGCTTCAAAGACATTTAAAATTAAACTACGTCCCATGTCCAATACCGAACTGTTTAATCTTTTAAAGCCGTACGCAAATCATAATTACAGTACAAGTTCGCCGATAACCCTTAACGAGAGCGGAATGATAAGGGTGAGGTATTAGCGATCAGTCATCAAAGGTCCTTTGATCGGCCGCTTCCTGAGAAATTCCTTTGGCACTACATAACATACTAATCAATTGGGTACATCCAATCGGAAAAGGCATTAAAGCCAATAGTTCCAGCTTGCGGTAAACTGTTTGCGAGGTGGGAGGGGCGAGGGGAGGGGGGATGTTCTCGGCACATCAAAGGCGAGCCGAGACAAAGCTGGGAGAGCCTTTTAACTTTATTTAGCGGAGTGGTAAGTTTAGCCGGTCGCGAATCGCTCAGGTTAAAGAGTAACACACTCACTTTGAGCTAGAAGGGCGCTGGTAGGGCTGCTTAGCTGGCCCGGTCCTACTGCTCTAGCGGTTGAGACAATTTAATTAATTATAATGCTCTCGGGGTTTTGTGTACTGTTCAGTTAATGGAACTTTCGACGGGAAATGGTCTCTGATTAAGCTTTCCTTGCCACACTTATTTATTATTAACTAGCTTTCCGCCCGCGGCTTCGCCCGCGTGGAATTTTGTCTGTCACAGAAAAACTTTATCGCGCGCGTCCTTGTTTCAAAAACCGGGATAAAAACTATCCTATGTTCTTTCCCGGGACTCAAACTATCTCTATGCCAAATTTCATCAAAATCGGTTG